TTCTGTTTCACTCTCCTGACTCCTAAGTGCTATGATGCTGTCTGTGTCTCTATGTCAGTGGTTACCTGGGTGATGTCAGCAATTTCTTGCTCTTTTTGTGTGAGGACTGTCTGCAGACGGAGCAGCTCCCCTTCCGTCTCTGTCTGTCTCTTCTTCATCTCCTGTTGCTTCTCCAGGGCCGTTCGCTCTGACCGCTCCAACTCCCGTAGTTCTGCTTCATATTTCTCCCTAACACGCTTCACACTGATCACACGGACAAGCACGAAACACAAAACACTGAAGTGAGCTGTGAATGTTCTGATTTGTGTGGAGCTCCGTTTGACAGCTTCTAATGTGACCACAAGGCAAACTCCACATCTTTGCTCATCTTTGCTTAAAAGACCTCTGAAGTCATGTCTTCATTCTGTAGTCTGCGTCATGCTCGTATTAGGAAGTCTGGGCCTAGTCTGGGGAAAATGAAAGGCATTTTTGAAAATCGCTGCTATTGTGCCCTGTGGTGAACTAAAATATTCCAAACCCAATATGTTTCATCATTGGATCATTAAGGAGCTAAAATATGAATATTGCTACATGGCAGCCAACGTCCCATTTCACACCAGATGCAACGCAGCGTGTATTAAACTGGAACCACTCCGCGACGCTTGTTATTTCTCACTAGATGCAACATACACGCATCGCAAAGCAAGAGTGGTTGCTGTTTATATGTTTACATGTAATAAATGTCTGTAGTGTCCATTTATTACTCATATCAACTTTCAGCAGAAGACATCAAGAGATCAACAATACAATTTTGACTAACCGCCTTAAGTGTTGCTGGCTTTCTCACCAGGTGATGTAGCTCTATATGAAGAGGAGGAGATGCCTCTGCGTTCACAACATTAACCTACTCAAGGGATTTCAGTCAACCTGTCAAAGACTTAAAACTAGATTTGTTGATTTGTTTATTAGCCTAGATTGTATATTATAGCATAGACATTGCATTTCTTTACTATTCCTGCACAGAAACTGCTGGCATGCCGCGCATGGTACGCGTCAGAAATAGACCCAAAGCGTACTTTTGTGCATCACGCGCACGTTACCGCCACGGCACCACGTCACACGCATGAGGGAGGGAGGTCGGCGGCACCATGCCACACGCATGAGGGAGGGAGGGAGGGTAGGTAGGTAGGTAGGTACTTTATTGATCCTGAAGGAAATTTAGCAGCCAGCAGCAGTCACACAACACAGGACAGTCATAATAATAAGGGTGGAACAATATAAAAGGAAGAATAAATATAAAAAAAATCCTATCTACAGGCATATATACAACTAGAAATATACAAAAATCTGCAATAAGATCTATAACCTGAGATGAAAAAGGCAGTGCAATAATGAATGTACAAGGAGGCGCAGGTAACAGAATATAATGACAATACTGAATAAATATATTGGTACTGATATAAAGTGTCACGGTGTGGTGTGTCCAGATGTGCAAGATGCGCGGTAGGGGGTACAGAAAGTGCAATATGTAAAGTAAGGTGTCCATATGTGCAGATGGATAAAATAAACCTATGATTTAACATGAGATTCAGATTCAGTCCTCATCTCTCCTCTTCCCTCTTCTCTTCTGGCCAACAGCTACGTTGATTAATATAGGAGCGCAAGTTACTGCGTCTGGCGTGAAATGGGCTTAACAGTGCTGTACACTGAACTGTCATCATAACCTCACTAAAACACCCCTTGTAAACCAGCAAGCTTTGACAAATGTGGCAGTTAACTTGCTTTGGCTGTAGAAACTTAAAGTTTGAGTAGCTGTTGTTGGTATATAACCCTGTAGACTTTCATCATTTTAAAGGGCAGGGATGTCAGCTTGCTTGTATGTAGCAGTACTCATATTTTGACTGCTAAACAAGCTCGTAATTCAGAGGATCCAGTGACACTTGCAGGGAAAATGTACACAGAACAATAAGTACCAGGTTTGAAACATTTGTATTTACCCGATGATGCGATACCAGCGATTTTCAAAAACTGATTTATTTTTCTCAAATCTGCTTAGATTTCCTAATACAGGCAAAGGACCGACTACAGAATGACGCTCTACTTCAGAGGTCTGTTTCTAGTACTGGTACCCTGTGGCACAAGCATTATGGGGCAAATGGAAAGTGTCTTGTGTGATATAAATATAAAATAACTGGGATAAATTATAAATAATAAAATAATATTTATAAAAATGGCTTGCTGTGTTTACAGTGTGGAAAATGAACATACAAAGCAGAAGTGAACAAATACATAGCCGAGTACACACACATGGACCGTTCACGCTCACCGGTTATCAGCAGCTCTCTCGCACTCTTCTCTAGCGCCACTCGTCTCTTCTTCCAGCCTCTGAATGGCCAGCTCAATCTCTTTGTCCCGCCCCTGCCGCACTTCCTCTTTCAGCTCTCGCTCTCGACTCAGCAACCATGCTTCCTGCAAGGAAACACACTACTTCCTGTCACATCTGAACTTTGAAAAGAAAAGTGCACCACATACACTACACAAGCAAGATTTGTGGATGCTTTACTCTTAGTCCTGGAGTCTTTTGGGTGAACCTAGGAATTGTCAAAGAACAACCACAGACATGTTCAGCTCTACAAACTAAGTCTGGCTCTAAGGCTCTTCTGTAAAATACAGGTATAAACGGATTTAAACGAATCAAAACTGCATTAGGACGTTATTGGACTGCAAGGTCATTAGGGAGAATGGACGTCTAGAACAACACAAGAGTTTAATGATGTAATGCTATTTTTTGTTTCCTTTGGCAAGCACATGTTACACCCACTTATTAAAAAGAGGTGTTTTCGCACACTGAAGTGAGCTGCAGACTCAGCCAGACATGTCTTGTGGTAATGAGGTCAAGTCTGTTTTCTTTGCAGCAGATATAGTTAAACTATATACTCTGTGAGTTAAATGATAATAAAATTTAGCTAACTGTACGTTCTTGTGCACACACAAGATGCATGCAGAGGAAACATCTGTCTTCCTCAAAAAGAGGTCAGAAACAGAAATATAGTTCTTTGGCTTTTATGTCTCTGTAGGACTTGTGACATGTTCTTTGAGAAGGACGCTGTGACATGAGATAAGAGATAAGGACTTGTTTATGTCCATCACCAATCTATCATACCAGACAAGGTGGCGGCATATGGTACAGAAATTGGAACTGGCTTTTTCCATCTTCATCTGGGAAACTTCAAGGCCTCGGGGCTGACTGAGAGTGACTCTTGCTGATGTCAATAAGATGCGCATGAGGGATACTATCTTTGTTGAGTGAATCTCACCAATGTCACTGTGTTTATCTCGGTTATCTTTCTGAACCAACATACAAGTCTGCACTATAACAGTTTAGCAGTATCTGTTTTGACTAAGTCTGTGTTAGATTGAGGGAAGACACTCAGCTCCACCACTTATGCTCCGTTTCTTTCTCTCTCTTTCTTTTTAGAGTTGATTTCTGATTTCGCTGATTTCTTTCTTTAAGCTTTTGCCATAGTTAAGCTCTTGCATGTGAGGTTATGTGTGTTTGTGTGAACGTGTTGACCAGTTGAGACTATTGTTCTCTATTTTTATCAATACTGTTAATTCTGTTTCCTTTTTTCATGTTCCTGTAATCCCAAAAAGAATATTTTTCTTATTAAATTTTATAATCTATGTGACTTTTGAAATTCAGTGTGTGGTCTTCTCACTGCATCACAGTGTTTTATATACATTTCTAAATTTTAATCTGAGTCATGCTGTGATAAATTCCCCAACAAAGACAATGCTTTATAGAATTGTGAGGAATAAAAATCTTGGGTCTTAATCATATTAGGGCTATCAATTATATGAGTAATCGAGTAACCTGCTGAGTATTTTGATGATTAATCAAGTAAAGAAAATTAACTAAACAATAACATACTATGCAGAGCCTTTCAAAGATTCCAAAGCACTTTACAAAAAAAGGAAGCATTTGAAAATAAATGTATATAAGAAAACACTGTGGAAAAAATGCACAATGCATATAAATAAGGCTACGTTCATGCTGCAGGTAGAAGTGGCCCGAATCTGATCTTTTTCTTCATGTGACACAGTTTGGTTTTTGTTTGGCAGTGTGAACAGCTAAAAACATTTAGAATCTAATGTTTTTTATTTCAACTATTTAGAATCTTTTTTTTTTTTAATCTGACACATATCTAATACATGGCAATATGGCCTGTCTGTGAACAGCCAGATTGGAATTCTAGACTTTTACTTTTACGTCAATCCATCTCAATCTTCATCATAATTTCTTGCGCATGGAAACAGACCATTAACAGCAACATCATCAAATGCCTGTTACTATGACTATGCTTAGCGTCTTTCATTTTATAGGTCAAGTGAGACGCACATTGGCAGCACAAATAAATAAACATGATGCTTACTAACGAGAGAAATCAAAATAACAGCAAAACTATGTTTACTTCAAGAACATTAAAAACAAGAGAAGCGATGGAGCTAAAGGAGCTTCATTGATCAGACAGATCAGACTCTTTATTTAGTATGTATCCCTGTTTTGGAAGTGAGTTTCTGTCTCTTTGCTAACATTCTTCTTCACAGCAGGTGATCAAAATAAACTGACCTTCCTTTCTCTGTTTAGTTGGCTTCCACAAATAAAACAAGCACAGAAAATTACCCTCTGGTCTCTTTTTCGTAAACTTTGCCCAGCATGGTCATTTTTGTGTCTGCTCTCTGTCCTTCAAGTTTAAAAAAAAAAAACAGTTTGCACACTGTAACCTTGGATTTCATGCAAAAGTAGTCTATTAAAATGAAATCCAGAGGACAGCTGGATCGGTGTTCTTTTGCACATGCTGGTCAGTTGAGGAGACTGATCTGTTCAAACTAATGTTAATATAAACCACATTATAAAAGACAACCAGATAACAAAATCAGATTTGGGCAGTAAATTGGATGCAGGCCACTTTTACCTGCAGTCTAAATGCAGCCTATGTCAATCCTTTCACTCCATAAACAAGAAACTTATAACAGCAAACATTTAATCCATTTTCATGTACTTGCAATTTGTAACTATAAACATATGCATGTGTGAGATCCTGATGGTGTGGGTTTCCACAGTAATACAAGATCTCTACTTGTCATGCTGCCTCAGCAGAGCCACCAGGATAGTCAGAGACCCCACCCACCCAGCCCATGGACTGTTTTGCCTTCTGCCCTCTGGCAAACACTATCGCAGCAAGCTGTGCAAGACCGCCAGACTCAGCAGGAGCCTCTTCCCACAGGCCATCATACTACTCAGTTCCCTCTAACAATACACAACAGACTGGCCTATCAGGACTGCTGAACCCCTGAACATACACACAGACTGCCTGAACACTTTCTTAGAACTCTGTCTATATAAAAATGCAGCTTTTTTCTGTGCAATATTTACAATGTTCTCATCACTTGTGCACTTTATCACTATTCACCAGTGCCAAGTTTACATTTCCTGTTACACTGTGCAATAATACCATCACTGAGAACAATGTGCAATATTTTTTTCTATACAACATGCAATATTCTTATATATATATATATTTTATATTTTTTTTTCTTTCTCTCTCTCTATTTGTATGTTTTATGTCTGTCTATGCAGTCTAGTATGTCTATGTGCAGTTGCCTTTTATATATATTTATGTATATTTTTGTACTTCGAAGTTGGAGAAACGCAATCTCTTTCAGCTCTGCACTGCTTGTTGTACTGTCTGAATGACATCAAAGTTCATTTTGACTTTGACTTTGTGGAGAACCTTCATACAGATAAACATGACTTCATAATGACCTGCAGACACTTTGTTTATCATTCAAATTGTGAACCAATTACTAAGCTGATTCATCAAGAACATGAAATTTTAATTGATTTTTTTTATCGAGTAATTCATTTTTATGGGGAACTGAGAAACCCTTAAATCATAGATCTTAGTTGTATGTAATCATACAGACACATATACTGATTAAAATTTTGATTAATGCTTATTAGGTCAATAAATCGTTGTCCCAATCTTTAAAGAACTCAATTCTTTAGAGAACAAGTGCCATAATGTTTTAGAGAATAACTCAATATAGGGCTGATTTTTCGACTAGAAGCTTGAATGATTAAGACCGCTGCTTATTTCTCTCCAGACATCCGGAAGAAGTTGTGATGCAATGTACAGTATCGGCTTAACATTACTTGCATGTTGTATATGTAAACAAGAATGTTTTCATGGATGCTGTATTAAAACTTTCTAAGTACTTCTCCATTGACTGGTGGTATTAGTATTTGTACACGTTTACATGCTCCCACCTAAAACACTTTAAAACACACACCCACCTCCTTTTTCATGTAATTTTCTTCCCACGTCTGTTTCTCGATTTCCAGACGCTCTCGCAGCGCCTTCATTTCCACCTAAACACACAGTTCACAGTCATAAGATGCTTCACAAATCTGACAAATTGGAGTAAGAATTAAAATGAGAGCTGCCCAGATCAGCACACTGAGAAAGTTGTTAGGTGCAGAATAAGTATTACTGTGTTCTCTCCTCACTGCTTTGAGTGTGTTACCTGGTGCCGTCTCTCTTGCTCTTCTCTGCTCTTTTCCATCTCTTCCCTCAGCGTTCGATTAGCCAGCGAGCTGTTGTTCTCCAACTGAGTCCTCAACTCCTCCAGCTCAGCACGCTGCCTGTCACAACAAACACACAGGCATTTTAGTTACAAATGCTTTATACTACCAATCACTCATGACCAGCCAGCCTCATCTTGGAAGTGTCCACAGTACAATGACGCAGCACTGTGAAAAAGTCTGAGACCACCCTTTATTAATCAACTTCTAGTCAACATGGCCATTAAGTTTAAAAGCACATCCAAAGCTCAGTCTTAGAAGTTGGCTGCAGCAGCTTCTTTGTTTGATTTGCAAATTATCTTCTTTTCTCAGTGAGGGCTTCTTGACAGCTACGCATCCTTTCAGACCCACTTTTCAGTTGTCTTCTCACAGTGGAAGGATGGACAGAAACACCTGTGGATTTTTCAGATCTGAAGCAGCTTGATTTTCTCCTCTCTATCAAAGATGAAAGCCCTAAGTGCTGTTTATCTGATGGGGACAGTTTTTGTGGTCTACCAAGTCTTGCACGGTTGTGAGGAGTTCACATTTTTTTTTAACTTCTTTTTTTTAGAAACTCCTGCCATTGGTCTCTGACTTTTGCTCAGTACTGTAAATGTATGTAAAATGTGACTGTTTAATATGCAAAAACAGGCTGACAGTTCCTTGATTCCTGTGTGAACTCTGATGCTGACCTTGCCGCTAACTGAGCAAGTCGTTCCTTCTCCTCCGCCACTTCTTTATAGAGACGTCTCCTCTGTTGCTGCAGGGCATTCTCTTCTTCTTGAAGCTGCTTTTCAAACCTAAAACACAAACACACAAAGTTGTCCTTAAAACAAACCAATGCACATAAATGAAATAAAACTGGCAGTATTTTACTCAATTGTCACCAATATGCTTCCATGTTCTCATGGAAAATATGAACCTCTTGCATACTTTACACATCTGTAGAACATTTTCACTTCATTTCTGATATGCAAAACTGGTTCAGCACTCTCTACCTTCAGTAAGACATGTTTCAGTTCAGGTTCCAAAATATTTATTCAAACCAAAGGTGAAACAAAGGCCCTCAGGGTTCGGATGTGAGATCACTGTCCGTCCTCTGTGACACCTGCTCTTGCCTGTGCTGGATTATAAATAAAACTGTAGGCTGGCACTACATGGTAAAACTTATACGCAACTTTAGCTGCTTGAAACTTACATGAAACTAAATTACTTGATTTGCTGAATGCAAAGTGTGCTGCAACTCATTTATAGCTCCTTTGAAACTCAGCCACATCCGTTGCAACTGTTGCAACTTTGTGAAAAAAGTTTAATGAAATCAAAATGCCGATAATACATTACGTAATCATGTCAAATGGCATACTTTAAAATGACTCAGTTTACTGGATCAATTGACAAGAAAATAAAATAGAAGATGAATTATTGGACGACTGAAAACGAGATCCTCCTGATTAACTTCATGGTTGGGAGAGCTTCATTTTCAGTTTCCTGAGCCATGACAAATGGCGAGTTTCTGTAAGCTAATCTAACATAATTCTACTGAAGTTAACGTAATTCTGTAACTGGCTGACTTAACTAGCCAGCTAACGGTAACAGCTGTTCAAACAGCTGCTTGTGCCAGCATGTATTCTTCTCTGTTAGCCAGCTGTTATGATCTGCTCACCTAGACGACTATTATTTTACCCCTTTCTTGACAACCCCTAATCTTACACAGAGAGGAGATCCCTTCGGGAATCAAAAGAGGAAAAAGATTACTGAAGAGGACAATGAGGTGTGGTTCTCTGTTAACTTGGCAATGCATCTAGGACGGGATGAGCAAGGCATCATGTGCAAATGTAATAGCTATAAAACATTCATCAAAAAAAGAAAAAAAAAACAGAATAAAACTCAAATTCAGAATGAAGAACCATAGACAGACAAAATGATAAGTCAGTGTAAATAACACATCACATGTAACTTTTCAGCTAACAAGTAAAGTATTTGAATGTGTTGCATGTAACTGACTTGCTTGATGTAACTGTCCAGTTGCATGCAACAGTTTCACTGTGTATAGCCAACCTTAGTCTATGAGAGTTGTATCTAGCATTAACAATGACTTCCAAATGGCTGGTCTGGACATCTGGAGAGTATCTAACTCATACACATGTGCTGGCTGCTTCTCTTTCTATGTGGTCCTCACAACACCATATTTACATATTTGCATTTTTCTACGTTTTACTCAAACTCAGATGATGCCTTACCTTATAAACAGCACTGGATAGTGTATCACAAGTTGGCAAGTAACATGATGTTTAATTAGCCTGTCTACAAGTATATATATATATATATATATATATATATATATATATATAATATATATATATATATATATATATATATATATACACACATGCAATAAATACGTTCAAATGTTTTTCAGATGCAACAGTGACTTGAGACGCACATCGGCTGTTTCTGACTTTGTTCCTAGAATAGGATCAAGACTACATAGTACTGCAGGGCACCGAGTTCAAGTGACCTCACTCTGACATCTGCCCTTGAGCCCCAACTACTCCACAGGTATTGCAATCGGAGCATGCTTATAAATAAACATTCTGGTTCTGTATCTTGGCTGGTGAAATAAAGTCCATCTTTTTTCTCTTCCCAGCCATTTATACTGGCAGCCAAGAGACTCAACAGTCCATTCCAAAACAAAGGGCAGGAAAATTCAGAAAAATGTCCTCAAATTATATTAATATATCTAAAAAAGCTACCTAATATGTCTGAAATAAAAACTGACCTTTGTTACCTTGTTTTTTCATGTCTCTGACCATATTAAACACAAATTTTTAAACAACTACACAATCATATCATGCTATTTGACAGATAAATGTGTGTTTTCCCTGAATCTCTGGTCAAACATCTTTGAAAATGAGTTTTGATTATATCACTGCGCACCAGCAGGTGGGAATAATAATATTAAATCAATGATATCATCTTCCAACACTCCCAAGTATCACAGAGAGAACATACTGAGCTAGTATTTTCTTTTTTTAATTCCAAGACATTTTGAGTTTTGAGTAGCAAAAACAACCACAGCTCATTTTCACATGATCATTTCCCTACCTCTCTTTGTCCCTTAGAAGTAATCAGGCTGTTTTTGTTGCTGTACCTTTAAGACTGATATGATTTTAAGACATCTGTTCTGACTGGATGCCCTGTATTTTTTTCATCCAAAAAGCAGTTTGGGCTAAAACTCTCCTTGTAATTTCATATAATTAATATAATTATTATTGCTGTAGGCTGAGTAGGTGATTATATGCATATTTTGATTTTGATTCATCTGTTTTTCCAGTTCATTTTCCTTATATGGACTGTATGAACTAGTTAATGGTATGTTCTGAAACCTTAGCAATGTATAATTTTTTTTTAATAAGCCACATTTGGTGTTCCATGATATGGGCCTCCTCTTAAAGTCTTTGAATGCTTTGATTGTCTGATAATGTTTAGTGCAAACTTTTTTATGAGGTCAGCATTACCCTTTAAAACTAAACGAACAGGGCTAATTACACTGCTGTTTTTTTTACAGAGCCCCACAACACATGCTCTTCCATACTAATGACAGACAACAATGTTTTTTTCTCTTTCATTATAAGTGTACGTGTGTGTGCTTGTGTAAGAGACACAGGCAGCTACACATGTCTTCAGAACCACCTCATTTACTTTCCCACTATGTTGTGAAACCATTTTTTTGTGCAAGTTAGGAAAATACTCGTGTGTGAGTGTGTGTGCCTAGCAGCTGTGTGTATAAACAGTACTAGCAGCCCAGTTATGAGTAAGAGTGTGTTGATGCGTGTATGCGTAAGTTAGAGACCAGCAGTTGTGCTGATCTTCTCACTTCTGGCTCTCTCACATTGGCACTGTCCATGTTTGTGTGTGCAAATATGTGAAGACCTTAAATGGCCCATATTCTTTTTATTTATTTATTTATTTTTATATTCGCCCAGAGGTCTACTTATTACATTTGTGTGGTTTTATATATTATATTTGTGTGTGTTTTTATGTGTGGTTTTATGTGTCCCTTTAAGGGCCCATTAAACAGCAGCAAAAGCAGCTAAAGCCCTATTCCTCTTTTCATCTCTCTCTCTCTCTCTGGCACTGTTCAAGTGTCTTGTTTTTTTAAGATGCCTGTGAGAGAAACAGCTGCCTGTATGGGTGGACCTCTACTTAGTCATTTTTCTGTGGCTATGTGTGTGTGTACGCGCATGTACGCATGTTCAGTGCTCAAACACAGTCTTGGGACACATCTGTCATCATTTTTTTATTACGTTTTTAGAATCACTTAATTTGCTCATGTATTATGGAAATAATATGGACTATATTCAAAAGAGCATCATTTGAGCTAAACCCCCCTCAGTTTTACTTAAAAAAAAGAAGAATGGTTGGGAAAGTAATCCAAAACAGGGCAACTACTGGAAAGCTAAAGATGCCCAATGCTACTCCAGGAAAAGCAGCATCCAACAATACACATCACTCTAATTTACATTAACGTTCTTAAAGATATTGCTTTAGAAAACCTAAATATTGAGAACTAATCTGTAAAAAAATAATTGTCTCTTGGTAACAAAATGAGATACAGTAAAAATCCCCAAATCAAGTGTAAAAATGTTTTGAGGTGGTAGAAAGAGACAGGAAGAGTTCAAAACTTGCCACACTCAGATCATCCAAAAGAGAAAATCCAACAAGCCTGGTGGAACATCAATGCAAACTCATGAACTTCTAGAAGAATTGCAAGTTATCGTCCAGAAAAGGACATGCAACATAAAACTGATTCAAATAAAAGACTAAATATTAACACAGACACAGGAAAGAGAGAGTTATATTTGTTCCACTGATGTCTGAGTACCTTCACTTCCCTTACTAAGTTTCATTTTGAGTTTCATTTAGTAAACATCGTTGTTATTGCTGGCTGCTGTAACTTTTCTGATATGAACGGATAAATGATACCTTTAGCCAGGAAAGTAAGACATACACAAGACATAAACTGTAGTGTTCCAAGGCTCTACTAATCCATCTCTTTTTGGCATTCTTCATCTTGCATCTGCGTCTATTTATGTGTGTGTTTTTACCTCTGCTTAGCGAGTTCTCTCTCTTTCTGGCACTGCTCATCTCTCTCTTTCTCCAGCTGCTGCCGGAGCTCCTCGATCTGCCGTACGTAGCGCTGGGCAGCCCTCTCATCTGCCTGTAGTAGCTCAGCCTCGTGAAGGACACGCAACTTCTTCAGCTCCTGCTTGTGTTTGGAGATCAGTTTTTGGATCTCCGGCTCCAGGCCTGAACACACAAACAGGTCATGAAGGTACATAATGCAAATCCCTTCACTGTGTACAGACTGAAAAAGACATCAATTAAGAATCAAAAACATTATATTCTAAACTGAAACCCAAACCAAGCAAAGAAATTCCAAATACTGCAAGTTTCATTCCTCAGCCAATAGAGAATAAATGTCAAAAATAACTAAATAAATTAAAAAACTTAAGTCAGTGAAACTCTACTTGCCTCCAAGAAGAGTGTAAATAACGCTGTTTATTTTAAGGACACATTAGACCAGTTAACAGGTAAATAATACATCATGTTGGGCAAAATCAGAATAATGTTTTCTGTGTTTTAAATCCACCACCACACCCTCTACTTAAGGTAATGTCCCTCATCATGTGGCCTCATTATATGACCTGCTACAAGTCCAACGGGGCCTCATTAAACAGGGCTTATATTTTATGATCTTTACTGTGCTTACATATAAAGATGGATATAGAAGCCCACTACGTGAAACTGCAGGACTCAAGTGGTAGGACCGGTCTGTGAAAGTTACGGTAGTGATCAACATTCAGTTGCAGCTGTAAGTGCTGTAGACGCAGGTCAAGACAAACATTTAACAAAGGCGCAAAATAGTCAGCAACTAATCTTTGTGTGGTAATTACAGTCTTGCCTGTCACTACCAGTTCATGACTGTAATTAACTTCCTCATCACCGCATCCATATGTGTTTACTTCTATATATTACTACGTGTCATATTTTTTTCATTTTACCACATTTTCTCCCAGCGTTATTCGTTGCCAATTCCTACCCACTGTTTAAGTCTGTCCTCTCACATGATAGCTACCAATTTTGGAGTGTGAGACCCAACACATACTTTCTCTGCGACATTGAGCCAATCACTGCATCTTTTAGGGCTGTAGCTCATGCAGCATTACCGGACAGCTTGACTACCTTTTGACTATTTGTTATTCACCTTTAACAGTGATCTCCTTGATCTTCTTGGTCTTCTCATCAATCCACTTCTCTCTGCGGATCTTTTCTGAGGCGCTCATCAACTCTTTCAGCTTCTTAATCTCCTAAAGTGTTACAGACACAGAGAAGAGAAAGAAAGTAGAGAGAGGAAAAGTGTTAGGAATAAATAATTAACGTCTCCTGTTTCTGTAATAGGCCGAAAATCTCAAAATACATGGCACTGGGAGTAGAAAGGTCATTATATATGTTAATAATCTAGTAATCTAATGATTATTTTGATGCTTAATCAAATTGTCAGAATTTAAAAAATAAATACATTTTAAAAAAGACTAAAAGCTCAACCATAAAAATGGATTTAAATGAACAATAACTAACAATGCCAACAATAACAAAAATATGACTACACATATATACATATAACATAAGCTAATGTTATATGTATATTACGTAAAACATACTGTAAGTTTAAGTTTAATTCTCAGTATTCAAATAAGTGATTAGTTGCATCAGGTGAGCTTCTACTTGGTGGGAACAAAAACACTGATACAATAAAAACAAGACTGGACACTCTGGCACACAGACTCACTACGTAAATATTATCAAATGCTTTGTAAAGGATATAAGAAGTAGATATAATCATTATGACCGAAATTAATAAATAATAAAATGACAGAGCAACGTCACCAGACAGTTTCACCAACAGGTCTCATCACCACAGCTCCAAGAACCTGATCAGTTTTAACTGTCACAAGGAAATAGAAAACTCTCTCAACCCATGAGTGAAAGTAGTGATGAGCATGTTAACTCCACAGTCAGTAGTTAACAGAGTAAAACACAGTCTCTGAAATTAAAGGTGTATACTTGCTTCAGTTCCCAAAACCACAACGCAGCCGGACATTCTATATTTAGTTTCGCCACTGAAAGGCTTTCAGCAAAGCAGAGCAAGAGCAGGCTACCAGAAACTGCCTACTGAAAAGTGAGCAGTGGCAATGCTACAGGTCAGCTGCAAAGAAATGTATTATCAAAGGTGGCTATTCCAGCACTGACAGCTTCCATTAGTTATTTTGAAACTGCTTATACACTACATATACACACATAGACAGCCCTTCTAATTAGTGAATTTGGCTACTTAAATGTGCTCCCACTGCTGACACAGGTGTTCAATTTCACACATACAGCTTGTATAATCCACAGTCATTCTGGAGTGGCCTCACACAAGCCTAAGGTCACCATGTCCAAAGCTAAGTGTCAGCTAGAGGGGTATAAAGCCCCCCGGTGTTGGGCTGTAGAACAGTGGAACTGTGTTCTCTTGAGTGATGGAGCTCCATCCAGTACCTTTGGGATGAGTTGGAGTGATCCAGAACTGATCATCCAACATTAGCAGCAGACCTCACTAATGCTCTTGTGGCTGAATGCAGTCAAATCCTCAATGCAATGTCTAGTGTAAAGCCTTCCCAGAAGAGTGGAGGCTGTTACTGCAGCAAAGGGGACAAACCTTCTAATAATACCCCTGATTTCAAGAGAAAGTTGGATTAGCAAGTGTCTACATTTGGACGTGTGGTAACAGTCTGGTATGCAGACAGGCACAGATAGGGTTATCATTAACTAGAAGGATAACAGATAAAAGGCATGACAAACATTCCATAAAACCACCTGGAAGATAACGGAATTCCCAAAAGCTCCTACTATGGTGGTAAGTTGGTGAAGTGAACTATGCCTCTTCTCTTCAATGCCTTGCTCTGATTACAGGCTACTCGCATAACATCATGACACCCTGTCATCAACGGATACTTCAACAATTTCAGCATCTGAATCTCAGAGTTAGTCCTCTTAAATGTTTCACTGTAAAAAAAAAAAAGAGGTGATTTCCACTTGGTGGAAATTGCAGTATCGAAAGGGAGGGGAGAGATGAAATAGAAGCGAAGAGCATAGGTCAGAAACAGAAAAATAAGCGTTACCTCACACAAGGGACCCAGAATTTGCCACACCTACAGTCAGAAGAGCAGACGTAGAAACGAAGCAAAGAAAAACACAGACAAAGAGAAGAAGAGAGAACATAGGTTAAAGAGAATAAAAGCAACGCTACAATTAAGCGCATGCACTTCCCACTCGCACCTGCATGCACATACACACAGAGCTCTTCATATAAGGTTTAGTGTAAGAGGAATAAAAATAAAAATACAGAATGCTCATAGTCCAACAGCAGTCTTTACAAGCACAGCAAGAAAGCAAGCAAGCAAGTACGCCCCCTTCTGGCACCATAATCCTACTACATGTTGTGTTTGGAAATGGCATGCATAGACAGTTGGTGAGATTTGCCAAAAACAGCCAGCCTTTGCCTTTTGTCAACATTCTGATTAAGTTTCCTGCTGTTTGGTTAAAATCCTGAATCAGCCAATGTAGTACTCACTAGTTCATGCTGCTCCTGCATCTGGCTAATCTTCTTCGTATATTTTTGGTCCACCTGTTTGAGTTCAGCTACCACCCCCTCACAGCGCTCACTCAAGGCCTTCTTATCATCGATCAACTAAGAGCAGGAGACACATATCAAGTAATGAACACATTTCGGACTACATCCTGTCCAAGACACACATAAAGCTAAGTCTAAGTCTATCTTTAAGTTAAAAATAAATAAATAAATAACAGGGATTCTTTATGGAAACGGGAATTATTATTAGTGTTTTGAACTATACCAGGTTTATTATCTAGTTTATACACAGTACTATGCAAAAGTCTTGGACACCTAAGGAAATTGTTTACAACCATTCATCTTGGCAGAGAGTGTGCTTTTGCTCGTAAAACACCACATAACATTAAAATATCAATAAAATAAAATAATATAAAAAAGTACATCTTAGCTAGTGACTAAAAGAACACAGGCGAAATTCCAACAGTACACCTGATTTAATTTAACTTTAATTTTTAAGATTTGATTAGTTCAACTATGTACTGGACGATTACTACAAAAAATACTGGGCTTTCTCAAGGAGAGAGTTGGAAATGGCTGAATCAAAACACTAACATATATAAAACCATTACTTATTGAATTAATATTATTTGTATTTATTCTAATATTAGTATTTTTTCTGAGCAAATGAACTACACATGGATCAATAACACTACACAGCAGTCATTTATGACAGTCAGTGGACTTGGTCCTTGGTCATTTGGTCTCTGAAGACTGGGTATCTGCATGTGTGCTAGCAGAAAATGTGGTTCTGAATGAGGTGAAGTGTGGATACCTGGTCTATGAAAGCCAGGTGTCTTTGTATTGTTGCCTCATATTGTTGTTTTTGCAGCTGGAAGTTGTGGTTGAGCTCCTTCTCTGTCTCCTTCACATGATGGAGCGTCAGCTCTCTCTGCTGAGCCTGCAATCAGAGTACCATGGCTTCAGTTTAGAAGAGTACTATTAACATAGCTAGCCATTCTTGGTGTGTTTATGTCAGTATGGAGATTTTTTTTTTTACCAGAGCAGCCTGTAGCATGTTGACAGTGCGTCTCTTCTCCTCCAACTCCAGTTTGAGTCTCATCATGGAGCTGGTGACCTCAGCAGCAGTAGCTGAAGCGTGATCCACGCCAGCCAGCTCCTCCTCAGACAGCAGCACCTGCAAACACATGCAATGAAAACAAGCATCTCTTTAGAAATGAAAGTAATGTAATTAATGTTACCTTAAAAAATGTTAACCTTGAACCATAGACTTAATATTCAGTTATTATTTGTGGCACTTTTCACTATGTAGGTTATGTAGTTCTGTAAACATGTACTGATAAGATAAACAGCTTTTTTAAATATATTTTTCTCAGGTGCCTAAAACTTTTGAAACTCAGTCATATGAAAGTGAGCCCTGTAGCAGCAGCACCTCTCTATGTGATCCAGATGTGACTGAGCGAGGCCTCTCCTGCTCCGACTTCTCCATCTCATCCAGGAAGCTCATGATGCTTTGTAGCTTGGCCTCAGACAGGAGGGCGCCCTCATCTGGCAATGCGGGGGTCTGACTCAGCTGCCCATGACGCTCTAGGTTATCCGCAGTTAGGGAGTTAGAGGTTCCGTCCTGCAGGGAATGACATGGAGCTACTACAGCCAGTCTGTGCATTCTTCCTGGACACCCCAGCCATCAGATGGATTTGTTAAAATCCATCAGCAGCACATTTGGTTTAATGTAATGAAGCATCGATTAGCCAAACCTGGTAGTGAATGACAACTACAAATAATACTGGGCTGCTATGAGAAGAGGTTTGGAAAAAGGGTAAAACGAACAGACTGAAACATAAAATCACTATTTATAGTATTAATGTTATTTGTATGTATTGTAATATTGGTGTTTTTCTGAGCAAATAAACATGTATTGATAAAACAAACAGTATTTTGTTTAAATATAATTTTCTCAGGTGCTTAAAACTTTTGCACAGTACTGTATATTCTAAGTACTAAGTTCTAAGTCTTTTCATAAAATATGTCTAAAAAATGTAGTCACTTGTCCTCTTGTAAACATGGAATCTACTTTCTAATTCTAACCTGGACCACAGTCACGTTTCCAGCAGTGGTTCATGTTAGTAGTTATAATATTATCTAGGGATACAACTTCAGGCCCACAAGCAGGAAATACAGCTCTCCTCTCAATTAGAAAATATAAGCTACTGTCTATAAAGCTACAAAAACTGCTTGTGGACTTGAGCAGACTCACCTCATCAATCCAGGCATATTTCTCTTTTCTGTAGCTCTTGTCCTCTGACAGTCCCTCTGGTTCCTCCTCCAAGAGCTTAAGGGAATCCAGCAGGTCATTAAGGGTGGTTTTAGAATGAGCTCTGCTGGACGACACCCCCTGCCTCTGGTCCTCAACACTTACAGACCTCTGTAGAATCTCCTGAGCAAGACAGCCAAACTGGATTAGCAGTTGAAATCTCCTAATTATGTACATCATGAGCTGTTTTTTCTTTGGTATCAGATGCCTAAAGCCCATGAGCTCTGAAAAAATAATTTTTCTGAACTTCAGGTTCACTTTTTGGCCCAGCATAAACGATTAGACTCTGAGGTCTTTTTGGAATACAGTCTATTCCAAAAAGTGTTGTCTTCTGTTCAGAATTCCTTTAGCAAAGTCTACTGAAGCCTGTGTGCTGTCTGATGTCAACTGTACCTGTGTGCTGTATCAAGTAAACTGTCTATTTGTGCTGCATATATTAAATTGATATGAAATACCTGGGAACACTGAGAACCTCTTCGTGTTGACACTGCAGGTGAAACTGCCCTCAGGTTAGCAGCGTCTTCCAACTCACTTGCCAAATTTACATTTGAGTCTGTACACAGACATTCATATAAGATGAGTCAGTCATTTTCAAACTACCAGCCGACCACATAAATGTTATTTTCTGTCTGGTTAAAACACACACACAAACCACACATTCTCAGCAGAAGCTGTATTTTCCAGCTGTTGAATGCAGAAACACAGACAGAATGAGTGAGGGGTCCTGCAGTTTACCTGTGTTCTTGGCCTTGGCAGCTATTGGAGAGGTGGGTAAACTCTGGGTGAGTTTTTTACGGCCCACCTTCCCAGCCTGCTGCAAGGCATCCAGCTCCTCCTCCGCTGTTTGCTGCACCTTGGCTGCCCGCTGGGCCCGCTTCTGCTGCAACTCCTACAGGCACACGCACAAATTCAACACAAAACCATGATTTAAAAAATGTAAAAAGCTCACCAAAAATCACAATCAGTGACACAAATAATAAGATTTTGTCTATTTTAGTTGTACAAATAAAAGTCACAGTTTCTTTTAAAAATGAAATTCAGTAAGTCAAGGCTAACAAACAACATGAAAATTCATGAAATGAAAATTAAGAAACGTGTCCCCTGTAGTAGGGACCGCCGGCATCATTCCTAGGAGAAAGTCTGAGACTAAAATAGAGGGGTAATTGCTGTAGAGTTATTAAGTTCACTGAGTGCTGCAAATACAAGTCATGTCTAAAAATGTTACTAAATAATCTGACTTACTGTTGGTTACTATAACAAGGTTAAAAGGTCAATGTGTATGAAATTTGGCAGACATCATCTTTTGAGACCCCACATTCATTACAAATAGAGGCCACTTTCGCCAATCATTTGTGGTCTACTGGCTGTGCTCTTCTTAAACGGTATATTGTACTTGGACCCCAATAATTGCTCTTCGTGATGTAATTTGTAGACGGTGGCTAAGCTCTCACAGCAGTTACATCAGTCCATAGAACTCAACAAAATCAGTTTCAGGCAAAAGCAAACAGGCAGTTGCGAACGAAATGTGTCTCTCTTTTCACATTTTAGTAACGTTTTCTCAGTTCTGATGGGATAATTTATATCAAATACTATAACTGTTTGTTGACTGAATAATAACCCTGAACAGCTGCTGTGCTGAGTTTGGGTGAGATGATACTCATCATTCCAAACTGTGAATTTCAACAAAAGGTGACAAGTTTGCATGCATGAACAAAACAGACCTCACAAGTTGGCTGTTCATATTTTGCTATACTTTACATCTGGTAAAGGAACAGGTCAAGGCAGCATGCTGCTACTGGACATCAGGCAGTAACTAGAAAACAGTCAACACATGTTGGCTCTGGTCCAGTCAGTCTACTCAGAAAAGGGGCCAAAACACTTGAATGCTAAAAAGACCTCAACCCTTGCTGTAGTGGTCAGCCTCAGTTAGCAACTGTCTCTGTAGCCGGATCCAGACACACCTGAATAGCAGTGAGTCTGGCCAAACGAGCCTTCTCCTCTCTGATGCGTTTCCTGTCCTCCTCCTTCTTCTTCTGTGATCCCACTGCTTTATCTTCCTCCTGTCGTTGCTCCCTTTCCTGTTTAATTACATCATGTAATAGACACCCATGGATGTTTTAGAAAAAAAACACTTCTAAAATAGCTTTTAGGCTAGTTTACACAATTAGAATCTTTCTCTGCAATGCATATGCCAGTTGAAGACGCTGAGATGATTTTTTATTTTTACAAGGAAAAGACCAGTAATTGTAACGTTTAAGCAACAAAACCACACAAAAACGTCTTACGTTTATCAAGCATGCTGATTTCATCAGATGCCCAGCTGAAAAAAAACAACTGTGTTGACAAAACAACCTTTTTCTTTTTGATTCCCCCTCCTTACTTATCGCTTTCATGCACTTCCACACAAATAAAGGGAAATACATAAAACTTCCACGACATGACAATTTTTATCTATAAAAGTTCAACACGCCTACAACTGGTGTGGCTTCTGCTGTTTTTTTGCTGTTGTTTATTTTTCTGTTTTTTTCCCCCCTGATTTTTCCCTTTTTGCTTTAATTGTGTCTGATTGTTTAAGTTCATTTACAGGGTCTCATTTCTATTTCATACAAATCAGAAAATATCAGGAAAACTGTTTCACACCTTCTTTTTGGACATGAGCAGCTGCCTAAGGGCAGCATCATTTGCTCTCCTCCGGTTGACATGGTGACGGAACCAACGCTGAATGGTAACTGCTGCGTGGCTGACCTGCTGGATATACCTGTTAACACAGTTAACATTAGAAACTTATGGCTATGGCACTTGCAAACAGTATTGCTTGAGACTTAACTTCAACTAACTACTTAACCTCATAATTAGCAAAACAGTGATAAAGATCATGTAATTAATGGCATGTTCAACATTCAGATCCAACTCAAATAGCCATTTAAACAGCACCACTGCACATAATTGTGTAAACAGCAATAAGTGGTACTAATTAGCTATATCAGATGTTGGAGCAATGAACACACTGAACTGTACAGTGCAGCACTACCCCAACTCTGGGTGACGTTGCTATGAGCAGATACTAGAGAACAATGTTGGGTGCTAATTCAGGCAAGACTCACCTCTCTGCCTCCTCCTCAGTGACCTCTCGTCTGCCAGCGGTGCGAGGGCTGCGGGGAGCGTTGTTGTTGGAGTTGGACGAAGATGAGGAGAAATTCTTCTGTGACTTAGTGAGGGAGCCGCTCTCTAGCGTCCCCTCATCATTTACTGTGGCCTTGATTATATTACTGAGATACGAAACAGAGACAGAAAGAATGAAGGAAACACAAACAATCAGTATGAGGCTCAGAGCTACAGCACCACCTGCTGGACAAAATTTTAGTTAGGCTGCTTTAAATATTTAAAGTGCGAGGACTCTATACATCCATTCTTCAGTTCATCACTTTCATAGTAGTTACTGAATAAGTTATACTACTGAATAATAATATTAAACACGCTTTAAAAAACATTCGGTTTACAGGTTAAATCTGTGTCCATAAACAAAGCATCCATACTTGAAGCAGGGTTTCTGGTTGGAGCTCTTGGGCGTGAGGGGCTTATCCGAGTGGTTGTTGTGTAGGATGGTAGTTACTGAGTTACCCATTGCTCCTTTATTGCTCCTGGAGGTAAAACATTACAAACATAATCAACTCATACTGACTTTATATAGTCTTCACAAATATGTTTACACAATTTCCAGAAGCCTTTAAAGCAGCTTAACACAGAGTCTGCACGTTACTATTCTACTAGCTACCCACCTCCTAAAACACATACACAGTCCTACAAAGAATTACACCAAACAAATGAAACAAAGGGACACTTTATATTCAGATGTAATAGCAACTATCTGGAAGTCATTTTAAGACTCCCTGCCTCCCAAAGAGCAGTTATTCAATTGCTTGACAGGCATGAAAAATGTGGCATCATGAAAATCTAACACAGTTGCCGTAGAAACAGAAAACGTTAACATGCAGGGTTGCGGCTCTGGAAGGAGGTGGCTGCCCACCTGTTGTTAGCAGTAAAGTTGGCAGCCAGGGAGACACCAGAATCTCTCTTCTTCAGGCCAGTGGGGGAATCCATACTGCAGGTACTACGTGAGCTGGAGGGCAGGGGGAAGGCTCGCGGCTGGTCGTCCTGAAACACAGGTACAAGAATAAACACATTCACCTTGTTGACACAGGGCACACGTCCAAATTTTATGGTCTCATCTCAAGTTTCCTTGTTGAGTTAAAACTTCACATCTTGCTCTGCCGGTTTCTCATGAATTGTACCAAACAGTGAAGCAACGGTAGGCTGCTACTGTACTATCACTGAGCCATTCTCACTCATTCATTATTATCTGTACTTGGTCTAGATTAGTATATTTGTGAAAGCATCTACAAACAGCATCTCATTAGGATAGAGTACTGGACACAATAAATATGTATCTGAGGTTTCAAAGCTGATTTAAGGCTGAAGGAATCACTACAAAAGCAAGAAAAAGGGTAGATGACAGAGAAGTCTACAGGGTCTACAGTGACGATAGGTTTACCAGTATATTCCATGTCGTGCGGTCTGGGGAGGCCTTAGTGAGGCTGGCCAGCTTTCGCCTCCCATCAGTGCTGCTGTCAAACAGAGCCATGAAGTCCTCAGCATGGCCATCACTAAGAGAAAGAGTCAGAGCCAGAATGCAGAGAATGAGTAAAAGGCGCATAAACACTGGACAAAATCAATGCTTTGTTAAGTCTGCAGACTTTGACTCAACAGTCAACACAAGGCTCTTGCAGAAACAATGTCAGTAGTGCGCATTATATTTTTCAAGTATTTTATTCTTGGTGGTTGGTTACTGTTAGTAAGAAAATGTTATAGAGGAAACTTAAAAGGCTCATATCCCACATTTTCTTGCATTTTATGTTTTACTCCAAGGTCTACAATATATTTGATGTTTGTGCAGTTTTACATACCAAAATTAGACTTAATTCATTTTACATGACAACCTCTCTTTACCCCTTAAAATGAAACAGGCTGATTTTGTCACTGTGCCTTTAAGACTAATACACAGTCGTATGCAAAGGTTTGGGTTAAATGATATGTTTTGATTTTGTGTGACTAAGTGACAAAAAGATAACACGTCCTCTACTGAGAACACACTTCAGCTGAATTTAACATATTGAAAAAATAAAAAAACATCAAGTTTGCCCTGTGTTATGCCACGTTTATATTTTTATATTTTTTTCAGTGTGTGAACAGTATGTGTGCTGCAAATAAACGGCAATTGTGTACTAAAATTGTTAGTGTTACTGTTATTTTCCATTTTTATTCTTATTATTGGTATTATAGAGGATACTGATAATAGTTTGGCTAGTTAACCGCAAGTCAAACATTGTTTCTGGTTGTTAAATGTTTACATACACTACCAGACTTGAGTTTAATCGTACAGATGCGCCAAAGATTACATTTATGAATAACAAAACTGTCTGTGAAACTAGCATGTGCTCAATTCAGATTTGAGGGCAACTGTACACAACTGTAATAAATAAGAGCCATTATGATCTTGGGCAGTGAGACTCCCTCTCAATGAAAAGAGCCAGACATCCGAAGCATGATTCACTTCAGATGAGCACAAAAAAAAAAAAAACTTTTTTTTTTTCGTGGTGACAGCTTTGTGACGACAGCTGCATTAGGCCTCTGCTTAGGAATGCAATATGATGGGAGTCTTTGAAAGGGACAGTCGCCTTCTTAAAGGCAGATAATGCACACAGGCATATGGCTATCGCATCTTCATGCACAATCGAATACCACCGAACATCCAGCATGGGTGAACAAGGCAGATGCCTGACCTGCACCATCAGCATCTGCGCTGTAGCCTTATGTGTGCTGAAGTGTGTGCATTTTTAGGGGGGGGGGCGGCGTAGAAAGGCGACCACCCCATGCCAGCTGGCCTAATGAAAAGTACGCCCAATACTGATTTAAAAGTGCATTCCTTCACGTTGCAGGGGAAGGGAGGTCAGAGAAGGACAGTTATTAAGGTGCAGAAAGGGGAGGGAGCAGTGTTAGGTCATCCTTCATTCAAACCCACTATAGCATCTCAGGAGGCTGTGCAAGGGGAGGGCGACAGCAGCTGCCAGACAATAGGCTCCCAGTGCGTGCACACTTCTCCTTTCACTGCGGCCTCATTTGACAGAAACCCGAGAGGCTTCCCTCTCAACTGCTCCCCCCACCCGCTCTGAACAAAGCAGCCCCCGCTGCTCTCCACTTTTTTGAGCAGCAGCCGCCAGTTCACAATAGCCATTGTCCTTTATCTTCCAAACCCCAGCTGTTGCTCCTCTCTCCAGCACAAACCCCCAAATCCCCTTTAAACCTTAGCCCAAGCATGACACTCACTGCCCGTGGCTAAGAGCACACAAGCCACACAGAAAGAAACCTGCAGGGACATGTCTCAGATCACTCACATCAATGAAAAAAATGTTCAATATGTTGTTAGGTAGCCTAGACATTGCCTGAGACCATTTTAGGCTACTGAGCAGATATTAACACAACTGCTGGAATTTACTTTTGCCTTTCTGCGCTTTAGAAAGGTAATTAACAGACTTTGGCTGGTTTACATGGTGAAACTTTCATGCAACTTTATTTGCCTGAAACCTACATGAAACTACATTGCACTTGAGTTGCACAATGCGAAGCATCCTGAAACTCAATTGAAATTCAGCTGCAACAGTTGTTAGCATCTGAAACAACGCAAAAACAAAAAAATAAATAAAAATAATAAAAAAGAAGATGGTATGTGTGCAAATAACATTTTTTTTTATTTAAAGCATGTTCCAAGCATATTTAAAGCAGGTTCCATAGATCTTTTTTCCAAGCCAAGAGCCATTTAGGATCCTTTTATTTTTGTTTGGACTATGCCGCCTAAAATATTCCCTGCCTTGACGCAGATGTATTGGAGCAGTGAATACTTTCAGTTGTGCAGGACAGTGGCCCCTCAACACCCCATCAGAACTATGCAACTGTTAATACGTTTTCTTTAGAGATTCAGCATCACTTTTATCTTCACAATTCAAGCCTGAACTTGGAAGATTTCCAAAGTTTCTTTGTCAATATCATATCATCAATATGATTTAACTTTGTTTTTCAACTTCGTAAAACAGGGCCAAGGTCATCTCAGTTCTTATTAAAATATTTTAAAGCTTCTGGTTTGAGTATTGGATATGAATTTGTGACAGATGTGATACAAAAAAAGACAAACTAAAAACACGCCACTCACATTCACTTCATTCCCCTCACTCAAGTTATGTTTTGTACCTGAGGCTGACGTTGGCCTGCTGGTTCACCTGTGTAGTGCTGTTGGACCGCCTCAGGTTCTTAATGGCACGTGAGCTCCCAAACCCAGAGTCAACCTGCCAAAAATATGAATCGACAGCACTGTAATTAAAGACTGCAGTGTAAAATGTGGCTATATACCTCATAATGTATACTTAATAATGAATAATTTTACTCAAAGACGTGTAACTGATTTTTACTCTACGGAAATCAGAACATTCCTGAGATTGATGGCAAAATCATAAGCAAACCACTTACAATCATACTAACAACCGGCATGCTAGAAAATAAAGTAATACATAGAGGTGCCAAAAGGTTCTCTGGAGCGATGCCACAGAAAAAATTAAATTAGAATTAATAAAAGTTCAGAATTCAGGAAATATGGGTTCAAGAGCGTCTCACAAATTTGACACAAACCTGTTGTTTTGTAAATGTTAACCAGACAGAGAGCGTACTTCAAGAAAAAAACTTACTATATGTTTAATTGTATGGATATTAAACTGCTCTTTCAAATGTGCACAGGAAATTCCACCAATTATAGTTGACCATGTTGGTTTGGATGCCATGAGTAAAACGCAAAAAATAGAATAGAAACAGATAAATCTAAAAACAAACTGCTTGACAACAGCAATGCTACTGTTTAACGGGCATATCATGGATATAATTAACATTTTTTTCCAAATATATCACTAAACATACTGTCAAACAAACTGAAAAGCAATATCACAATATGTCAATTTCAGAGAATTACCAGTATAGATAATATATCTCCCAGCACTGAGTATGATGAGTCAAGGATATAAACATGAAAGTTGATTAGGAAAAACTGCAGAATATATTTTGACATAATTTACTCCTAGGATTACACATCTGATGGAAAAAGGGCAATTTATGAACTCACCAGTGTGTTGCGTTTGCCACGGCCATCGCTGGCCACAGACACAGATATGGAGCGGGAGAAGTGTTTCCCTGGTGATGCACTGCTGGGTCTGCGGCCCATAGAGAGCTGCGATCCACTCAAGCTCAGATCAAGAGCATCACCGGCCCCTCCAGGCTGGATGGACGCGGGACTGCGAGTAGTGTGCATCCTCCCTCAGCCTGAGCAACACAGGAGAAGACTGTTATAAGTCACTACATTTTAAGGAATTAATGGTGAGAGAAGATTGATTGGTAAAGCATTTCAGTGCATTGGAAGAGCAGTTAGTGATACAGTAACATAATATTCAGTGTTAAAACAAAGATAGTATTCGATGATAAGGCATTTAACTGCACAGTTGAATTAAATATACAAAAATCACAACACAAAGTCACAATGTACATATTTCCACATATTTTCTTAATAACCAAGCATCATAAAAGTGCACTTAAATCGATTACTAATGGCCAAATGTAGTCTTCACCAAGCGAATCGCTTAAGACCCTATCAAAGTTTTCAACATTAACTTGGTGAAGAGATGGAGGAACACCATAAGCAGAGAAAGAACATCATATAATGTTTTACTTACAGGTGTTGTTATTTCCATGTCCAGGGACTTCAAGCAACAACATCACCCATATTCAACTGTTAAAGGGGAATTCCACCAATTTTTCAAAACGCCTGAATAATTCACTTCTTGATATTCATTGTGGAGACTCAGATTTCTTTACAGTGGTGGTGATAGGAACCAGAAGTCACCATGTCTACAACACAAATATAGCCATTCTATCCAAAACCACCAGTGAACCTGCATGTATTTTCTGAGTTTTTATATGTAATGTTGATGATGGTAAAATAATGGTAAATCTGAAAAAACAGGCTTTCTTTGGGGACTATTTTGCCTTACAACGCCCTGCATATACCACTCTGCCATGCATGGATTAAAATAAATACATTAAAGCCAAAATGTTTTCATAAAACTATCAACTATCATAAAAAATGTTTCAGACATCACGCAGCATATATCTAACCAGTTCATGTAATAACGTCCTCTGAGGGAGCTTTTAGAAGCATTAAACTCTTCAGATGTCTGGTTCCTATCACCACCACTGTGAACAATTCTGACTCGGTAAGTTTCTCTAAACCAGAGCATTTCTCATCAGACCACTCTGAATGAATTTGTTTACATCACAACCATTTTATTATGTAGAATTTTTGAGAAATCGGTGGGGTTCCCCTTTAATATCAAAGCTATTCTTTGAAGTAGGCCTGAGCCTAAGACATCTGGCAGGACCAGCAGGTTAAGCCCATTGTAATATGTGTACCACTGACTGGTGTCAGTTTCCAGTTCTGTATTGACCCCTTTCTCACCCTGACTTGAGGCAACTTTTGCAGCTATTGTGACCCAACGAAAAAGAGGCAACTGCGACAGATATCAAGCAATGTAGCATTATATGCGTGTTATTGTAAGTACTGGACACATTGGACGTGACGAGGCTGAAGTTGGCCTTCTATTTGCCAGCTTCTTCCCGTTCCACCTTAAACGGTGCAGAAGTTGCATTCTGGCGCCTGAGGCCTTATGCACCAGAATGTAACTGCTGCACCATTTAAGGTGGAACGGGAATATTTGAACAAGAGGCTGGTGAATAAGAAGCTTCCTTCTTCAGCTTCGTTTTGACGTGGTCGTCGGTAAGATGGCAAACAAGCTAGTCAGGTAGTTACAACACTACTATATTAAGTAACGAGCACTGACACTAATATTCCCTTTCATCGAGGTCGCTAACGTACAATGAGCTGTCCAGTAGCTATCTAGCTAACCTAGCCACCAATAACAGTTACCAAGCAAACGTCTGAGAAGGGTGTGACCGTCTTTGCTACCTGGTTAGAATATAAAACCTGAGAAAATGTGAGTTTTCTTGTACTTACAACATGACTAACTGTTAAGCCTTCAGCACGTACTGTAAATATAACCTGGCTAGGCTACTGCAAAACTAGCTCCTCTGCGGGTTTTATTTACTCTCCCCAGCAATAATAACATTGAAATAACAGTGGAAGAGTCCATACTTACCTATAAAGTGAATCAGACTGCTCACATTCGTCTTCTTTCGCAGGAAATGACAATTTTGTTCCCGTTTTTCTGATGCTGGTTTGCGGGCTTGTGTCAGCTCCTGTCGCTCCTGCAGCGTAAACACTCCGTATCCAACATTACAGCGCAACATCATCACTTGGCAACCCGAACCACACGAAAACTCCGCCCCCGCCGAGCTGTGATTGGTGGTTCTCAGACGCTGGAGGCGTGGCGAACGATTTGATAGGCGGCAAAAGGGCGTCCTTTTAAAAATCAGATGAAAGGCGTGTCGCTCAGTCGCCAGCCAAAGCTTGGTTGAGGTTGAGTACGGCAGGCATGTATATGTAGTTTTAGAGAATATTTATTTTATCAATAATAATAATAATAATTATTATTATTATTGCTGGTATTGTTTCATGCTTTATTTATATAGCATCTTTCACACAGGCTACTTAAAATGCAGGTCTTTCTTTACAGTATGATCTATATTTTAATTTCTGCACTAAAACTGTTAGCTTTTAAAAAATAATGTTAAAAAATACTTGGATATGATAAAACATTGTGTCTACGTTGCATTTTATCTATTTTTTTGGCTTTTAAATATTTGAGAGGGGCTGATAAAAGTAAATTTGCATACAGCAGGCAATACAAAGTTGCACTGCTTCTTAATTTTCTTTCTTTTAACATTTTTTGGTGTATTTTTCTTATCAGTTCGGCAGCAAAAGCATGTCAATAATGATAGAACACCACACTATTAACACAGGAAGTATCAATTTTGTATGATACTTACATATGTAGCATATACATGAATAGGACATGTGCACAAATTACAGTAATACAGATTTATTGCAGAATTAAGAAGATAAAGTGCAGCATTAACCTGAACCAAAGGCCACCACTGTAGTAATATTTTACCACAATTTTACAAAATCAGAAAGAAAGTAAATGGAATGCGGAAAACTACATAGATTTAAGAACAATAAAGACAATAAGAAAAGACTTTAAGTACAATAAAGTGCACATTATTACATTAGCAGTTTCCATGGCAAACTTCATGGCATGGTAAACTCACACAAATGTCAACGTTTTAAAATGAGATGCTAGGAAACAGTGAATGCTGCATATGTCAAGTACCATTGTGGAAAGAATTCACATTCAGGGCTTGAAACGTTTAAACTGATGAAGTGAAGCAGGTGTACCGGACAACAACACAACTATATTTGTTCTTAGCATGTATTCTTTAATACTTGAGCAAACCCAGTCATGTCTTGAACTCCACTGCGAGCCTCCAGACCTCGGCAGCTTTGCTCAGGGTGATCTCAGAAGAAAGACAGTCTAGTCCGGGCAAGACGGGGGCACCTTTTTCGTCCAAATGGCTTTCCATAGTGTTTTGGATGCTGTGAAAAGGCAGGGGGGAGGGGGATTGAGGAAAGGATCAACAGTTAGCATTGTGGCCCATTGTTTGCAGCACACGCATTCCTTTTCTCTCCCTAGCCAGCTGCCTGCTCAGGAGGAGGCTCGAGTAGGCCTGGACTGACAGATGGAAGCCTGGAGGGGTCAAAGTGTGGCTCTATAGAGTCAAAAAGACCATGTTCCCCAGGGGACAACTAGGTGCAGAAAGTCTGCTTTGCTGTGATTGAAAGTAGCCAAACTGGAGGGAAGGAGGTGCTTCTGACGTGGTGTAGCGCCAGATATTGTTCAGGGACACAGAATAATTTAGGGAAACAATTGCTTTATCTCTGTGTTTTCAGCTTTGATAAAAAAAATGGGTGGAAATGTCACCAATGTAATTTTTTTGCTTGCTTACAGTGTTACTGATCACAAAATTTGACTATGAACAAATCACATGGATCCAAGTCTTAAAAATAAAGGTTTCTGGTTTCGACATACAGTTTTTTTGCATAGAGTTCAGTGTAGAACCTTTGTGGAAGGTTCTTTAAATGTTTTCACACATCTTATTTATAAAATGGTTCTTAAACCCCTTAACTGTACTTTGCATGACTGTGGATCCATTTCTGACTGCAGTATGTAAGTGTTGCATGTCTATGGAATCTGGAAAACCTAAATCAGATGTAGGGATCATTTACACAGCTCTGGGATGCAGTATAAGACATTTTGTAATGATATAAATGGGAAAAAAAAAAAACGGAAAGTATTAATTTAATATGTTTCTTTAAATATGAACACATCAAAGAGTGAAATCTCTCAAAACACCATGTATCACCAAGTACCAACAGGAAAAAAAAACTGGAGCCTTGGAACTCTTTTTCCTGGTAACAATGTAAATGTATAGGCATGGTCTTTATAGAGGCTTTTATAGAGGGCTGTGGCCTGCTGCAGGATATTGCTATCTGCAGGAGTTATGAAGCTTGAAAACAAGTATATACTGCTTGGTAATTTCCATTAGCTACTGGAACCAAAGCAATGACACTGAAGAAGTGAAACGCAATATTTAGTTAGCTCAAGCAAGTAAGAGCTGACCAAACTGAAAACCAATTAAATTGTATGTGATTTTAATGAGCCTATGTAGCCTAGTTTGGCTTAGACCATTGAAAGTTACCCATGAGTTGCAGAGAAATTATTCAGCACTCATCTTTTCTACTGAAGTTTCAAAAATCTAATGCATTTTACCAAATCTCTCTATGACAAATGGTCAACTTCTGGCAATCATTATAAAAAAAAGTGTGCTGTGGTTCTATAGGTTAAAACACATTCTAAGGCTTGTTACTTACTAACTACATGGACAACAATGCAAACTGGCTAAGTTATTACTATGTTATAGGAGTGTAGATTAAAAGTTTGGTTCCTGGCCATTTAAGCTATAAAGACCCATCCATAGTAGAATTCTTTTGGGAACAGAAAGACTTTCTTCTATAGCACTGCTCCTTTTTGAACCCTTTTTGGCACCTTTGCTTTTGAGAGTGCATGAAAATAACAGTGGTGTTATTTGTGTTTCTTCACCACCGTGCTTAGACTATTCAAATGAGAAAACAGTGGCTGTTATTTTTGTCACCCCAGGAAAAGCCTGGTTAGTTTGGTCTGATCTCAAATGCAAATGCCATAGAAACAGCTCATGTTGCCATATGTGGCCACAATAAATACGTCAGAGCTCTCCCACACAAATGGTGTGCATTACATAGAAAGTGCTAAGAGCAGACAAGCTGGAGAGCACACTGGAAAAAAAATATGCTTTGAATTTACATGATTCTAATGTTTGCACATTACTTCACATCATCACAGTTCTTGTCAAAAGAGGTAAAACTTGAAAGACAGCAATGGTGTTGTAACATATTGCACTCGTGAATGTCATGTGACACACTTGAATCATGCAAATTCAAAACGCCTTTTCTTTAAGGGCAGACAGAAAAGAAGTGTAAATGATCCTCACTCCCAGTTAGAAGAGTAGCCACTCTGCGATGTGCTGTCGGTCTTTAGGAGCAGAATTTCATGAAGCTCCAGAGTGAAAAGATCAACATCAGTGACTTCCAAGAACTCTTTCAGCTCTCTCCTCTCATCCACTGTCAGCTTCTCTTTGAACTCTTTAGAAAGTCTTGGGAACGGGTCCTGTGAAACGACACAGTTAATGCAAGCAAGTACATAGAGAAATCAGACATACAGTCGTAACACCCCCTGTCCAATTACATTTGTTGATTTTCAAAGTGAAACTAAGTCAATGCATCCTCTGCTGGGAAAAATTTAGTGCACAATTTCCATTTATTTTAGCTGAGATTATCATATATTGGAAAAAAAAACAATATCTAAAACGTGCCATAACTTTTGCACAGACCACATTTTGTAGGGTTTTTCCCCAGTATGTTAAATTCAGCAAATAAACAGTAATTGTGCATTAAAATGCAGAAGTATGTTCTCTGTAGAGGATGTATTAACTTATTTACACTTAAAAAATTAACAAAACATGTCATTTGATCAGGGGCGCACACACTTTTATATATGCCTGCATCTATATTAAATTACTATGCTTATTAAATGATATTTTCATGATCGTTTTACAGTGAGGAGTGTATGTGGGGGTGAGGACAGCCCAAAACAAATGGCATCGACAACCTAAATGATCACACAGATCCAGTTTTCATTCCAAAAGGCTGATTTAGTCCCAGCTTTGCTTCCACAACATGAACTGTGCAATGCCTTTCACTGCTATACTCCAAACACGGGGTCAAATACCTTAAATGTGCAGACAGTGGCACACGCTCTAAACAAAAGCCTGGCACACTTTGACTAACACTTTCACACTTTCCCTGGATTTACGACACACAGCTTCAGGGTCAGCCAGGGTCAGGGGTCAGGGGGGTCGGATTCGTGACAAAGTTAAACGGATGAACAGAAGGGGGTTTATTGGACCATTCTGCCTAATTGAAAGACTCATGGCTTGAATACCGATGCAGACATGCATATAAATATGAAAACATCCCTTCAGGCCTATTATTAATATAAATGTGTGTTAATTAAAGTATGTAAATTTATTACTTTAAGCAAAAGATTCCTTAACTATGCATTTAGAGGGAAAAATATTTATAGGCATCCTTCAATTCTTGGCCATATGCTTCTCATGTACTGTAAATAAACAATAAGATTCAAGAGGGTAATAAATAAGTTATAGTAAGTTAATAAGTCATTAATTAATGCATTACATTAAAAAGTTAGGCTACTAAGCAACTTCTACAGTAGTGTAAAACATAATCCATCCCATTCATTTAACAGCACCTACTGTCCCATATTATTCAAAGTACAGTAGACAGGGCTTCTAAAAAGGATACAGTGTAGTAGTAGCAATGTAGTATGTCATATATATATATATATATATATATATATATATATATATATATATATATATATATGGTCCCTCAGCAGCGTGGCCACATGCTGAGCAGTTAGATCTCACTGTTTTAAGGTAAATGGGATGTTCAATCATTTATTTTAATAAAAAAAAACACAAAGTATATGGTCACTCAAAACAAAAGGACTTTAGTCTAAAGTCCAAGTCAGTGAAAAGTCCAAAATGTGTTTTGAACTCTTGCTTTAAACCAACTTAATATAATGATCCATATATATATATGGTGGCTGTCTGGATTAAAAAACACTGCATGTCTCCAAAATGGTACCTTTTCTGGTTTCAGGAGAAGGAAAACTTCTTATTAATTTATAACAGAAATATATGTATATCTTTCCATGTAATTCTGGACTTTCTATTGGTCCATTTATTGTAAAATGTTCACACAAATAAAAAAAAAAATCCCAATAAACAACACAGATACGTGCCCTGACAGTAATGCTATATATACAGGACTGTACAAATGTCTTAGACACACAAGCACACTATTTAAAACCATTTATCCTGGCAGTGAGTTTGTTGTTGCTTGTAAAAACACAATACATAATAGGAATAAATGCAAATAAACGCAAATGTAAATAATAAATACAATAAATATCTTGTGAGCTAGTTTGAAGAATGATGTCTGGCTCCAGCAATCAAAGTGGTTTGCTAAATTCCATCAGCTCACCTGATTAACTTAATGAAGCATTGATTAGCCAAATCAAGTACTGGATATTAAATATAAATCATTTAAAATTTAAATCAGCTGAAACAATAACTTGAAGCTACTCCACCCAGCCTGTTTTAAAGTTGTAGTTATGACAAACAAGACAAATTCCATCTCACCTTCTTTAAAGTTGTGCATGTGGTGTGGTTTAGAGAAGCTCACCTGTCCTTTCCTCTGCTTCAGCTCACTCCTCCAGCAGGTGAGCAGCTGCCAGGTGGCTGTACTCTGATCCAGTCTGTTCTCTGCCAAGGCCTGAGGGCACACAGCAGTGAATGAGCAATCACTCACTAATCCTGTTCTTCTCAACATAAATCAAGAGATCCGCTCTAGCACGTGTTCGCTGAAAGATTATTATGAGTGAGTACGGCATTAAACACGTACACTGTAATCATGTAACACAAAGATGTTTGTGGGGTAAGTTGACACTAATTTTCCTTCACTTCACTTGGCTGAAGCGTCCATATCATGGAATACTGAATTTTCCTTTATTTTTTTTCAAGTAACAGACTTTGAAGAAGTATGTAAACATTGTTAAAGTTTTTAAAAGTACCTTTCACCACCCAGTCCATACAGTTTATAAAACAATCAGGCATAACATTATGACCACATTATGACTCCTTGTTTCTATGCTCATTGTCCATTTTATCAGCTCCACTTACTATATAGGTGCACTTTGTAGTTCTACAGTTACAGACTGTAGTCCATCTGTTTCTCTGCATACTTTGTTAGCCCCCTTTTACCCTGTTCTTCAGTGGTCAGGACCCCCATGGACCCTCACAGAGCAGGTACTATTTGGGTGGTGGATCATTCTCAGCACTGCAGTAACACTGACGTGGTGGTGGTGTGTTAGTGTGTGTTGCGCTGGTCTGCGTGGATCAGACACAGCAGTGCTGCTGGAGTTTTTAAACACCTCAGTGTCACTGCTGGACTGAGAATAGTCCACCAACCAAAAATATTCGGTCAACAGCGTCCTGTGGGCAGCATCCTGTGACCACTGATGAAGGACTAGAGGATGACCAACACAAAGTGTGCAGCAGCAGATGAGCTATCGTCCCTGACTTTACATCTACAAGGTGGACTGACAAGGTAGGAGTGTCTAATAGAGTGGACAGTGAGTGGACACAGTGTTTAAAAACTCCAGCAGCACTGCTGTGTCTGATCCACTCAGACCAGCGCAACACACACTAACACACCACCACCACGTCAGGGTTACTGCAGTGCTGAGAATGATCCACCACCCAAATAGTACCTGCTCTGTGAGGGTCCATGGGGGTCCTGACCACTGAAGAACAGGGTAAAAGGGGGCTAACAAAGTATGCAGAGAAACAGATGGACTACAGTCTGTAACTGTAGAACTACAAAGTGCACCTATATAGTAAGTGGAGCTGATAAAATGGACAATGAGCGTAGAAATAAGGAGGTAGTCATAATGTTATGCCTGGTCGGTGTACATAGAAAGCTATAAAAATGGCCCATTATAAATTCATTATTTTTTTGGCGTCACAAAAACCAACACTTTTGCATATTCAGCCTGCAGCAGTTTAGCCTCCCATTTCAAGTGTTATACTTTCTGAATGAAGCACAATACAGGGCAGCCAGTCAGAGTAAAGACCATTTAAATATATTAGCCTTTAAGGGGGATTCCATCTTTTTTCAAAGTTTTTGCATTATTAAATTATTAAGACATAAATAGAGTCATTTAAAGTGCTTGTGAAATGCGCCGTTCTAGAGAAACTTATCAAGCCATTGTATTTTGCAGTGGTGGTGATCAGAATCAGCATCTAAAGTGTGTAATACCTCTAAAAGCTGCCTTACAGAAGGTATTACATGAATATTTTGAGGTGACATTTTGGCCTACACTGTTAGAAATACAGGTTCTGTGCAGGTAAATATTTAATTCATTAAGATACAAACAATGTCAGTGTTCCCTCAAAGGTACAACAGTGGTTTTAAGGTCCAATTGTGAACCTTAAATAAGTTTTTTCCAGTGAAAAGTACATATTAGCACCTTTTCATAGCCGAATGTTTTAAAACAGAACAATAAAATAAAAAGCCTGGAGACGAGACGGGGTGTGTGGAGTCAGTACAACTTAGAAAATATAATTTCAATGGATTATGATACAGTTATGTTCCCTGACCAAAGATACTGAGATATACCCTTGAGGGAACCACCCCAGTGACTGTTTACTTTCTTTTTCTGAGAGTCTACAATCTACTTTTTAAACACATGATGAAGAGGTAAATTTTTTTGGAAAAGACTGTGAATAAAACACCAAACCATAATCAATGACTTGTTTGAGATGTTTAGAGATGTTTACATCTCAATGACTAAAACATGCTGAAATTTTGAAAAAATTATGGAATTCCCCTTTAAAGGCACAGTAACAAAAACAGGCTCTTTTATTCTAAAGAACACAGAGAGGATGATGAATGAAATGGTGAACTGTGACTGTTTTTAGAACATGAATCCAAACAAATGACCTCAGGGAAAACAATAAAATACACTAGAAATGTATGATATGTGCCTTTAAAGGCCACAACAGACACCTTAAAAGTACCTCAACACTCGTAATAGGAAAAAAAAACAGTCTTCATTCAGATTTAATATATTTTCTGCATGCCTCTTCGATTCTCAGGCTAACTGGAGTAATTTCCTGACCTTTCTTAAATTCTTAAAATAATTACAATGAACAAATAGGAAAACAGGCCAAACAGACTAACACAGAAAAGATGTACTTGGTCAGAATAGTTTGTGGAAGTGTACCATGTTATAAGTATCTAACCTCCAGAAAACGAGAAGCAAAGCTCACTGCTATAATCTTTACCTTGGCTACATTGCTGGAGATGTCCTGCTCCATTCTGAGAGACTTCTGAAGGTAGGACAGTAGTGACGAATCTGGACGTCCTCCAGTTTTACCCAGAAAACGCAGACCAATCTCCAGAGCATACACAGCATTACAGACATCGGTGAAGGAGCGCAGCACTGCCCTTATCGAGCTGCACATTGAACCCTTCAGTGGCTCCTGGTCAGCCAAATGAGAGTTAGAATCATTAAAAAAGTCAAATGCAACAATTTATATATAGCTTTTCAGACATTTAAGGTTATATCGTCCTCTTTTGCCTTCTTCAGCTCTCAGCTTAATGTTCATCAAAGTGTTTTCCGTAGCGTGAAGAGCAGGTTATACCTAAATAATGATTGACAGTTTGATGTAGTATCTAAATACTATTGAAGTTACTGGTCATTTTCCAGTCCATACAGTCCATATCTGAAAACTAAGCTGCAAAAACAGACAATTTTGAACTCATGTTTGTTTGTTTGTTTTTTTTTGTCACTGAAAACAATCCATTGACATATACAGCTGTATGTGAAAGTGTGAATACCCCTGGTCAAATTAATGTTTCTTGCAGTTTAGTTGATTTTCTAAGTAAAAATAAGTACACACCCACTATAGGAAACAAACAAATATGGCAATTTTCAGATTTCTTTGAGTATAACATCGTGGATAAAATAAATAAAACATTTAAAAAAACATTTTTGTGTTTCATTTTTTCCCCCTCAATATGCTGAATTTAGCAAATAAACAGTAACTGTGCATTAAAATGTGCAGATGTGTGTTCTCTTTGGAGAATGTGTTCACTTATTTTCATTTAGAAAAAAAAATATGTATCATTTGACCTGGTGCGCCACAACTGTTGCACCTGTTTCCGCCATTTAGGCCTGCATGAGGTCTTTTAAAAGCACATACTGAATCTCCTCTGCTCTAAATGAGTTAATGTTTTTCATGAACTGGTAAAATGTCTCACTTTCAACATCTGATATGTGTTCTATGTTCTATTGTGAATAAAATATGGGTCTATGAGATTTGCAGATCATTGCATTCTGTTTTTATTTACATTTATTTACATTTTACACAGCATCCCAAATTTTTTGGAATTGGGGTTGTGTATGTTTACAAGCAGCACCGTGGCGCAGTGGGTAGCGCTGTCACCTCACAGTAAGAAGGGCCTGGGTTCAATTCCCCGGCCAGGCGACCAGGGTCCTTAATGTTTGGAGTTTGCGTGTTCTCCCTGCGTCTGTGTGGGTTTCCTCCCACAGTCCAAAGACATGCAGTCAGGCCAATTCAACATGCTAAATTTGCCCCTAGGTGTGGGTGTAAATGTATGTGTCTGTCTGTCCTGCGACTGGCGACCTGTCCAGGGTTTATCCTGCCTTCCACTTAATGACTGCTGGGATAGGCTCCAGCTCCCCCCATGACCCAGAAGGATGAGCAGCTTAGAAGATGTGTGTGTATATATAGTAAATTTAATTTTAAAATAATCATTAGTTAAGGTAATGTTTACCTGTGAAATCTTTGTCCTAACATCTTTTAGGACCTCTGAAAAGTCTTGATGGTGCCTCTTCAGATACTTTTCAGTGTCCTGCAGGTGAAATTAAATACTTTTAATCATTCTTAAGACAAGTTTTTGTTGCTACAAAATTCACAGTGTATGACAGACTGTAGCAGAAGTTCACTAACCGTCTGGATGCGAGGCTTGCCAGCAAGGAAACGTCTGTTGAGTTGCCTCTCAACTGCCTGAAGATCATAGTCAGTGGCAGTTTGCTGGCCCTTCACGAGTGTGTAGTTACAGTGAGCTAACACCAGGGGGAGGAGTTCTTTCTCTGGGTGACACAGGGCCAGTTGACTTTCAGACAGCGCCCCCAAAGGCACACTATAGTCACTGCAGGACAAAAGGAAAAAAGAAAAGTTATTTTTGTCCAGAATGATGAACGGAGCTGCAGAGTACTCTAAGTTGACTGTGAAAGCTGTAGAACATCAAGAATGAAATGATAGTAAAATTAATACTCAGATTGCCTCTCTGAAATGTCTCATGAAAGAATTCATTATAAATGGATAAAAATAGTACAACCCCATTTCCAAAAAAGTTGGGACGCTGTGCAAAATGTAAATAAAAACAAAATTTAATCATGTGCAAATCATTTAAACCCTATATTTCATTGAAAATAGTACAAAGACAACAAATCAAATGTTGAAACTGAGAAATTTTATTGTTTATTGAAAAATATTTGCCTATTTTAAATTTGATGCCAACAACATGTTCCAAAAAAGTTGGGACAGAGCAACAAAAGGCTGGTAAAGTTGTGTAATGCTAAAAAAAAAAAACACCTTGTGGTTGATTGGCCACAGGTCAGTAACATGACTGGATATAAAAAAACACCGTCTGTGAAAACAGTTCGTCACTGCATCCACATATGCAAGTTAAAACTCTACAATGCAAAGAAGAAAGCATATAAAAATACAGCATATAGATATAGGAAGGATCCAGAAATGCTGCCACCTTCTCTGGGCCTGAGCTCATTTAAAATGGACTGAGGTGAAGTGGAAAAGTGTCCTGTGGTCTGACAAATCAACATTTGAAATTCTTTTCGGAAATCAAGGACACTGTGTCCTCTGGGCTAAAGACCGCTCAGCTTGTTATCAGTGCACACAAAAGCCAGTATTTATGATGGTATGGGGTGCATTAGTGCACATGGCATGGGTGACGTGCACATCTGTGAACGCACCATTAATGCTGAGCAATATATACATGTTTTGGCAAAATATGCTGCCATCCAAATGACGTCTTTTTCAGGGAAAGATTTGCTTATTTCAGCCAGACAATGTCAAACCACTTTCTGCATGTATCACAACAGCATTGCTCTGTATTAAAAGAGTCCAGGTGCTAAACTGGCCTGCCTGCAGTCCAGACCTGTCACCCACTGATAACATTTGGATTGTTATGAAATGAAAAATATGACAAATGAGCCCCCAAACTGTTGACCAGCTAAAACTTAAAATATTGAATAAAACACATTGAAATAGCTTCTGTTGCCTAGCTTATAGTATTCCGATCTATGCTGTGTAAGGTATTATTAAATAAAATAAAGTTCTTTATATAACAAACATTTGGATGCTAGTGTTGATCCTTATACTTACACAGAAAATGTGGTATCAACTGAAAGTCTTCACTTTAGACATAATCTGTCCACTTGTTCAAACTAAATGTAAGAAGAGCTTTATGCAATGAGAGGCCTAGAAGGGTCAAGCCACAAAATTCTACTCTACAGACTACACAAGGACACACCTGTCTTCCTGATGGCTGAGTTTTCGAGCTTCTCGCACGAGGCTGTTGTGAGTTTCTGACAGTAGGTCAATGAGAGCGTAGAGACAGGAGCCTGGACCACGCCGATTTAAAGAGAGATATTGGCCAGAACTTTCCATGGTAACGTCTTTCCCGCACAGCTCAGAATCCACACCTACAGCAAGTAACAAGCACACAAACTTCTATAATACATCAACCAAATACCTGAGTAAATTAACATATCATCACTGTTCAAAAATTACCACCAAAATACCAGAATGGTAAATTTACACAAGAGGGCAAAGTGTTCCAAATTTTAAATGGCAGTTAACGTAAAGAGATTTTATTTCAATTAATTGGGAATATTTTTATTGGTCCATTCCTCACGAAATTTTCACACAAGGTAAAGAAAAGCTGCTGCGTTCATATGATGTAGATATCAGAAAAAAAAAAAAAACAGACACCTTTTTTTGGATGGCAGCAATATAAACACTACAGACAGTATTCTAAACCAACTTATAAAAGGCATCCACTAACTGTGAATTACTTTAAGTAGACCTTAACACGATCAGCTCTCACCCTTGTCAAACAGCTCCATTCTTAGCTGGTTCCACACGTGGCAGAAGGTCTTCACCCTTTGTGTCAGCGTATTCCTCTGATGGCCTAATTCACAACATCAAATGAGACATAACAGAACATCTCATGTTCTCGGGAGCTTCCAGTCAAAGACAGATGAATCTGAGAGACGCTGAAAGAGCCCAGTGTTGCGAGTCCTGTTTAAATGTGCCTACCTGCAGGCAAGCTGTGCAGTTGTGTTGCAATGGTGTGGTTGACCATCTCAGAGTGAGCAGGCACAACTCTCATTAGATCAGACAGCAGCGCTGCCAGGTCAGGGAGACAAACCAGCTGTCTTACACACTGCACCTGTCTCACACACAGAGATATGCAGCGATAAACCCCTTTCAAAGTAGCCATAAAATGCAATTTCTATCTGTTCTGGAGGTCCCTCATTTGCCTTTTTTCCTTCCATGACTTTCATGGAATAGTTATATTTTGACAGAAATATAAATGATTTACAAAACCTGAAGCAAACTGGATTTTCGTCGTCTTAGGGAAGCAACTAAGTCAGAATTTATTAAAGTTTTTTTAAAAAATGCTATTTCAGTTTTAAATGATTTTTTTGATGGAGGGGAGCTGCAGATGTGTCCGTTTTATCTCAGCACGGTCGTCTTTGTGGACAGGTGTGAATTGTTTTCACAACAGGAGGATTCTTGCCCCTCATTGCTTGCTAGCAGCTCAACACAGAGTAACAACATTTCTTACATAGAGAGCCAACAGTGTCCTAGTTAATCTGATAACAGAGTTTTTGGGACAAATATTTTCTTTCATTAAATTAATAAAAAATATTCTCTGAGTTGATTTCTAACAGAATGGCTACTAGAAAGCCTGCAGAAAGAGGCTACATAGAAATAAGAGACTTGAAATTAAATACATGTCGTTATCAAGATAGCTTTTCTGAGTATCTCATGGGTGTTGTCACTACTTCCAGAGCACTGACCAAGTGCATGTTTTCCTGAGTCCAAGAGAACACAATTAGCCCTGTATATCTGGACGCAGTTATATAGGGCTCATCGATAATTTGGTGACGAACGGACTTAGTTGCATTTATAAGCACTCAGCTGGTTTCCTGATAAGTTTAATCTGCAATGAGAAACTGACAAACACTAAAACGTCGTGAAGCTTAAGTCAGCTTCTTGTTTGAATTTTCCCGTCCCACCTTAAATGGTGCAGCAGTCACATTCTGGCGCCTCAGGCACCATTTAAGGTGGAACAGGAAAATTAGGATAAGAATCTGGCGAATGAGAAGCTGACATCAGCCTCGTAAAAAGTCAGACGTTGGGCAGACATTTTACAAGAAACTATTCTACTTTTGCAGAAAAGGTTCCTGCCAGAGATGCAAGAGAAGCAGCTGAAGCACCTAAAGCTTTACAAGGACAGTAGCACATACTGAGACATATTTACAGCCAGTGTGGTAAAATGGACATAAATGTTGTGGCTCCCAAGATTGATTTTGGTTTGAAAGGAAAAAATGGCTCTTCTTCTTTTGGGTTGCCGACCTCTGTTCTACACAAACCACAGAACAGAATCTCATGGTTTGATACCCGAGAATGCATAAACTAAGTAAAGGTTCCTACACTGTTTTTGGTTTGGACATGTTGTTCTAGGAAAAGGCTTTAACTTGTACAGAACCCTATGATATATTTTTTTCAATTTTAAAAAGGTTATTTCCACTCAAACATGTCATTTACAAAAATGAAGTTGTACAAAACCACCCGTTAAAAGGTTCTTTAGGGAACTAAAATGTATCTAAGGCATCACTTCTATAGCAAAAGAACCATTTCTGGCACCCTTATTTTTAAGAATGTAAACTAAAGCAAACCAAAATTCAAGTCATTTTGTTGTTGATAAGCTAATGTCACCAACTCTCACATCATAATTAGATGCATGTGTGGAAGTCTTGGAGTTGGTGAAATTTTACAGTGAAACGTCTGTACATCTGTAGAGTTGAGTAAACTGAAAATGCAGTAACCCCTAACCCTTGTATGTAAGCACTGGCACGCTTAAACTGCGGACTGTACTCACTCTGTTGACGAAGAGAGAGAGCAGGGGAACTGGGCTAACAGCCTGCTTTTGGGATATGAGCTGGGAGAGGCGTTCCACAGTCAGCGGGTCTGGGGGTGTCCAGAAAGCAGAGTGGTGGCTGGGACAGTCAGAGGGGAGTGACAGGAGGCTACAAGGGTCTCCCTTCAGCACTTTAATCAGAGTGCTGTCAGACAGCTTGTCATCAGCCGCAATGCGTTCCTGAGCATCACTGAGCTGCCTGTCCAGATCCTGGACACAGAGAGAGAAGAATAGAACACCTCAGTCATGCAAAAACAACAACAACAATAAGAAAACATCACATTTTCTAACATGATAGACCACGACTTGTTGCAGTGATATCGGTACACTTCAAGCAGAGCTTTTATTTGAAGTATAAACACACAAAATGAAGGTCTCTACTCTATGTCCATAAATACTGACCATTAGGATAGGATTGATGGCCATCTTGCAGATTTCCTTCTCCCACTGCTCTCGGGCCTGCCGAGAAGACAATTGTGCTGCCCCCTGGTGGGCACCAGCTGGTAAAGAACAAAAATTTAATGCAAATGTGCTTAGCTGTACCTTCCAAATCCAATCTTACATTACACTCTCAGAAATAAGGGTAGTAAATGGTCACTGAGGCAGTACCCCTCTTGCCACTGGGGTGGTACCCTCAAGGGTACATCTCAGTACCTTTAGCCAGGGAACATAATTGTATCATAATCCATTGAAGTTGTATTGACTCCACACACCCCGTCTCATTGTTCTGTTTTAAAATATTAGGTTATGAAAAGGCACAAATACGTACTTTTCACCTGGGAAAAACATATTTAAGGTGCACAACTGGACCTTAAAACCACTGTTGTACCTTTTGAAGTACATTTACATTGTTTGTACCTTGATAAACAAGAATGTTCCTGCACAGAACCTTTATTTCTGACAGTGTAGACATTAATTTTAAATACAGTACTAATTTCAATGATAGCATAAAAAAAGAAAAAATGACTTTCAAAATTGAAATCAAAATTTAGAACTAGCACTGTAACCCCTCAGTCTCTTCCGGAGGTCTGTCATTTGCCATCTACCACTACTTTCCTTAATTAAAACTAGGCATCTGGGTGAAGACTATCATAGTATAGTGAGCAGGGAGGACAATGTGCTACATGGACAAAAGTATTGGGACACCTACACGTTACACCTACAGGAGCTTTCATTACATCCAATTCTAAATCCATAGGCATTAATATGGAGTTGGTCCCCCTTTGCAGCTATGACAGCTTCCACATTTCTGTGAAGCTTTCTACAAGATTTCGGAGAGTGTCTGTAGGAATGTTTGTCCATTCACCCAGAAGAGCATTTGTGAGGTCAGACACTGATGTTGGATGGGAGGATCTGGCTCACAATCTCTGTTCTAGTTCATCCCAAAGGTGTTTGATGGGGTTGAGGTCAGGGCTCTGTGAGGGCCAGTCAAGTTCTTCCACACCAAACTCACCCAGCCAGGCCTTTATGGACCTTGCTTTGTGCACTGGGGCTCAGCCATCCCCAAACTGTTCCCACAAAATTGGAAGCATACAATTGTCCAAATGTCTTAGTCTGGGCCAACCCCTGAAAAACAACCCCATAGCATTATCTCTCCTCCACCAAACTTTACAGTCAGCACAACGCAGTAAGACTGGTAATGTTCTCCTGACATTCGCCAAACCCAGACTCGTCCATCAGACTGACAGATAGAGAAGCGTGATTCATCACTCCACAGAACACGTTTCCACTGCTCCAGTCCAGTGGCGCCGTGCTTTACATCTTTTGATCCGACAAGAAGTTTTGATTTTTTGGGAGTTGTTCTGTTAGAGGCCAGCTCGACACATTTAAAAACTATTTTAAAACTTTTATTTATCTGAGCCACACCAATCTGTGCAGCATATAATCAGAGTTCCGTAGAATAAAACATTTTTAACATGAAATATTGAACACTGAATCAAATCTTGACCCCAGAATCAAAAATTGTATTGAATCCAAAAATATGTGTGTTATTAAACCCCTTTCAGGACTGCATTCATGTTGGTATGACACTGGACAATTTCTGGAATATTCTTATTAATTTGCACACCTTTGAACATTTAATCAAATGTATTGTGTCAACAATATCATTTTCGCTGTGATAAACTAGATAAAATGATGGCAGTGTCATGCTATGTGCATATGCATATGGTATGAATATGGTCACATACCTGTGGAGAGATGAGCAAACGCATTGAGGATCAGATGAACAGCGATGGCTGTGTCTTCCCAGTTCAGATTCAATGTCTTCCCAAGAGACTCCATGTCCTTCTCAAGGTGATGCCACAGAAACTCTGAGACGTTGTATACAGTGGGCTGGATCATTGCACTAATGCCCTACAATGTATTCCAGACACAATGTATTTTGGATGCTTGTAGTCCACAGGCCTCACTGCCACACACAGATTTGAATTCTTGCATATAAATGGGATTCTTCTGCACTCATGTAATCATCTAAGATTCTGCTAATAATCACATTGATATGGATGCAGCAGATGATTGCTGTGTATCATGCCGTGTCATACCGAATCAAACATGGTCCATGTACCTGAAGATTGAAAGCAGATCCCTGCAGCATGGCCAAATGCAGGCAGAGGCGCAGCACACTGGACTGGGCCATGGTCAGATCTCTGTTTGGGGCTTCAGATCTGCGGGCAGCCTCCCCCAGAACATGGCCTCTTCGGGTCTGATCAGACACATTGTGAACCAGAGTGAATCCGGGGACTGGGTTGTGGTGCTGACCACCTATCTGAACTCCACATGTGTCACACTTTGCCAAAGCCGTTGGTTTCCCACACTTATTGGAAGAAGAAAAAACAAGTTTTATTTTGTTCACACCATTTGCAAAAGATAGCTGAGCTTCACAAAATGCGTTAGCATTTCATTACTAATGGACCAATAATTACAGTAGCATACTTCAACGTTAAGAACGGTTTTGTAAAGACAGCAGCAATATTTACCTGTTTCATTCTTCTGATGAAATAAAATACCAATGAATAAAAAATTGTACGTAATCAGTGATAAAATGCAACTCACCTCTCCAACCAAACATGGATGACCATTGCTACATACTGCAAAACAAGGGCGGAGAGGGTAATAAATAAAATAAAGTTGGCAAAGGTCTCCAAAAAAGTCATTGGGAACAGCATTATAAGTCAACTAGAATTAACATAAACTTGAGCTATCAAGCTCTTCAGATTACATCTCTCTTTTCCAAACTTACAGTACATCTTCAGGTTTTTTTCGGTCAGCCACTGGCGGACAGTGCTGGTGTTGTCATCTGGCATGGTGGGCAGAAAGGCCTCCTGGAGAAACACACAGAAAACTGCTAAGCCAATACAATGCTTAAAAAATGCTTGAGCTTTATTAATTATTAATGACCAATCGAGAGGAAAGTGCTTGGTGTCAGAAGTCAGCGTAATTCTCTTTAGCTAGTTGCATTTAATCACTAGACAAAAGTTTTTTTTTACAAATTCAACAAAATAAAAAACTGAATAAGCACTTAAAATTTTATGCAATTATATTCTATAGTTAATGCTATAAAAACATTAACTTCATTAGTCTTCATTAGTACTACGAAGCTCTTACTTACTGTCATAGTCTGTGGTCTAGAGGCGATGAGATGGAGTGGGTGCAGTAAACTGCTTCCACTGTGGAACACAGCATTGGCATGAACCACAAGCTCCATTAGATGGCGCCTCTCAGCAGATTCACCTGCACTGATGTACAGCTGAGACACAAGACCTTCAGCCTGATTGGATAAGAGGCTGGTGCAGAGTTCTCTGAGGTGCCCTGTCGTGTTTTTCCTGATAAAGTCTTTCAGGATCTCCAGCTCCTGATGGGTAATTAAGAAAAAATGAATTTTTCATCAATTCCATTACGCATTTGTACTACACCGATCAGGCATAACATTATGACCACCTCCTTGTTTCTACGCTCATTGTCTAGTTTATCAGCTCCACTTACTACAGTTACAGACTGTAGTCCATCTGTTTCTCTGCATACTTTGTTAGCCCCCTTTTACCCTGTTCTTCAATGGACAGGACCCCCATGGACCCTCACAGAGCAGGTACTATTTGGGTGGTGGATCATTCTCAGCACTGCAGTAACACTGACGTGGTGGTGGTGTGTTAGTGTGTGTTGAATGGATCAGACACAGCAGTGCTGTTGGAGTTTTTAAACACTGTGTCCACTCACTGTCCACTCTATTAGACACTCCTACCTTGTCGGTCCACCTTGTAGATGTAAAGTCAGAGACGATAGCTCATCTGCTGCTGCACACTTTGTGTTGGTCATCCTCTAGTCCTTCATCAGTGGTCACAGGATGCTGCCCACAGGACGCTGTTGGCTGGATATTTTTGGTTGGTGGACTATTCTCAGTCCAGCAGTGACGCTGAGGTGTTTAAAAACTCCAGCAGCACTGCTGAGTCTGATCCACTCAGACCAGCACAACACACACTAACACACCACCACCACGTCAGTGTTACTGCAGTGCTGAGAATGATCCACCACCCAAATAGTACCTGCTCTGTGAGGGTCCATGGGGGTCCTGACCACTGAAGAACAGGGTAAAAGGGGGCTAACAAAGTATGCAGAGAAACAGATGGACTACAGTCTGTAACTGTAGAACTACAAAGTGCACCTATATAGTAAGTGGAGCTGATAAAATGGACAATGAGCGTAGAAACAAGGAGGTGCTCATAATGTTATGCCTGATCGGTGTATATAGGCCAGGTATGTCCAGTCAAATCTGCAGCAGGCCCAGTGTGGCTGCTGGTTTTCATTCTGCAGGAACAGGAGCACACCTGATCAGCTGTTTGAATACTGAAGCCAACTGGTTTAACAAGACAGATGAGCTCCTGCTTGTTTGGAATGAAAATCTGCAGCCACACTGGCCCTTTGCTGATAAGATTAGAAATTCCTTGTTTAGGCCATGTACACATTTATTTATTGTCTTTCAGTAGTAGTAGTAGTAGTGTTACTCTTATTAGAATTGCTATTGTTGTTGTTGTCAGTGGTACGAGTAATATTTAGGTCAAGCAAGTGTATTAACCCTTAGAAGTTGTAATTATTGCTGGCAGTAAAAAATGATGTATGTAAATGATGTGATTTTATTTGAATTATGTCTTACTTAAGAAAAGAGTAAAGTGCAGACCCTAAATGTTCGATATTGATACAGTATCATTACTGCTCCTACTGCTATACTGGCACTACTTGATTGCTTACTACACTGGAGTTTTTCACCTGAGCTCCAGGATGCATGGCAGAGTCAGGTGAGAACAGGCGGCAGGTGACCCGCCTAAACAAGGCCAGAGCCAGGAGAGCCCTTGCAGAACTGGAGCTGACCACGTCCTAGAGAAAACACACACCGGCACACATTTACATGTCTACCTGAAAACATTCTACTGCCATTGCAACTGTTATTCTTAATGAAAATAAAGTAATGATTAATATAATCAAATAACATAAGAAAATAAAAGAAAAATCATATTCAATCATTTTAAACTAATGAGGTTGTAACATTTGACTTAGTATTTGGTATTAAATATGAAATTTAATGCCATCATTTGGGGTTTTCTCATATCAGTTACAGAACTGTGCATTTGGTGCTTCACTGCACTACAGCAACTAATTCAAGAACTCTCTCTTTCGTTCACTCTTTCAAGTCCTGACCTGCAGGTTGGTTTTGAGCTCATCTGTGCTGGACTCCAGTAAAACCTGACCCACTCCATTTCTCAGGAGCTGATACAACTGACCACAGCACAGGAACCGATCCACCTCAGCAGGAATCAGCCTCTTCAGAGATGAGAAACATAACAGTAATACAGCATTTAGTCAGGTGCGCTAACCCTTAGAGGTTGCAGCCATAACTGACAGCAACAAAAGCAAGACGTTATTTAATTACAATTATTTCTCACTCACAGCTCAGTGAAACAAGTGAATACACTCTGCCAAAAATTAGGATTATAAAATTCCAATCCAGACCATGTTTGTAAGTAGGGGCTACTTTATAAAGATCTGAACTTGATTAAAAGTTATCATTGTGTTTACAGTGTTTTGCAGAAAGAAAACCTTTAATATTTTTGTCTTTGTTTACCACCAAATCAAACAGAAAAATCAGAACAGACCCAAACCTGTCAATACAATGAAAATTGAAAGTAAACAGTTGTATGTCCTATTTTTCCCGTCAGTTTGTTAAATTCAATTAGAAAATCAACAAAACGTAATTTGACAGGGGTGCCAAAACTTTTGCACCTGACTGTATAATTAATTATATAACTTACTGTCAGCTCAGTCTGGAAGGGACCGCTCTTACCTGAAGTCGCAAGAGCTCAGCTGGGAAGACCCACTCATAGGGGGCGCTGTTCATCAGGGTCTGCACACAGTCAATGCCAGCCTGCCTGTTCAGCACTCTCAGCAAGTACACCCTGTACCAGTCGTTCCCACCGTACTCACATACTGCTTTCACCTGCTCTAAGAGCTTCTGTTCCCACACGGCACATCCACCTGAGGGGTCCACACACAACATGGTTACAGATGACACCTTAACGCTTCAACATCACAAATTAAATAGAGAAAGGAATGAATATAGTAGGCAAAAATGCAGATAAACACTAAACACAAACACTAAAACACCAAAATCATCTTCCGAATCTGATGAAAAGAAAACAAAACATAGAATAATTTACAGAAAATAGAGATGCAGTGAAATTTTGGTGGCCAAAAAGTTCCAGCTTAAAGAATAATGTCATTTTTATTTAACAGTAAAGGTTTTGGGGGTTGCACAATTTAAAAAAAATAGAAGTTTGTTCCTGATGTCAGTAAAGAGTTTTTTTGTTAGTAGATTGCTAACAGGCTTGGTTTTAGTGACAGATGTGGCGGTTTGAGGTGCGAGATGTGCACTGCAGAACAGGTTTTCGTTGTATTTCAGTAAGTGTCAGACTTAGGCACTGTGTCCACAGACGTACACAGGCTGCCTGATGAAAACTGCACACTTTCAGCACCGTCTTATGCTGCTTAGAACTGTTTTCATTTTATGTAGCATTTCCACACTAATAAAGCACTTTGGACTTTGTGTTTAGCAGAAAAAAATGTTTCCTGTTTTCTCCTCCTGCTTGTTCATTGCAGTTTTTCCTGCAGCTGTATTTTAGGCAAGTCTTCAACTAGTCCACGCTGAGGACAGGTTTGAGGACCCCTAGTCTAGTCTATACAACCCCTACATATTTTTCTATTTTTAAAAACTAAACAGACCTACGAAAAAGTATTACATTCTTTCACAAATCAATTCACCGGTAATGAGAAATGGTGGGTAAAAACGCACAGGTTAAAAATGTTTCCTTTGCTTGCCTCAGCTCGTCACTGATACATTCAAAGAGTAAATGTGTGTGTCCCGATTTCAGGTTTAGTTTGCAGTCAAGAGTTTTCTTTTCTGTGCATCACTGACAGTGAGCCATGATAAGATCCACTTCCATGAGCTATTCTGAGGCTAATCATGAATATAAAGTACTGTGCAGACGGGCTTATGTATATTGTTTATGCTAAGCATATTAACTTTTTATCTGAACACTATGTTATATAAAACACCATATAACAGAATCATTTCAATCATTAATGCAGTTGAAAAGTAACAAGAATTTCTTGTTTTCAAAAAATAGTTGAGATCTTGTGAGCTGGTTAGAAAAACACAGGTTTGGTTTCTGCCTCCAGCCATCGCACAGATTTGTTAAATTCCATCATCAGCACACCTGATTGAATTTAACAAAGGACTGATTAACCAAACCAGGTATTGGATACTACTGGCCTTCATCAAGCAGTGACTTAGAAATTATTAAGTGAACAGATTGATATACATAAAATACTTAATACTTATTGTTGTATTTATTCTAATATTAGAATAAATACGTTCCATGCATTAGCGTTTTTCTAAGCAGATACATGCTTAGTGTCTACAGACATCTGTACAGTCCTGTATATCTGTAAACCTGGCCACTGTACTATCCACACATGCACCATCATCGTATATAATCCATCCAAAAACTGGTTTCTGTAGCTGTTATGATCCAAACCCTCACCGCTCTTTTGGCCGACAGCTCTGGGCAGTATCCGGGCAGCGGTGTCCAGACTGATCCTGAGACGCGCCATGGAGAGCAGGAACTCTGCCGGCTGGCGCTCTCTGGACGGAGTCTGCTTGCGGACCAGTCGACTGAGAAAGTTAATGTCCTCCTGCTGATGCCGCAACTCTCCGGACTCCAGAGCTCTGCCCAGGCTCGGACAGAGCAGAGAATCCTGACCAAACACCAAGCACAGGGTCACTTTTACAGACAGCCACTCATAGTACATTATGACTGTACCACTCTGTACCACACAAGTGCAGAAATGTGCTTAAGGAATAAAAGCCTGAAAAGCAATGATGTGTATATATATATATATATATATATATATATATATATATATATAGATATATATATATATATATATATATATATTTGCAAGTCCAGTTCAGAGTGTCCCACTATGCACATACTACAAATTAAATGATTTTACTGCAGCCAGGTCAAAATAACCGGCAGCCAAAATCATCAGATTGGTCAATCAAACTAAGACATGGTCATTTTAAACAGCCATCAAAAAACTGCCAAGACATCTGTTCAGAGAGTCGCATTATGCATATCACTGCTGTCAGAACAAAACTGTGCATCTCCAAAATGATCATTTTAGAGGAGAAGGAAAAAAAAAACTACTTTACTTTTGATGCAACTTAATGGAACCAGACTTTTTGGGCCATTTCTTGTGATCCATTCATCATGAAATTTACAATGTAAAGAGCAACAGGCTTTTTCAAATTATGTCAAAAACTGAAAAAAAAAGAAAAAGGTAGATACGAGGATTTGTTCCGACAGCAGTGATGTACTAAAAACTAAGCGATTTTATTGTTTAAAGTAATTGGCACCTTAGTGTATCTAAATCATACAGTGTAAATGTGCACTGTGCAGCGGTATAATTCATAAAATACAATACTAGTTCCGGACTTGGTAACGCAGATATTTGACATTAAAGGACTCGAAGGCAAAAACTTGACTGGGACATGTTTACAGCTATTGAGGAACTGTTGCAGTCTGAACATCTGAGTTTAGTTGTATGCATTAGTTCGAATTTCAGAACAGTAGAAATAGCAATTTTAATAAACAAGAGAATCAAGCAGCATGTCACAGATCTAGTGTGGTTACTGGGTATAAAAAGAAGTGAAGTCAGCAAAATAAAAGAAGTATTTGCCTGGAAACAGTTGGCGAAGAGTCGGTAAAGTTCTGTCCTGTCCTCATCGTCCAGGAGTTTGTCCTCCAGGTTCTCTAAATATGCCTGAATATGGCCCATTACCTGGTCAAAACTGAAGACATGACATCAGGCCTATGATACTAGAATACAACGTTTATTCCAACACTATGAAACTATTACTTATGAAATTAAAAGCATAACAGCAACAGCAACGTTATAGACTCATCCTTTTACTTCTAGTCTAGGTTTATTGTGTGTGCGCGTGTGTGTGTGTGTGTGTGTGTGTGTGTGTGTGTGATACCTATATTGCAGTAAAAGTTTGGGCAGCACAGACCGAACCACAGGGCTCTGATCAACACATTCCAGGAAAGGAGTGAGCTCTCTGGTTTTATATACATCCCCTGTTGGACACATAACACACAAACACATATGCACACATTTGCATGGATGCTGGAAGTAAAACACCTGCAAATTGCATCAAAATGTGGAACAACTACACGACTGACTGGTTAAATGTAGTTCTGGATTTAGTGTGTTGTTAACAGAACCTTAAATATATGAGATGATTTCTTACGACATGTTGCATTAAAAATATGAGAACAGAAAGACTTTAACACAATATAATTTAGTTAAAACAGAGACCAGATTTAATTAGAGATGGAAAAAGTACAGAGAAATTATACTGAAAATCTTACTCAAATTAAAAGTGGAGATATGAGGCCAAATATACTTAAAAGTAACTTAAAAACATAAACATTTAAACACACTTGAGTAAATAAAGGTAAAACTTTAAAGTTTAAAGTGTGTAAAGTAATGACTAACGGGCAAAACAGAGCTGAATTAGCGTTGTGGGCAATTTCCTTTGGATATGTGCATATGAATTTGGTTAGATGTTTAAAAAAATCCATTAAAATGTGCAGAAACAAGTGATTAGCAGGAGAAAGTACAACAAGAAAAAAGTCAAAATTCTCAGGTTAAGTAAGTTTTTTTCTTTTTAGAGCTAGAATTGAGTAAACATTACAAAAAATCAACAATACTGGAGTAAAGTATAAATATTCCAAAATAATATTCATGAATAATTTACTAAAAAAGTACAATTACTTAAATACTGTATAGCCCTAAAGTAATTAATTACAATCATAGCACTTTTAGCACTTGCTTTAACCTAGTAACACAGTGTAGGAACACAGACGAGCAGCCAGGTAAAACATGGTTGCATGATTTTCCTTCAAAAGTGCTTAGCCTATGGGCAGTGGTCACCAGCGCTGGTCCTGGAGATCTACCTTCCTGCAGAGTCTGGTTCCAACTCTAATCTGCTGCACCTGCTCCAGCTAATGAACTTGTTCTTGGATCAGATGCATTAGTGTTGGGTAAGGGGGGGTACAGCATGTTAGATGAAGGCTGGAAGTAAACTCAGGAAAGCAGATCTCCAGGAGGAGGGTTGGTGACCACTGCTATAGGGGGTGCAGCATTAATAACCATCACTGGATTTCACAGCCTACCCTGTGCTGAGATGAGCAGAGAGAAGAGCAGCTCCACCATGTCTTCCTCAGGGCGCTGTCCTTCAGAGAGACAGAAACGAGAGACCACCTCCAGGAAGAAGGAGTTACAGCATCTCCTTACATTTCTGTGCTCCTTTAGAGCAAATCTGAAACACATACATGTTCCTTAGCTGAGCCACAGGCTACAGTACAGTCAAGCACTCAGTATAAGCAATGTAAGTACAAGAATAACACCTCCTTTTTAATTACTCACAATTTATTTACATTTTAGAAAGGAATTCCCCTAAAGACCAGGAGCTAAATGGGCTTCAGCCTGCTCTACTATGGATGGTTTGGAGGGTCAATTTAGGGAAATACATCAACAGCATGAAAAAAATGAGTGTTGTAGACGTAAATGGAATTTATTATATTATAATAATTTTGTAATCATAATTTGTATCATTACTATCATTACTATTAGTGCTATTCTAGTACTATTATTACTATTGTTACTATTATAATTTAGAAATTTTGACAGATTTGCTTTAACACAGTGATACTAGTTAGTAAAACAGAGTGGTGGCACCCTTCACAAACTCACTTTATGCTTGAAGAGACAGTGGGCTGGTAGTTGGGAGGCAGGTCTGTCCTGCATTTGGGGCAGTACTTTGTTTCCTTTGCTGCCAGAGAACTCTTCACACAGGACAGACAGAACACATGCTCACACTGCAGGACGCAAGGCTCAGACATGTCCAGCAGACACACTGGGCACTTTATACCGAAGCTGAATAAAAGACACCCAAACAAAATAATTAAAAATAGTTTAAAGAATCATAATGAAACCATAATGAAAAGTCTCAATGTCACTGTTAATGAGAATTTCCACTGAAAACTGTTTACTTGACTTAATTTACATAGTTTTTCCCCAGTGAGTCTAAAACTGGCTGCCTTAGTTTTGCGTGAATGCTGAAAACTACATTTAATAGAAGCTGATTTGTGCAAACTGCATGCCTAAATCGTCACACACTTGGCACAAACTGTGTTGTGTTGTTAAAGGGAAATTCCACAGATTTTTCAAAATGCCAACATAATTTTAAAAAAGTCATTCAGAGTGGTTTGATGTAAAATGGCGCATTGTGGAGAAACAGCCTTTCTCAGCCAGTTCTTTGCGGAGGTTGTGACAGGATCCAAAGGGTCACAACATGCGCAACACAAATATATCCACTCCCATTTGCTATTCAGAACAACCAGGGAACTTTTTACATGTAATGCTGATAAAGGTAAAATCATGGTATATCTGAACTAACAAGTTTTCTTTGAGGACTATTTTGCCTTGCATGTATCTCTCTGGAACTTTAAAATACAAATTTAGGTTAAAAGGGTTCCCCTTTTGAGTCTTGGTTCCTCTCAAGGTTTCTTCTTCTTGCTCTTAGGGAGTTTTTACTTGCCGCTGTCGCCATTGGCGACGCTCATGGGGGCTCGGACCCGGATTTTTCTGTAAAGTTGCTTTGTGACAACACCTGTTGTAAAAAGCGCCATATAAATAAACTTTGACTGACTGACAATGTCTATGATTAAATGAGTCTGTGAATGCAGCAGTATCATCAGGAGGGTCAATGGGTCATCACCACTGTGAACAACTGACTTGGTAAGTTTCTATGAAAGGAGCATTTTACATCAAACCACTCTCAATGACTGTGTTTACATCTTAACTGTTTGATTATGTGGAAGTTTGGTAGATTGGAGGAATTTCCCTTTAAGTAATCTTACATAGACTTGCTTATATGGTTCCTGATGCTGTATGACATACTGTTATCTTTAAAAATGGACAAAAGTATGAGCGAAATTCAGCCTTCAGGAAGGCTGCTACTACTGTAATAGATACAGAAAAATCAAACGCCAAATATCTTGGCTGACTGACTAAATCTGAGATAAGGGGACGACTGTTCAGACATGATTTCTCACCAAACTATTCCTTTGATCTAGGTCTATGAGCAATTGAGCAATTAATAAGTGAATGCTTTGGGAATTTTACTCCACATATATGTAGCAGAATGGAGGGCAGTACCGCAGCTCTCTGCTGATGGACTCCTCGTGGTAATCATTGAGGATGCGGATGAGCTGCTGTAGAGCGGCTTTGCTCTGCAGGTCGGGACATTCCTCCATCAGCTAAAGCATGGGTGAATAAAACATGTTAGTGTAGTGAGTCTCAGTCTCACCTTTAGTGATTTATGTAACAAAGCTGAGAGTCTTCATCATTAGAACAGTCTTATACTGTGTGATGGAAGATTTTGAATAAATACACTCTTAATTAATAAGTAAATAGATTAGACATGTAATCAATAATCAAATAGTTAAGTACTGGTTAAAATGAATATTAGTGTCTCACTAAGAGGTAAAATAAGAAGCATTAGGCCATAGTCGCCATAGTTTGGGTGCTTTCCATCAGCAAGTGAACTCTCTGACCTCACATGCAGGTGTCTGAGTAAACTTGTGAACTCGCATGATATCACAGCAGAATGGCCTTGAAGGAGGGGATGAACTGGTATGAACTGGCTGAAACCAGCTTTTTAAAGAGTATACATGAGATACATTATGTATAATTATGTGAATGAATATGAATGAAGGGTTTTTGTATCCAATGGGACTAAATAGAACAAAAACATTTATAAGAAGGGTGGGGTGACATGATATCACCCCAGACAAAGTGTATAAAAAGCGTTGTCTGAACACTGTATTTTGCACAGCTGGGTCTCTCAAGACCTGTGTGCCACCTGATGCTGGAATAAAGAAGAGGCCTTTTCCCTCTTTCCAAGAACTCAGTGTCTTAAGTCTTTTACATTTTTGGGACTTAAAACAGTTATTAGTGTAAGTGTTTAGCCAGCATTGAAATATTTCTTTTTTAATAATATTATATTGGAGGCCTGCACAATTAAAAATGAGAGGTCAATTCATCTCAAAATGATATAGTAACTGATTACATGGCTTTTCTTGAATTCACTCAACTTGAGGGCACAAGAGTTCACACAACTCAGACTTCTTAGTTGAGTCAAAAGTTCTCTTAATTTTTTTAGTTCTGCATCTCAGTGAGGAAAATAAAGGGAACTTGCTTTTTATACTCAACTTTCTCACTAGCCAGGACCCTTTTTATTACACAATCCTGCTAGACAGCTTTTCCTCTTGGGTAGGCACTTATGGATGGCTATGGCATCACTGGGGCTCAAACTCACAACCTCCTGTTGAGGTGACAGCTTAGTTCACTGCACCACTCAGGAACACATGAAGCAACTCAGATGAGAGCTGAGAGGATTTTGACTCAACTAAGAAGTTTGAGTTGGGCGAACTTTGGTGTCCTCAAGTTGAGTCAACTCAAGAAAACCCATGTAATCCGTTACTATATCATTTTAAGTCGAGCTGACTTCTCATTTTTTACAGTGTGGGGTTGAAGGGGATAGCCTGACACGTGTATCAGTCTTAAAGGCACAGTAACAAAAACAGCCTGTTTAATTCTAAGGGATAGTGAGAGGTTGGAAATGGCCATGCAGACATTAATTATGACCACTTCCGGAACAAATCCACACAAATGTTATAAGTGGACCTCAAGGGAAAAAACAAATAAGAAAAATGTAGGACATGGACCTGAAACTGATAAGCTGGACGCTGTACTAACCATAATGAAAGGCACTGTGTGTGACAGAGATGCTGGCAGCTGAAACTTAAAAGCAAGCTAGCAAAGAGGACGCATTTTGGAGTGTTTCTTCTGAGGGTCTAACTTGGTAAACGCTACACTACTAAAATACCACCACAAACCTTTTTATTGTTAGCGTGGCTGTGTTCTTCATCATATTTACCAGCAAAAAAAAGTAATATGCATCTTTGTACTTTATATTTGGAATGAATTTCAGACGTCTGCAGGACTGTAATGTTACTTAGATTGAGTTTGTTCATTGCAGTGCTAACACAGTTTAGTATTGTTGCACTGTCCACTAAATCTTGACTAATCTTGGCTTTATTATAATGTCTTATGGCACACTGGTACTAGTGCACACGTGTGTGTGTGTGTGTGCGCATGAGTGCTCAGCGCAGCTACTGCATGGCTTTGGGGAGAGTGGGGCAAGAGGAGAGTAGGAGAGAGAAAGTGGATCATAGCTTTTGCTTATCAGAGACAAACTTCAGTTAAAAAAAAAAACAAATTTATACTCTTATTTTTAGGGGTGCTGGGACTCAATTTAAGGGTGCTTGAGCACCCCTAAAAAGGGGCTAGGCACGCCTATGTCTTATGGTAATGTCCAGCGCATACTTACCATTTGTATTTACATGTCATTTTCTAACACGGCTGGTTACAGCTGAGCGAACAAATGTTCCAATCCTATGATAAGCAATCTTATAATAGGCAAATAAAACTTTAGGTCAATGATGCATGACCACTTCCATTATTAAAGTGCATGTTTATTTATTAAGTGGTACAACTAAATCTAATAAAAGTAATCAGTACTTAGCGTGTCCACCATTTGCCTTTATTCCAGCTTCCATTCTTTTCAGGAGACTCACTTTCAGTTTTTCAAAGAAAAACTGCAGGGATATTTTTCACACCTCCAAAGGTCGGTCAAAGAAGTTGGTTGCATTGCTTTTTACGATCCAAGTAAACCCAAACATATTCAATGATGTTGAGGTCTAGAATCTAGGGTGGCCGGTCCATTGTCTGGGATTGTCTGAGTTGCAAAGTTTGGTGATCTAAAAGGTCTTGCAAGTGGTTGTTAGGAGTTCTATTTTCTCTGAATCTTTTAATCATTTTTTTGAATCCTAGTTTTGGAAACTCCTGTTTTTTATATATATATATATATATATATATATATATATATATATACAGTTTGTGTAATCTCAAAGCTGAACCTCGAAACCTCTGAAAAAGTTTTCAGGTTTCAAGGTTTTCAATCATTACCATCACTCACCCTTTGCAGTTGGCTGCAGTGTTTCATAGTCAGAGCCACCAACCTCTCATCTTTCGAGTTCACTTTGACTACAACCTGCTCGATAAAGGCAGCCATGACCTGCATCCCCTGCCATACTGACCTGTGGAAGAAAAAAACTGGTAGTAGGTACTACAGGTGTTAACAATTAACTGGAAATGAACAGCATTTTAAAAAAGTCTTCCTCCTTCTGTTCCTGAGGCTTACTTTATAGCAGTGAGATGTTTGAGACAGCCAGGGCTGCAGAGGGAGCAATAGCTGTGACTCATTACTCTCTGTAAACACGGCTGGAGCAATTCAACTCTGCTCAGGAAGGACATACACTCAGGAATTGATGTCATTGACTGAAGCTTAGTCTCCTCCACGCATATCCCAAGAGCTAGAATGTCTTCAAACTGTGACAAATCAAAATGACCAATGAAGTCACTGCTCAAAAACATTAGCAGAAATAGAACATTACCAGTCAAAAGTCTGGAAACTTCTTCAATTTTCTCAAAGACAAGTCGATCTAAAGACTTATGCTTAAAAGTTTTAAAGTTGTTTCAAAGACATATATAATTGATGCCAATGTATGAATTTATGCCCAAAACAAATAAAAAATGTTGCATTTTTGTAAAACAAGTAGTTTTCATTTAGTATTTTAGTAAAATTGAGATTTATAAAATGTAGAGTTGGAACTGTAATAGAGAGAGGGAGGTGCAGACCTACGCCTTCTGCTATATATGAATGGTTTTCATCACCAATACAGTGTCAAATACAGCTGAATATGCTGTACAATCTGTAATGTGCTGCGTATGTAAATTCATTACTAAAGGTCCTACATCACTAAATTGAACTGAATTGGAAAACTGAATTCTTCTTTCTTTCTAAAATAAGAATGTAATGTAGTATGTAAACTTTGTTAAAATATTAAAACATACTGTTCACTCTCTAGTCCATGCACACTAAGCAGCAATATCGGCCCATTTTAAATTCTTGTTTTTTTGTGACGTCAATCAATTAATTTCCATACATCATACGTCTATTCAGCCTACAGCAGTTTAGCCCTGCCAACTCATACTGAAGTGTTTCAGCAGAAACTAAGGCACAATATAGGGCAGCCAATCAGAACAGAGGTCATTTACATATCAGTCTTGAAGGCACAGTAATATAAACAGAGTGTTTAATTCTAAGAGACAAACAGACGTTGGAAATTGGTCATGTAAATACTAATTGCGACTGTTACTGGTATTGTCAGGAAAAAAAATATACAACGATCAGGCATAACATCATGACCACCTCCTTGTTTCTACACTCATTGTCCATTTTATCAGCTCCACTTACTATATAAGCAAGCAAAGTTCATTTATACAGCACTATAAGTGCATTATGTAAGTGCGCTCTGTAGTTCTACAGTTACAGACTGTAGTCCATCTGTTTCTCTGCATACTTTGTTAGCCCCCTTTACCCTGTTCTTCAGTGGTCAGGACCCCCATGGACCCTCACAGAGCAGGTACTATTTGGGTGGTGGATCATTCTCACTGCAGTAACACTGACGTAGTGGTGGTGTGTTAGTGTGTGTTGTGCTGGTCTGAGTGGATCAGACACAGCAGTGCTGTTGGAGTTTTTAAACACTGTGTCCACTCACTGTCCACTCTATTAGACACTCCTACCTTGTCAGTCCACCTTGTAGATGTAAAGTTAGAGACGATAGCTCATCTGCTGCTGCACAGTTTGTGTTGGTCATCCTCTAGTCCTTCATCAGTGGTCACAGGACGCTGCCCACAGGACGCTGTTGGCTGGATATTTTTGGTTGGTGGACTATTCTCAGTCCAGCAGTGACACGGAGGTGTTTAAAAACTCCAGCAGCACTGTTGTGTCTGATCCACTCAGACCAGCGCAACACACACTAACACACCACCACAGTGGACTACAGTCTGTAATTGTAGAACTACAAAGTGCACCTATATAGTAAGTGGAGATGATAAAATGGACAATGAGCATAGAAACAAGGAGGTGGTCATAATGTTCTGCTCCATTGGCGTATATATGTATAGGCTTTCAATTCAAACAGCAGCAGGCGATCTGACCACTTATGTGCTTCTTGTAAATTTGTGTACTGTCTATCCTTGTTATTATATTTTAGACAGTCAGTTGTGTTGTGATGAGGGAGGGTGGGGTCTAAACAGCCCTAGTTCACAGAAAGGCCAATCTTTCTGACTGGAATAATTGCATATGGATTATTTCATAGTTTTGATGTGTTCATTATCATCATAAAATAACTGAAAAAATTAAATGTAATTAAAAAGTAAACCTGTTCTTGGAGTTGTGCCTAATGTTCGGTTGGTAACTCTGTATTGCATATGGGGACTAGGATGTTCTCACCATGTCAGGGAGATCTTTCTGCAATTGCTGTTTCAGGATAAGAGGAGCCAGATGTGGCTGAAGCTGTAAGGCATGCGAGAGAGCGTCCAGACGAGGGCTGTAGTGGTGGGCAGCTGCCATGATCCAGGCCGGAGAAAAGTCAGGGGTCACACTCATGCTCTGCTGCAGAGCAGAGACGCAACCCAACATCGCCGCAACAAACACCTGCAACGAATGCATACACGCACAGAACGTTTTTACCTACTGAGGGATACGGTACTTAAAGCAAGAAAAATCAATCAGGAAAATTAACATCACCCTTTGTGATGGTCTTTTACCTTCATTTCTTCCTCAGTCTTGATTTTGAAGGAAAGTAGCACAAAATCAGTGAGATATTTGTGGCCTAGCTCCACCCGCTCTCTCTCGGAGAGTTTTTCAACATAGCTGCCCAGACTACTGCCTGTCACCGCACTCACAAACTGCTGGATCCTCTCTTTGCTGCTCTGTCCAGTACCTGAAAGAGAAAAGACAGGATATTTATATAGCAAAGCAATAGTAATGTCTATGCTCTGGGTGCTGGTGCTGGTGATCTGATGTCTAACTGCTCTTTCTTTTCCTAAGCTTAATATTACAAAGAGAATTGATTAGTCATTCCCTTTCAGAGCTTAGGTATGTTGTCAGTGAGGACTTGACACTGAAAATACTTTGAAAATCATTAAGCTTAATCTGCTTCCAGAAACCAAATTATAAATTGTTGTATAAATTGTCTCCAAAAAAAGCAAATATCTCCAAATTGACAATTTTACAGGAGAAAGCAAAAACATTCTTTACATGCAATGTAAGGTAATGTAAAAAGATCTTATTCCAAGCGATTTTAGAGCACTTCTATCGGTCTATTTAACATGAAATTTGCATACAATGTAAAGGGTAGCATCTGTGCTTAAATGATGTAGAAAAAATGAAAATTGAAAAAAAAATTTTTTTTTTTTTTGGAAAGTGATGAAATGCTACTCACCTTGCACAAACTGAGACTCCTCCCATAGATTATGACAATACAGTCTAATAAGCCAGCTGAAAGGAGCTGTGCAGGCGTGCTCGTCTACTCCCACCAACAGGCTGCACTGAACATCAATCTCTTGTTCTGAGCCACTAAAGGAAAGACAAGACAAAATCAAATAGCAAAAATAAAGACAAAAGACAAATATCATTTTTACGCGTTTTTTGTGCAATTGGAGCCAATAATAATAATAATATGGTGCCACTGACAGAAAACATATTCTGAAAATGTAAGTACACGTATTGAAAAATTTCCAGTGTCACATTTTGTCAGATCACTTTCTTAAAGCAGTACCTTGAGCCCTGAGGCAGTGACAGGTCTAAAATCTGTTCATCACTGAAGATGTCCAGCCAGAATTGGATGAGCCCCTCACTGAGCCCTGCATCATATAGCAGGTCCAGGTTAGAGTCTCTGTCCAATATCTCCAACACTCGGGCCAGAACAGGGGTCAGGACACCCTGTAGGCAGCGCCATAGAGTGTGCCTGCACACAACAGACAACAAAGAGGTTGAGTGCCGTGTAAATAGACCTCTGTAGTCAGCGCCATATTCGGAGCAGTTTTTGGCTGTGGGAAAAATGCATGCAGTTTTGAAAACTGCCACTGTCACACCATGTGGTAAACAGAAACATTTCAAACCTGATATGTTTTATCCTATGAACAATAGATGTAAACATCTGAAATCTGAGTCAGGACATTGCTTAATCCATGCTACAAGCAAGCCATCATTCCAGTGCATTGAAATAACATCACATGAAAGTACGTCTACTATTAAACTTCAAAACTATCATATAACAACCAACACGAGCTACTCAAACTGTAGTTGCTACACTGTAAAAAGCGGCTCGTCAGATCCACTTTAAAAAATTACTTTATGTGGGAACAAGCAATAGAACTAGTTTTATTCAACTTAAGAAACTACATTAATTAAAAGAACTGTTCATTCAAAGTATTTATTTAGGTTGAATAAAACTTGTTAATTTCCTCGTTACCACATGAAGTAATTTTTTTATGTAGATCTGACTTGAACCACCTTTTACAGTGTGCTGCTAAAGCAACTTAACGACCACATTTGACAAAGCTTGCTGGGTGTTGGTGAGGTTGCCAGTCTTACGATGTCAGTTCAGTGCACAGGAATATAACCTTACATGTAGCAACATTCATATTTCAACTCCTTGCTAACCTTGTAATTAATGATATTTGGGGGAAAATATATCAGATTTGGGATATTGCCATTTAGATGTGGACACCATTCATTTTTCCCATTGAGAAAACGAGCTTGGACCCAGAGTTTCTAATGTGGGCATGATACCAAATGGAGAATGACCACATGACTTTAGAGAAACAAATTACTGACCAGTTTCAGTGTAGGTTGGGATCAGAGATACTTTGTGTTGGCATTTGTCTACAGAGTCTACAAACACCTCAGTCAGAAAACCCAGCTTGTGATAAAGAACTACTGTAGTATCCCCACTAACAAGAAATGCAAATTTAACATCTACAGACACCAAAACTTAACACTCAGTGTGGACTAATTATGTTAAGCAAGCACCAAATGCTGTAACCTTTAACTCATCAACTGATTTCATTACTGTACCTGAGAGTTCCACCTTCTTGCAATGCCTCTCGCTTCATTGCTTCCTTATTCACCCAGTCTCCCGAATTATGAATAAGCTCCTCCCTCTGGGTCAAGGCAACCACCAGCCTCTTCAGCAGCACTTTTTGGAAACGGGCTATATGATGATATGATATGATGAGTATTGGACATCAGAAGTACTAAGGCTTGAAAATGTCAAGAAACATACTGCCATGTTGTGCCAATGAAATCATCTGACCTGCAGTGTTCCCGGGGTTATTTCCTAGAAGGTCAAGAAGGATACCCATGCGCGTCATACTCCTAGAGGCTTTATTAACAGGGTCCCTCAGTAAAGAAACAGCTTTCTGAGAGCAGGATTTCACCAAGGATAAACTGTGCAGGTATGCAGGTTCTTCCTGTCAACCAAATATGGAAAATACTTAAATAAATGCTGATAATTATCAAATAATATAATTAAAATAACTACTATAGAAATGAATATTTATGTGAACATATTTGTTAAGAAATTTACCCTTTGGCCTTCTGGTATGGCACCCTCTTGATCTTCTATGATATCTTTTACATCTGCTAATACATAATATGGCATAAATTTGATTAATTCAGCATAGAGACAACATACATGGGGATTTCATGAATCATGCATAAACAGTAAATAAAGAGATTAAAAAAAAATACTTGAAAATTTATGAACAGCTACCTCCATTTCTTCTTTTTTTTTGTGCATAATTTGAAAAGTCCAGTTACCCTGTGCCTTGTCTTGAAATTTCATGATGAACTGACCATCAGAAATGCTCCAAAATCACTCGGAAAAAAATCTTGTTGCATTAACTTATATTACAAATTCATAAAGTTCTTTCCTTCTCCTGAAACGTTCCCCTTTCGGAGATACGATGTTTTGTTCCAACAGTGACGTTATGCCAATAACTGCAAGATGAAACTTCAAGATGTTTTATAATGTAAATTACACTGTATTATCAGGGGCCTTAGACTTAAGTGGACATTGGTGCTTTATGGGGAAATAAATACTTCAGATACAAATATTTCAAATATAATTATATTATCTTAGGTGCTAAAGACTGTATATAAGTGCACATTAAGACATAGGCAGAAAGCGGGTATCATCATACCAGACTGTCTCGGCTGGGAGAGGAGTTTGCTGATAGGTGTTCCGCAGAAAACAGAGAGATCCAGGCTCATGTCATCTGTGTCTCTGAGGTCATCAATATGCACTGAAAGCCAGGCACCTGTGATAGAAATGAACATAAAGCAATTACACCAATATTGGTGCTGTGATCTTTTAAAGGGCCAAAGGTTTGGGCACCCCATAACACATGCTCTAGAGAGAACACTTCTGCACATTTTAACACACAATTACTATTATCAATATTTTAAGGTTTAAATTTTCCAATATGTCACAATAGGAATAAACAGAAATTGTGCACTAACATTTGCTAAAAAATGGCATATTTAAGCATGTTCTCTTTAGAGGATGTGCTAACTTATTTTCACTTATAATATCACCAAGGTTATTCAAACCTTTGCATACGACTGTATATTATACTTGTATTTTTGGAACAAAAGAGTTCAGCATAGTATTTAAAGTGTATAGTTCACTCCTCAGTCCATTTGGTACATATGTGGAAACTAAGCTGCAAAAACAGCCCATCTGGAATTCATTGTTTTTTGTGATGTCACGAGAACCAGTGCATTTCCATGTACCTGCCAATTCAGCCTACAGCAATTTAGCTCTACAATTTACAAGGAGCGTTTCAGCCTGGACTGCTTCTTGAATGAGACACAGTACAGGGTAGCCCATCAGAACAGTATTTACATATATCAGTCCTAAAGAATATTGACTCTTTAAGAAAGAAGCTTTACTCACCTCCTTGGAAACCAATATACTTATTGCCACTTGCAATCCTGGAGAGCTTTGTGATGAACACAACATAACAGTTGTAGTCTTCTGACCGAAAAGACAGAAGCTCATTCATGGTGCAGTATCTGAAAAAACATTTTGACAAATACAAGGTCAACACTCGCAAAGGCCACAGGCAACACTACGCTTCACTGCAAACCGTGTAAAGACTTTGTTTGCTCTTTAAAAGAATCTGAACAGTAACAGTAAAAGCAATGCAGCCAAGCACTTCATGCAGGTTTCAGAAAATCTGTACATTCATTTGTGTAACACTGTTGTCGGTGTTATGACCAGATCTGAAAGCTACTATTGATGGCTGATTCCACAGGATTTTAATAGAAACCCCAAAACTCACTTTGCTGAAGCAATGAGCTCATTTTTGCACAGCGATTCCTCCATATCTGTCTGTACCAGCAAGATGTGGATGGACAGACTTGGACGCTGCAGGAAGTTTCTGAGAATGACAGTAAAAGGACAAAAAATATTTTTTTTAATTCATGGCAAATGGGAAAATCAGCAGGTGATGGTAAATTATATTGTATGATATCTGACATATCGTAACATGCTACACAAAGTGAAAACATATCATATTGAGTAGAAATGTAGAGTAGAACCCTACATATTGAATGTGAGTTAACAAGAAGTTCTACATTTCTAATGTTGCAAAGAACAACACATGTAAATGTTGTTTCCATGTGTTTCAGCCTGCATGTAGATAAGATGCTCTGTACCGAATCTTCCTGCAGAAAGAAGCCTCTGTGTCAAACTGGTGCAGAGACAGCAAAAGCAACTGTTCCATGGACAAACCCAAAGCTTGGGTCAGATTTCGCACATCTGCTTTAGTGAGCAAACCAGCGAAGGTGGTTACCTGCATGAAATAAAAAGGCCAATCAAATGTGTGTAATTAGATGGCAGCAAATTCCAAAAAGAATATCCATTTTATTTTAAGGCCTACTTCTCAACAACTGCTTAACGATTAGCAAGCAATTAATAAAGCCCTAGTAAACCGAAACATATCATTTGTTAGTAAGCTTAGAAGTGTGACATAAATGTACATGTACATGATGTATTAATAAGGTCCTCTATAAATCAGCTATTAACTGTGCATTAACCCTGTGCATGTGTTACAAGTGACAATAATTTATTATTACCCGTTCATTTCATTTCACCCCTGTACTTTAATGTGTATTTTAAGTCCAGTTGGACTTGGACCATTTCTAATGGTCTGTTCGTCATAAAATGTTTACATAATCTGAAGATGGGCTACTGCCTACTGTTAGAAGGTTTTGTTTAGACAGCAACGATTATTAAAAATGATATTTTGTAACATGTCTATATACTGGAACAACGTTTTGCAGCACTCCCACGACTGCCACCCCATAGGTTAAAAATTACTGTATTTTGATCATTATTACTAATTACATCACTTACCTCTATAAATCTGCTTTTCTCTTTGTCATTCTTCTTCAAATGACTGTTCATAAAGTCTTTGAGGGAGTGGTGGTGCTGCTGATGGAAATACAGCAACTGATGTTTCTCTGCTTCCTGATTTCCCAACTTTGAGTACTTTAGCCTCAGCACAGAGTCTGGAGTGGCACATTTCAATAAGAAATACTTGGCAGATTCATAGACCTCTTCCTCTTCATCCTTGGTGTCATTTGGCTCATTGTATTTTACTGCCTCAGGTTCACCTGGGTCTATGTCCATTTCCTCAGACTTGGGAATCGCATCAGTGACCTCTGCTTCCTTTTCAACTTCTATCGCCTCATCACTGTCATCTACACGCATCAGGGCAAGTCCCTCTTCATCATCAGCAAGAACGGTATGATCCACATCAGACTCAACACCTATAATAGCACTTTCCTTGTCATCACTAGGTGTCATCTGATGGCCCACAGCTTTTCCTCCTTGTGCCTGATTCTCTGTGATCATTGTTATACTGCCCTCCTCTATGGGTGCAGTGATAACATTGCCCTCCTTCACTGTGGAAGTATCAGTGGAAACATGATCATTTCCCACTTTCTGAAGGTCTTGTTTTTCTCTTTTTTCCAAGGCTTGCAGGAGGGCACTGGCACAGGCATCTCCATGAAAACCAACAAAGGCATCTGTTGGGCTGAAATCTGATGATGTAGACCCAGCATGTGAAAACGCACATACCCAATTTCTGAGTTTTGCAAGAACTCTGTGCTGCCATGGTGTCAAGTCTGTACTCCTGTCTACTCTATGCTTCTCCAGCCTGTTTTTAAGTGGAACAGGAAACTTGTCGTAGACTTTCTCTTGGTCTTCAATAACGACCAGTCTAAAGTCTCTGTGCACCCGACACTTCACTCTGTGTGACCCTAGTCCCAGGTCAACATACCGCTGCCCACAAAATTCAACATAGTACTGGTTCAAGGCATCATAGAGACTCTCATATAGATTGAGGAGGTTCAGGAGGATGACAGTCCGACCAGTCTCCATACATGACTTCACCCGACTCACATTGCGACAGATTTGAGCATACTCCTGGTCTTTGGGAAATCCTGAACCAAACACGATTTCAGGACAGGCGTAGTTACCTTTTGAAAAAATATACTGCTGAACTATGTACAGGGCAGCATTGTTTGTTGTGAGAAGGAGAAGATAGCGGCACTCATTCTCACTACTGTGCTCAAGGTTTTGTTCAATCATTTTCAAGGTGCTTGTCCTAGGAACTTCATGCAGATTTAGGAAGAGGTCTTGGAAATGCCTAAGAGGGTCAAAGTCATTTTTTTGCCCACTGAAATTGCGCAGTACAGCCTCTGCCAAGTCACTGTCACTAGGCTCACTGTCTGTATTTTTCACTGTGGCAAAAATCATTTTGACCAGGCTGTAATAATCTCTGAGTCCAAAGAACTGGTCACTGTCATTTTTACAGATGCTTAAAAAGCCTGTTGCCAACTTAGGTAGGAGATGCTTGATTTTGAGAAGAACAGACTTAGAGGATGAACAGATGCCATTGGCTGTCTCCACCAACTCCTTCTCACTTGGGTCCCAACGAGATACAAAAATCCCTCTGTTCATCTTCGCTGGATCAAGAGCCCAGTTCGAGATTCCGACAAAGCCCACTTTCATGTGTGGATCTGGCCTCTCATTGTCAATGCATCCATCCTCCAAAAGTGGGTGGAGGGTTTTCAGTGGCATCTGGGGAGAATCTTCTGCCAGTCCTATCTCATCCAGCACCACTACTGATACATACTCATCCATGTTCTTGTCCTTTTGAAAACGGGCACAGTTCCTGAAAGTTGCAATGATCCCATCTGGACTTGAGTGAGGACTACACTGGAAAGAGACCATGTGTACCTCTTTCAGCCTCCTGAACAAGTCACAGAGAGATGCCTGCCTTTGCATGGCATCTGCGACAACAGTCTTGGCAAGAGATTTAGAGCTCCCTGGCTTGCCTACCAGAAAGAGCGGAATCCTTAACTCAATACAGACCACCATGAGAAAGACGTTTTCTTTCAAGGCAGAATTTTTGGCTATCGTCTCTCTCATTGGTATGTTCTCAAGGAAGAAGTCTTGGCATGAGGAAATCTCATGCTCCAGTGCCTTGTCAGAGTTCAGTGGTTGGGGAAAATGCTTGCTAATAGCAGACAGATAAGCCCCTCTGCACTCGAGCGATGGATAATAGCAAACACCCAAAGCAAGAGCCAAGCATTTCAAAGTCATATGCACAATGTCAGTGCGCTGGACACTTGGAAAAAGGTATTGTCTGTGTTGGTAGAACCATACCAGCACCGTCATTGACCTCTCTACATCCCTAAGGCTTACAAAGCTGCACTCATCCTTTCGACGACGCATGTAACTTTGAGAAGCCGCCAAAACATTGGTGATCACTGTCTTGCATTCAAGGGGCAAACGGTGTTCTTCCATTTGTTTCTGTACGATCTGTCGTATGTAGGAGAGCTCTGTTGAATCACTCAACTGTCCAAAGTCCCACACAAGGGGTATCATGCTTGGGGGTAACGGATGAACACGGTATACAAGCTGCCGCATGGGAACTTTACCAAGTCGATCCTCTGTTTCTCCAGCCTTCACTCTGTAGCCCAACCCAGCTCGCTCCAAGCGTTCAATCATTTCAGGAGTATGCCTCCTGTAGGGATTGCAGGCAGCAATTATTTTCAGACCGGAATTTTTCTTCAAAGGAAATCCTTGCACAGACTTGTCACAAAGCACCTCCTTGATGGCAAAGATTGCTTCTGTGGTGTTAGCCTCATCGAAAAACAAAATTGTGTCTAGCTTGTATTCGCGACTGTTTCTCTCTGCAAGTCTTTCTGCCTCCCTGACCTTCTTGTATATAGTCTCAGCAGTAGTTCCTCCATGGACTTTGACCAGTTTCATGTTTTCAACATGTTTACCTTCCCTCTGCATGTCACAGAGGAACTTTACCAGTCTGGTCTTCCCACAGCCAGTCTCCCCCATTATGATGACTGGTATCTCACACCTGAATCTCATGTGAATGGCCAGCATTTTCATGACATTGTCTGCAGTAAGCTCATATGTGGGATCAGGGTCAAACTGTTCCTTAGCACCAACAACCAAGGAAATCTTTTTTAGCTTGTTTGCTCTTGGAAGCTGATCAAAGTCTTCAGAGAAGGAAATCCTTTGTTGCTGAAGTCCAAAGAACAGCTCAGGTGACATTACATTACCCATCAAAACTCTGCCATTTTGTGGATCGACTGCATTAAGAAGATGCCCCACTTGCTTCACATGAAAACCAAGGAAAGTCATGGTCAAGTGATCTGCATTAAAGAAGATATATGGGTGAGACTGATTCTCCCATCGCTTCCGAACTGTTAATCTGGCTAAAAGATCATCCTCAGGCTCATGCCCTTGGTGGAGAGAAGGGCTCTGGTCAGAGATGTCCAGGGAAGGAGATGCAAAGTCCCTAGCCATGTGAATCATGAATTTAACTATGAAGGTCTTGAAGCCACGCAAAAGGTCCGCAAAAAAGTATGGATCACAGAACCCAGAACTCTCACAGTCTTTCAGCTGCAGGTTGAGAAACCAAGTAAAGTGCTTCAGTTCAGCCCACGATGGGTCCTTAAGTCCACAGTTTGACAAAAGATGGTGAAGACAGTCGGCAGGATTTCCTTCCACAGATTTAGCTTGATATGTGAAACTGTCCAAGCTCTCATTTCTGTTGAATCTCCTTAAATACTGGTAAGGTCTCTGAATACCTTCACTCTGAAATTCTTGAATGTCCATTAGTGGGTCTAAGCATGCATGTTTCTGATTGGAATTTCTGAGCTCCAACTCTTCGACTTCTTTTGGAGGTCTACAGTGAATGGTCGGTAGCAAGTGCAGAAGTCCTTGATTTGACTTGAAGGAAAACAAAGAGAATTAATTTACAGGGATATCTAAACCAAAACTTTTAACATGAGTAGCAGTGAATAAAAGTTATGGCTATGCTCACATTTGTATAATGCTAATTGATGTTAACTGAAAGCTAATGATTAGTTTTGATTCATTTTTAGCAACAGTAATAGCTGAAATCAAGTCATAATACCTCAATGTTAAATTAAATAACAGAACAGCTTAGGCCAGGGGCCTCAAACTCCCTGCCTGTGGGCCACATTTGGCCACATTAAACGAATCTTCTGAGAGCGCAGAATTACACATCATTTTGACAACACTTTACTCACAGCAGTTTCACTCACATTAAGCAGAAACACCACTGCTATCATAATAAGAACCTGATATAATTCTACTGTTAAATGTAAGATTACTCGATTTAACTGAACACTATGATATTTAATCATATAATTATATTTATAACCACACTAAAAAATATGGGACACTTTTCCCCTGCATTTTTTTAACCAGCCCCCCTTGTGGAAGACCACTTGGCAAGTGACCACTAGGTGATTTGAGTTTGAGACTCTTGGCTCAGGCAGTATGCGTAAAGGTAAAGAAAATGAAACAATAAAAGTAGCCACTGCAAAAACAGTTATACCTCTTTAAGAGTTTGTCTATGATGAGCGGGATCCGGCAGCAGTGCTTCAACTGCAATCAAGTGAGCGGTGTTTCTTCTCCAAAGTGTTCCCTTACTGTCACTCAAACATCCTAGAACAAGTAATTTGAAGAGGAACTCCTCTAAACCACATCGAACCTGTCAAACCAATGCTCAATATTAATATCAAACAAAACTGGAGGGCATTGTAACAAAAATTTTTTTTTGGAAAAATAAGCAAAGTTTCTAGCAAAGCGTACAGCTGCAGCATCAATGTGCAGAAGAACGGGATCCTGTTCCCTCAGTTCCCTCAACTTCTCTGAAAGAGTCTGGACAAAACAATCTGTGTCAACAGAAGGTTCGATCAGTCTAATTGGCAGGTAACTGGCTGCTGCAACCTTGTTCTTAAAATGCTCGTACATCCGTGTGATGTAGAGCGACTTCCCTGCAAAGAGAAAAGACTGGTGAGTAAGAACATTCAATACAGGGTTTACTAAAGCAGGGACAACTACAGTAGCCCCCAAAGGTATTTGGACAACCGTTAATAAATGATGGTAGTGGTAGTTCTCTTTGTGTGGAGAAAGTCTCGAGAAGAATTCCAACCAAACTGCACTAAGGATGCAGAGGCGGGGCTGATTTTCTTACAGTAGGGTCGTTGAGTGTGTGTTCAACAACATTATAAACACAAACTGTAAACTGTTCAAATGATAATCAGAAACTCACCAGCCACCCTTTAAAAAAGATCTTGGAATGGTCTCTTTAAAACGAATGCCACTTGGTTTTGCGTTTCCTAGCACAATTAACTATAAATATGGCACAAATGCCCAAATACGTTTTGGGGCCACTGTACATATAAAAATCAAATACGCACCAACAGCTGGCCGTTTAGATGTAATCATCCAGGCAGAAAGATCATCTGGATAGACCTGGAAGTGACTACTATGACGAAATGGAACAGTTAAGTGACATCTGAGGTATTCTTTGGCTCTTTCTGCAGAAAGGCTCAACCCCCCTTGCACCTTGTAGTTGCTGAAAAATGATGGGACGTATCTGTCTTGGTTTACCGGACAGACCATAGCTATGCGATACTGAGACCGAGCACTTTTCTCCATTGCCTCAAAAAGTTCTGCCAGAGCCACACTCACATCATAGGTCAGCAAACCTGGGTTGACTACTGTATAGATCTTCTGATGGCCACTGGGAGCACCTCTGCCCAGGCATCGGCGTAGAAAGATCTCAACTTCTTCTTCGGTTGTGTCTTCTTTGCACATTAACACTTCATCAACCGAGGGAAAAGTCTGTTCTGGGCTCTCCATATAAAATGAAAGTGTGGTGCTTATTAATTCTGTAGATGGGCAGTGGACAAGATTGGGTCTTCCTTCTTGAAAAATAGATGGTAACTTGCGCTTGATGTGCACCTGGTTCATGGCAGACAGGCTGGAAAGGAAGTGAGCGAGGGTCTCAATGTCAACATATTGTGTAAGGTATCGGAGCATGTCGTTTCTAAAGTGCCCCCACAAACTGTCCAGACTTTCCATAGCAGTCTTTTCCGTTTTGCTCCATTGGACCGGTGTGGAAGAGTGTGCCTCAGGTTCATTCATCTCTTCTCTTGATTCAGGTTCATAACTGAAGGTTTCCTCATCCTGATTCCATTTATCCAAAATCTCTTCTTCTTCTTCTTCTACTTCTACGTCTAGTTCTTCAAGGTCTGGTTGAAGCGTGCTTGTTCCACAACATTGCTCAGATGTCTTGTCCTCTTCAAGTCTATCTGGAAGCTCTTTCTCATCATAAGGTCTGGTTTCCCCAATATCCATCGAATACACTGTTTCAGAACTGTCCTCTACCAGTTTCAATGTTGGACGTTTGAGCTGGCATTGAAGATGAAGGTCAATACTCTCTGTTGCCTTTTCAAAAGCTTCTCTGATATCATTTAGGGTGCAGGATGGCTTAAGGGGGTGGAGCAGGTGCCATATTTGCTGTGGCACAGGCTTTCGTTTCACACAGATATTGTGGATCCAGTTGCAAAGGTAGACTACCTGCTCTGAGGTGTAATGATTTAGCGCATAGAATCTCGAGCGCATATCAGACATGAAGTTACGCCAGTCTTCATGGCAGGCTTCCATAGAGCGGCATACTTTTTGAAGCTGCTCAGCAACATGTCCATGATACACAACATGCTTCCCAAGCAATGGGCAGTGGATACTGATGCAAGGGTCTTCTTCAGGGTTGCATTTTACAAGTGCCTCCAAATCCCGGAAGAATATGTTACCAGATGACCACAGCTGTAAAAGAATGTGTCCCATTCGTTGTGCTCCCTCAAAAATCTAAAAGTTGTGTTGAGTTAAAACTTCTGAATATCTTTACCATTTTTTCCATTCCTGATCTTATCCTATGAACTGAAATGAAATGAATCAAAGCAAAACCTCAGAACCCTAAACAATCCTGATAAGGTCATGTGCCTGTCTTAAACATCAACATATTGGATCCTGTTTTGACTACACATTAATATGCAACGCAGTCAGCTTGGCTACATTCACGATCTAACGTTACATGTGCTGCACCCATTGCTCCCACCTCCCTTGTTAGATAAATTATTATTAGACATTTGGGTAACACTTTATGAACCCTGCTTCATAAAACTGACATAACCATGCCGTAAACATGTCACGGCCGATGTTATATGCTGTCATGTCATAATTATGTTCAGTAATGCAACATTAAATGTAATTAACAGTAAAAGTAATTGTTACGACATATGCATCAATGTTTGACACTATAACAACCAACTAGAGTACACTTAGCAAACATTAACATGTGATGTTAGCTGTCATGAGATCAAACATTATGGCACCTGTAATGAAACTTACAGGTGACAGGTACTGGCAAGATGGTACTGTTATATTACTGAACCAAATCTGTCAGTACAACGCATGACAGCATATCGCTGATGTTGGAAGAAAATCTTCTTTTTATGTTGTGTGTAAATTTCATGAAGAATGGACCAAAAGAAACGACCCAGAATGACTTGGAAAAATGTCTGGCTCCATTGACTTACATTAAAAGTAAAGTATGTTCTTTCCTTCTCCTGTAAAGTTACCATTTTGGAAATACAAGGATTTTTCAGTTATTCTACTTCTAAACTGCAGAACTCAGCTTCACCTTTTTATTAGACCCTCAAGCTTAGTGCACACATTTAAAAAACATTTAAAAACATAATTTAATTTGGCATTTAATTAAAACTCTACATCATTTTTAAAAATTTGATGTGTTATATGATTTTAAATTAATACACATCATTTCTTCTATTACTTTAAAGCTTTATCACCCATCTGTAAAGCACACTAAGCTGCCACCATCATAAAAAAATTCAATATAAATAAAGATTATTATTATTATTAGTAGTAGTAGTAGTAGCAGTAGTAGTAGTAGTACTAGTAGTAGTAGTAGTGTTAGTTGTATTGGCTCTGCCTACTCTGCCCCGGCACCACACCAGCCATCACCACCATTTAAAAATGTAAAAATAACACAGAAAAATAAGATCAGTCAATATCTGGTTACAAAAGATACATATAAAATGGGCAAATTTAAACATGCTGTGTCTTGACTAGATGATGATCTAAGTTTGGGCATCATTATCATTATTGTGATATATTACCTCACATTACATCACACAATGCTCCATCTCTCAAGGTTCGTAAAGAAGACTGACTATCAGCATGTGTTATTATAAAGAGAGCGTAATTAGTCCTGTTTAACTGGATTTAGTGCAGCACAACACATAAAACACCCACCCCTTTTGATGATCCATTTACTACGATTGGATCACAGTGATCGGATGTTAATACCAAGTGCAAACAGGGCCTTCAGAAAATGGTTTATCAGAAACTCACCTCAGTGAACTTGTTGACTACTTGCTCCTTCCCACACTCTCCTTTGGATGACATCAGCATCAGCTTGTTTTGTAGCTCCAGTAATTCATCCAGGCTGTATGTCTTGTCCTTTTCATTGTTTGGCACTTTCACATATAAGACGCTGCCCAGACATTTCTAAACATCGGTAACACAAGGACACTCAGACATCCACACCGTAGCTCACAAAGAACACAGAGGAGTTCATAGGAATCCATGTTCTACTGCAGTGCCTGATCAGTGCTGGTCCACTCACCTTTTCAGAAGAGTCTGCTGGCCACTCTACATGGTAAACACCGCTTGTATTGATAGCTGAGGCCAACGAAAGAGAGGACTGCTCAACAGAGCCATGAGTATCCCTCACACTTTTCAGCCAGTCCAGCCAGCGACAAGAGTCTTTCTGTACAATACAAGGTAATACAAGGCAGTGAGTGTGGCAGCTACTTTTATTGGTTTATTTCTTTTTTTCACATGGCTATTTCTTTATTGTGTATTTCAACTATGCTAGATGAAGGCCTGAAATGCTTTGGTTTGAAGTCTAGAGTTCTCCAGTCAACAAGTGTTGCTGGATTTATTTCCTTTAGAGTCTTTATACAGACAGGACACACTGTCAACACCAGGGATGTCCAACTGCATCCCAAAAGGAGTCAGTGTGGTTGCAAGTTTTCATTCCAAATAAGCAGGAGCACACCTGATTCCACATGTTTAAACAGTTCAGTGAAAAATCTATTTTCTTCAATTTTACCCACAATTTACCCCAGATGTAGCTGACTCTCCAAGAGATGTTTGAGTCAGTCTGTTTTTTCTCTTTTGTTTACAACTTGAGCAGTGAGACTAACATGGCTAACCAGCACTAGAACTCAGTAGTCACCCAAATCGCCCAAATCATTTTTGTTAACCATACATCACCAAAACTTCTTTCAACCCACTGAAATTGCTTCCAGGTTTTCATTAAGATTGCACAGACTTTTCAGTGTGGTTAAGGACCACTTTGAATAACAGGAGCTGTATTCAAAAACCATCTCAAAAGCAGGAGTGCTGGTCTAGAATCAGTATTTGTGACAATAACTGTCTTAAATATGGAGGAATCTGATCCAAGATCAGTCCTGTGTTGTAAATACCAGCCCTGGTGTTGTCTGAAATGGTTGCCTGTAGTGGTGAAATTTTGCTTATTTTTATAGTCCGGAGTAAGTCATACTGTGCTCTAAACTACGTCGACAAGTTTATGCAACCTTAAAGAAGACTTGGACGATGCAGTTTAAACGGGTTCAGGAAAGTTTTGTCAAATTACTTTTACGGACTATTTGGGTGACTACTGAGCCCTAGTGTTTGTTAGCAATGTTAGCCTCACAGCTCCATTTCTAAACTAAAGAAGAATAATCTGGATTCCACACATGACTCAGCTGATTGACTACATCAAGGGTTAGAATGATTGGGGATCATATTGGACACCCCAGTTAACACCTTGCATATGCACAGTACTGTTATGTTAACAATGTTAACACAGTAGTGTTATAGTACTCGTGTCTGGTCTTGGTCTTGACCTTGTCTCAGTCTCAGGGTAAACAGGACAGATAATTTCAGTACAGCTATATAAAACCAGAAGCAGCAACAGTGGCTAAACATACAAAAACACTTACCAATTTTTCTGTAAGTTTCTCATCTTTTTGAAGATTGTCCCAAATTTGCTGAGCACAGGCAATGAACTCTTTAAAGCCTGCCTCCAGAGGTAGGGAGTACAAAAAAGGGCTGTAGCCTGCGACAGCATCACGAAAACTGGCCAGTCTGTCAATGTCAGCATCACTCTCCCCAGCCAAGTTCATAAAGAACTTCAGCTCACTTAGATCTGTTCAGGGTTCAGACACCAGTTACAGGAAGAATCAAATAATTAAATAGGCAAGTTGAATTAAAATGATTTCAGGCTTTACAGGTCAACTTCAATTTTAACAAAAACATTTTTACACAATGTTTGAAACAGTTCCTTAGTGAACAGAGCTGATAATCAGTAACTCACTCTCAATGCAGGTCTTAACCCAGCGGATTAGCTTTTCACTCTCCAAGAACGCTTCCAGACAGGCTGTGTGCTGATGTTTGACGTCCGACAGCCTTTCCTTGGCACTGATGAGGTCATTACTCAAAGATTTTAGAGTCTTCTGTTTGAATGAGTCATCTCTCTGCACAACAATATAGTATTGCTTTCAATCATCTAAACAAATGCAGACAAACGTGATAACTCAAACAGTTCAAAATCAATTTACTGTGAGAATAGATTTCTCTTACCAGCTCAGTAAGGCTGTATATGGGGCTGAAGTCTCCTCGCAGGCCTAGTCTGTCTCTTATCCTCAGTATTGCGCTGGCGGCCTCAGCTGCGTGGTGAAGCTGTCTGTACTCCTGGATCTGAATGAACCTCAGTCGAGGCCAGTTTTTCTCCAGGCCTTGATAACTCTCCAGCTCAGTGGCCATAAGATGCAGCTCCTTTTTGATCTTAGTGCCGTCACCCTCATCTCCGCACCCATCCACAACCTTGTCAACTTCTTCAAAAGTAGCAAGGCCTTGTGCAATCCTAATGCCTAACTTATTAAAGTTACAAACAGATGGCTGCCAGATTTCAGAAATGACTTGTGTCAGTTTCAGTGACACAGGGCCAGAACCAGTGTTCATAGATGCCAGTGCAGTTGCTCTGTCCACCCAGGAGCTGAGAAGAAGGTTACTCTCTCTAAATTCATGCATCTGCCTTGCTGTGTCCAGCACTAGCAGATCAGCATTGTAGTACAGGACTCGCCCTGTTGAGATTTCTCTCAGATCTTCCTTGGAGAAGCACGGCTGTACTGCTAGCAGCTCGTTCAAGCTCAGTGCCTGAAGATCGATCTTGTGTTTATCCTCAAGCAAGGAAATCTCAGGTACTGTTGGAAAGGCATTTTTAGACATATCTCAGGACAAATATCAATTTGGAATAAGAAACACAACATAAATAAAGCCTTTGCCAGTGGATTTACAATCTCTTGCAGGAGAGCCAAACTCACCATGGATCATCTCTGAGATTTTCCCAATCATCTTTATAAGGACATCCATATGTTCCCTCTGTTCCTTCAGGGCTAGGAGGTCTTTCTCTCTTTGTGCAAGCAGCTCCTCTGCATCAATGGGAATGTTATCCAGTTTGCCATGTTTCATACCTAAAGATGAAGACAACAAGGCGGCTCACTTATTGGTTAAATGTGACAAGTCTAAATATGTTTCAACAAGTAAATTAGATCTCTAGAATTCAAGAAAGACATTCAGTAAATAAATATTTTTTGGCTGACAAAAATGAACAAAATACAAACACATTCCAAAAAATCTGAAACAGTGTGTAAAACGCAAATGATAAAAAAAGAAAGCAGACCTTTGACCCATATTTAAATTCAATGGTACAAAGACAAGATATTCACTGGTTTACCTGATCAATGTCAATGTTGTTGTTTTTTACATATATATATATACATATATACATATATATATATATATATATATATATATATATATATATACACATATATACATATGGTTATATGTATATATATATATATATATATATATATATCGTAAAACTATGCCTGCAACATGTTAAGAAAAAAAGGACGGGGCAACTTAAAACTAGGAATGTTGTGAAACAGATGTTACATTCTCCAGGCCAGAGGAGAAAAGGACCATCCAAGTTGCTACCAGTGTAAAGTTCAAAAAACCAGGGTCTGCTATGGTATGGGGGGTATAATGGTACCCAAGGCATGGCTTTCACACCTGTGAAGGCACCATTAACACTGAACAGTATAGCCATAAGCAAATGTTTGGGCCCCCGGGCACATGTTTTGTTGAGTTTCTAAATGAAAATAAGTTACCATAAGGGTCCATGGGGGTCCTGACCACTGAAGAACAGGGTAAAAGGGGGCTAACAAAGTATGCAGAGAAACAGATGGACTACAGTCTGTAATTGTAGAACTACAAAGTGCACCTATATAGTGAGTGGAGCTGATAAAATGGACAATGAGCGTAGAAACAAGGCGGTGGTCATAATGTTGTGCCTGATCAGTGTATGCTGCCTTCTAGACTATGTCTTTTTCAGAAATGTCCAAGCTTATTTTAGCATGACCACACCTAAGCCATAACCTGCATGTGTTACAACAGCATGGAATGTGTAATCAGAGAGTGCAGGTGGTAGACTGATCTGCCTGTCTCGCATTGAAAATGTATGGAACATTATAGAGCACAAAATACGACAACGTACGACAAGGCCTCATACAGTGCGCAGCTGAACACTTGCATAACAAAAGGACATCAAAAAATTCCACTTTTAAAACTGGATCAATTGGTGTCTTCAGTCCTGAAATGAATTTCAATTTCATATAGGTCACATTCCATTTGACCTATATTAAATTAAACACAGTACCAAAAAGTTGGGACAGGAGCATATTTAACACTGTGCCTTTAATGACGCTAAATATAGGTCAAATAGAATTTACTAATCACTGTTTTGTGTTTATATTTTCATGTCAAATAATGACTCAACTTTTTTGTAATTGAGATTTGTAATTAATTGCAATTAATCACATCATTTTGTGTAGTTTTACAGTTGATTAGTTTGTGTAGTTTAATAATAGTGGGGATAAAAGCAATTTGGTGCACTTACAGTTTTTGTACATCTTTTGAAAGTTGTTCTGATTTTTCAGGACAGTCCGCAGGTGGCTGAGTGGAATGTTACCCTGGCAAAGAGAAATGACCAGAGAACCCAGGATAGATTGACACTTCTGCATGACATGACAGGCATCCTCTTCTATCTTCCACTGATTCCAGTCACCTAAACATATGAAAAACAGTGTTGCTGTTATTAGTATTATAATTAGTATTAGGACAAAAGAGCATATAGGTTAGTGACTTATTAGAAGAATTTTTTCCATGGTCATTCAGTCAAAATGTAGCAAAAAATATTCTTTTTATGTCAGCACACTAACCTCTATGAGCTCATTCTGTTACCTTTTTTGCTTAACTTAGAGATTATCATCAACTGAATCCACAGATATTGGTTTTATGTTTTCATGATAACTGGCAGTCTGTGACACTACATTCAGCGATCAAGCTTCAAACCAGAAAAAGTGTATATTCTAGTCATTTTGGCCAAAATAACAGGCCTGGAAAAATCACACTTGCACTTTTTCTATCATTAAGACTTAGGTAGAGTAAATCGTTCAGCCCTTGGCTGGGAGTCTTGAACAAAAGGATGTCAATCAAAAATGTTAAGACTACATGTATACAGTTTTCAGATAGATCTAATCAGAAAATTCAGCTGTTTTTTGAGCAGAGTTCCATTGATGTTTACTGTAACAGTCAAGTTTAGTATCAACAAATATTTTCTAATGCTATAATTTAATTTAATCTAAAGATCTAATCTTTCATTTAATTTAATCATTTCATTTTATATTCCTGGGAATGTAAGACCTGTATGAGGTCAAGTGTTAGAAGAGATTGAAGTACTGCCAAAACATTCACTGTGCCAAACTGGATGAGCTGGCTTCGCCAGGTATGATGCTGCCCAATAAAGAGTTTCACAGTGCTTTAAAGTGCCACTGGCAGACTGGCAGACTGCATTGGAAACAGATAGCAGATATTTTGAAAGCTGTGTCCAGTACGTGTTGTGTTGCCATCAAAAATTATTTCGTCACTTTAACCAATGGCAAAAGTTAATAAAGTTCTTTGGGTTACTTCATAAAATGCTTACCAAAATCATATTTGTTTCAGAGAAAAACACTTAGCACAACATCAAACTGATGGTAGACTCTTTGTGCGGAGAAACCCTGAAGAAGAATTCCAAAGAATTTCAAAGAAGCAAATATTAACCAGACTGCAGTGAGATTACTGTAAAACTCCTAGGTGGAAATGTCTGGGGCTGTTTTTCAATAATGTTGGTGAGCTTATGTGCACTGATTGGATCATGAAGTTTACAAAGCCATTTTGTATGCAAACTTGCAGACGCCTGCAAAGAAACTTCACAAATGATAATGTTCTCAATGAAATGATCCTCTTTCTTAATGAAATTTTCCAGCTGCCTTTTGAAAGAACACTTTGCCAAACAGAAAATCGGAATGGTTGGTTTTATAATAACTGCAGTTTGGTTTGACAATTTGTTTCCTAACAGAATGAGCTGCATACATTTTTAAGTATGGCACAAATGTCCAAATACTTTTTGGAGCCAGTGTAAGTACAGTTTATTTGCTGAACTGATAAGCGGTAAATGATAAACGGTACCCTGAGACAGGAGGATGTGGACAGCAGATTGAGCATCCAGTAGCTGGGTCACAGTGTCTTCTCCAAAACGAGCCGCTGATTCCACTACGATGGAGGACAAGATGGAAGAGTGAAGAGACTTTGGGTCTGACAACAGAGTCTGCAGAAGATCCCCTTCTTTCCCTGCCTAGATGTGAAATATACAGTGAAGGAAAGTTACAAATGGATAGAGAGAAATTTGAACACACAGTCATTTATCTATACAGTGAGTAGAGAAACAGATAATAACTGCAGCAAACACAACATAGTGTCCAGTACATTTGAGTAGACTGACACTGACCTGGCATATACTTTTTATTGCAGACAGACACACGTCTTGAAAACAAGTCTGAACAGCTCTATGGCTTTTCGCTATCGCCTTTGCTGAAGATTCCACACAGCAGACCTGTATCTTCCGCACATCAGTGAGCTTTGGAACAAACAGAAAAGTCTATGTTGAACACGCAATGTAAACCGAATAACTAGAGCAGATAATATTTACAAAATGTACAGTACTGTGCACCCTGTATTTATTTAATTTACAGTCAAAATGACCATCATGTCCACGTTATTCATTTTTCAGGGGGTTATTCTGGGGAGATTAGATACACAATATTCCACTTGCATATATGTTTTATCACCTGTCTGTAAAGCACTTTGAGCTGCCACCGGCATGAAAAGTGCTATATAAATAAAATTATTATTATTATTATTATTATCATTATTATTATACAAGGGAAAAGTCAAAGGATAATAAGTGAAAAAACATCCATCCATCCATCCATCCATCATCTAAACCGCTTATCCTTCTGGGTCGCGGTGGGGTGCTGGAGCCTATCCCAGCTGTCATTGGGCGGAAGGCAGGGTACACCCTGGACAGGTCGCCAGTCCATCGCAGGGCAGACAGACAGACATACACATTCACACACTCACTCACACCTAGGGGCAATTTAGCACATCACAATTGGCCAAGCGAAAAAACAGTAATTTCCAAAATTGGAGTTCAGAAAATTATACAGAGAAACTGGGACTCCTAACAACCGTGCAAGGCCTGGTAGACAACAAAACTGTTCCTGACAGATAACACTACACAGAAAAGCTTTCATCTTTCAGAGAGAAAATCAAGCCCCACTCTTGCTTCAGATCTGAAAGATTCCACAGGTGTTTCTGTCCATCCTCCCACTGTGAGAAGACAACTCAGCGCTATGAGTCTGAAAGGAAGTGTAGCTGTCAAGAAACCTCACTGAGAAAAGGAGACAAATCAAAAAAGAGACAAAGAAGCTGCTGGTGCCCTCAGAACAATGGACTGACCATTTCAGAGTCCAGGCCTCAGCGTCACTGAATGTGTTTGGATTAGTTGGATTGTGAGAAGCAGAAAATACAACCAACGTCTAAGACTGACAAACCTTGGAGATGTGGAAAAATGTTGTTTGAAAGAATGATGATTCATTTCATCCTGAAATGAATGAAAGCTATAATAAAGGTAGAGAGTGATCACACTACTGTCACAATACTGAAAAAAATCATATTTAGTTGTTGAGTCTTCTGTTTAATTATCTGTTAAATATAGGTTTTCTGCTTTTTTCCTGACTTTTCTTGTATTTAACGGTCAGTCTGACTGGAAATGAAATAAATGAATGGTGGTCTCTGATTTCATGCACTGCATGTATTCTTTTGTGCTTTTACCTCAGTGATCCTCTTTCTTAGGTCAGTCTCCAAACTGTGTAACCACTGCTCTGTGACGCGCTCTATCGAAGACTCCAGTCCAAAGAAAGCATCCCAGAGCTACGGAAAGGAATGTATGACATTGTTGGTTTATACATCGCCTCTGCCTTTGACAACACAGTAACAACTGCCTTGATATTTCTTTAAGGTACCTCTATTTCATTGGGGTAAGACAGCGTGGACTGGTGGAGCAGAGGCTTGCGAAGCAGTCCATCCCTCCACTGACTGAACTCTTTCTGCATTTGTTCAAGCTGTGAGAAAAGACGCTTTTTCTCCTGATCTTTCTCCTCTCCATTCTGAAAATATAACCCAGTGATTACTGTGTTGTGAAGACTGCCCAAGAGCACAGTGAAATATTAGTGTAGCTGTAAGACGTGGTACCTTTGAAAGTACTTCATACTGAATTTCAGCCAATTTCAGCACCAACTGGAAAGATAACACTGCTGCCTTGAACATCTGGATGTCTTGTCGAGCTATTCTACAAGCACTCCTATGAACACTTCTGCAACACTCAAGTACGGCATCCAATCTTTTAGAGGCTGTGATTCTGGAAATTAAACATTATGTATATATTAATACGACACATTAATAGACATATCATTAAAATAAGAAAAAAGCATAACAATAACATAGACTGGATTCATAATTAACATGCAATATGTCTTAACCTTACAGCAACAAGTTAAGACTAGTTAAGTCAGTTAAATGTAAATGTTGCCTTTCTTCATCTAAACTATAATTAGCTTTGCATTTGATTGTTCAGCTGAATTCAGCCGAATAAAGCCAGTTAAATTGCTTACTATTGCATGAAGTCTATTTTTCAATGTGTACCTTTTTAGGTCCTGCTCATTCCACTTCATAACACATCTCAGGATCTCTTCAGTGATCTGTAAAAACATTAACGTTAATGAAACACCTTGCCTTTGTGCAAAATCCACAACTTTAGCTATGAAAAAGCCATCTTGCATTATGTACCTGCAGGTTCTGTGAACTGATAGAAGCAGTGTTATGAATGCACAGTTCAAACTCTTTCAGTCTGTACATCAGGCTCTGAATCAGATATTCAGGCACAATGTCTGTCAGTTTGGCAAACTCCGTAATATCTTCAAATGCCATCATGGACAGCCAGCTGGTCAAAATCCGAGGCTTCTCCTTGACCAGTGATTTGTGATCTTGGACCATCTGGAGCATCATCCTGGAAAGATGTCAGCAGAGGGGTGAAAAGGATTGATTAAGTTTCAGTTTCATTTCAGCCAAAGCCTCAAATAAGAGTGTTTTGAAACTGTCTTTTTTTTACCCTTTTACAACTTTTTATAACTGCAACTTTTCTTGCATAACAATATATTTGGAAGATATGGAGGCAACAATGTCATCTTTGCTCCGAACAGATTGATAAAACTCAGGATTCATTTACACCTTCAAATAATTCTTCTTAAAAATCTTTTTTCACACAATCTACCTCACCTAAGTCTATCAACTGAGTAGATCAGCGAATTTATGTATTATTTACTTGAGATTTTAATGTTATTTTTAAAGCCATTTTTAAAAAAAATGCGTTATAACAAACCTCCTTTTGTCAGGGTGTCTCCGTATCTTCTCTCTGAATGAACGAAATTCCACATAGTGCAGCCCGGTCCAGTCCGTCTCTTCCACAGTCGGTCCAAGCCGGCCTGAGTCTGCCCCTGGCTGCCTCAGAGTGTGGAGGAGAGGAACCAGCAGCACCAGCTCTGAGACCAGGCTCCGAGCACAGCGGTTCATCAGACCCAACACTGTGCTGCATCAAATCAAACAATAATAATCAAATGTGTAATATTTATGCTGCTGGATAGCCTAGTGGCTAACACCATGGATCTACACATGGAAGACCAAAGGATCAAATTCCCCGTACAAGCAGGTACACCAATGCACTGCCATACTAAAAAGTACTTGGGCAAAACTCCTAATATTACATTCAAATATCATTGTCTACAAAATACATAGATAATAAGGCAGTGTGACGGCCGCGAGAGAAGGTGGGACTCGAACTCCGAGCCCCACTTCCTGGGCATCGCAGCGCAGTGCAGCCACTTTATTTTGGCTCACGTTTGACCCTGGCGGCTGTCACCAGGGCCCAGGGGACATACTGCCTTTTTAAATTACTACACTGTAACACTTGAATTCTGCTACATACCATTAACATAACCATTCCAGAAACATGTTATAGCAGATGCCATATGCAGTCATGAGCTGTCAAGATAGATTTTTTTAAATAATATAACAGTGTCATATTACAGTTACTGGTAATTGTCACAACAGATACCGTAATCTTTGTTCTTATGACAGCTTATCTCATAGGCTATTTTTTGATAAGTGTACTCTACTTAGCCATGATGACATTACATTATGACATTTGTCATGACAATTAAGGGTAACGGTAACATGTCACTGTTATATTACTGGACAGCAGGGTTCAAGTAAAGAGTTACTAACTACACTGTGATAGTTAACAGCATTATAATATATACACTTAGTGACCACTTTATTAAAAATGTAGCACCACCTTGCTGGTGCATAGTTGGATACTGTAGCCTATCAATGCACAATTTGTTTTATTCATCTTCTGGCCCTTCATCAGTGGTCAGTTTTTGACCATAGAGCTGCTCTTGGCAGGATATTTTACGGTTGCTGAACACTTTTAACTTAGCAGTGACTTTTATGTGTGTAAAAACCCCACTAACAGCACTGTATCTGATACACTTGTACCAGCACCACACACACTACCATGATACGATCATGTCAGTGTCACTGCTGTGCTGAGAATGGACCAATAAAATCTGATCAACAACAGTACTGTGGTCAGAAACTGCTCCATAATGAACAGGATGGAGTGTGTTTGATAGGCTGTGCATAACAACAGAAAAACTACAGTCTGCAGCAATATATCCATGTAGTGGACCTCCAAAGCAGGTAGAGCTAAAAAAGTGATCAGTGAAGTACAAGGTGCTCCTAATTATGTGGAATAAAGCATATAATTGTTGTTCATTATTATCATTTAGCCCTTATTTAAAAAAAAACTGAAGACATATTTGTAAATATAAATCTTGGTGTGAAATAATTCTACACAATACAGCTCCATAATCTAAGGCTTGTTACACCTCTTTGTTTATGTACTTACTGCTGTAATGCTGGAGAGGCATTCTGAATTTCTTCTACTTGTCCGAGAGCAGGACCAGAGGAGACCAGCTGACAGATTTTGCCCCAGTCTTTAATTCCGAGCTCAATATGACAGGCACAGCACACCTGGAACACTGAGAGGCCCAGTGTCAGAGGACTGACATCAGCTGAGCCCTCTGAAGTTCTTCCTCCTCCTTCTCCATTCAGTAACTTCACCAGTTTCTTCGCTATCAGTTCCGACACCTAAAACACAGAGTCATGATTTGATGTTGTGTAGCAGTTCTTCAAAGCTCCAGGTAAGTCGCACTGAATCAGAGGTTTTCACTCACCTTCACAAAAGGAGTAGGCACATTGTCATAGTAATACACTCGCTCTCTGGCAGCCTGAAAACCACTCATATAGCTGTTTAAGAGTTGTGTGAATGTCCGAACGCTCTCCTGACTTGATGGGTCCCATTTCTCAAACAATCTGTCCAGTAGAAAATGTGCAGAATTCTCCCAAGCCTCAGATATGACTCTATCTGCAGACTTAATCCAGCTCCTCAGCCAGTCTTTGAATGATCCCCGGAGACTCATGTGGGCTTCAAAAAGGTGCATTTCTAGACAAGAAATACAACAACAAACATAACAACAATCACACAGAACTCTAACTTACAAACACAGCAAACTGGAACAATCCAGAGACTCATCTGAATACTGATGCAAGACACCAGTTTCCTTACCTTTGATAGAGTGATAAATAGGGATCTGGTGGGATCTTGTGGCAATTTCCTCTATTACCTTCTGTCGCTGCATCACTGCGTACCTATATGACATTACGCTGCCCCTTTGCAAAATACTTTCATCAACTGAGAACTTTGCCTCGATCAGATAGCCTTTCTCACGCAAGCCCCTAGCATTTGAGGAGAGAAACAGGAAAAAAAATGTATATGAACATGCACCAAGCCCACTGATGTTTAATAAATCATTTAAAATCATTCCATAAACATGTGAAATACTATGTGACTGTCAGTGGCCAAACAGTGCCTATTAGAGCTAGGCCTTCTGGCCCAGTTCTGGCGTTAAGTTCTAGTTCTGGGTCATAAATGTCAAAACTTGTCAAAATAGTAGGAAAAAACCCACTTCAGTGTTAATGCTAAATTCTTTTAGTGCCCCTATGGGATTCTGGTAGTGCGTTAGCATTAAGCTAGTAGCAATGCATGTGCTAGATGAAAAACAGACATTTGAAGCTTATAACAGATACAATAGCATATATATATTTACATTGTATGAAAGCTTAGCAGTGACTCAGTAAAGAGCCCTTGCCTAAAGTCAGAGCCCTGGCCAGAGTTGCTGCCACTGTTTTCCATTTTTTTTCCAACTAACTAAAACCTGGTTAGACTACAGCTCATATTCAAAGTCAGTGATGTATCTAGGACTTCCAGAACGTCAAGGGTGATGTTTTTTTCTAAAAAAAACACTGGACCTTCCTATTGGAAATTGAAAATCAAAACATGGCTGGCTGATGTCTCTGGCATTTCCTAATCACGTTGGCGGTAGTTAGTCTAAGGTCCTCAGTTTAGCACCTGATGGCCTAACCACAGGGAGAGCTCACTTAACTCACTTAAAAAACAAAACACCAAACAAAATCTGGGCAATTTTTACATTTGGTGTTTCAAATTAACCATTTCTGCTTCCAAAAAAAAATAATAATAATTTCCTAGAAATCATTAGGCCTAGAAGACACTAAATATTCCCCTCTGGTGACGGTGACTGTGGACTGCTGCATGATAATAAAGGGGTCTCTAGATCTAATTTTAATTTTGCACAGTTTCATATTTCACCTGACCCTAAAAGGCCAGAGTCAACTGATGAAACGGCCCATCGACTTATTTACGTAAAACACAAAACAGCTGCGTTCTTTTTCCTGGTAAGACTGGATTGGCTGCTTAATTAATCACAAAATGTAACGAAATGTATAACCAACAGATGTGGAAATAAATAAACTCACTTGAAATGGGTGATTTCCAATTCAGCAGATCCACCTGCATGACAGAGCAGAAGTTTGTCTTCGTCTCTATTAAACCTGAACTTCTTGTCCACCACTATGTACACATAAAAGGTGAACGCTGGCTGCACAGTCGGTGCTCTCACTGGGGACGTTTTTCTGTGGAGATACAAATGTAAAAGAAATGTTAGATCAATGTCTCTTACACATCACTTTTTAGAAAGAGTCTTAAAGTCGTAAAAGGAGCAATGCCAAAGTAGAAGCAAATTTTTGTTTCCTAAAGCAGTGGATCTCAAACCGGTCCTCGGGGATCCCTAGATGGTCCAGATATTTGCTCTGTACTATGTGTTGCAAGTGAGGTTGAAGCAAAAATCTGGACCATCTGGGGGTCCCTGAGGACCAATTTGTGAACCATTGTCTTTAAGAACTTTTCAGTGCCTCATTTTTATAGACTTAGTTTATAAATGAAAAGAGTATGAAGAACATTTTTTTTTAATTTGGAGAATCTCCACATACACTCTTAAAGAAAATTCTAGATATTTAAAAAAAAACATAGTTAATTTGCTAAGATGTTGCTAAGAGGTCTTTCAGAATGGTTTGATGTGAAACGCTTCATTCTCGAGACACTTAGCAAGTCAGAATAGTTCACGGTGGTGGTAGAGGTAAAGACATCTGAAGAGTTTAATGCCTCTAAAAGCTCCCTCACAGAAAGATATCAAAATCAGGTGCTATATAAATAAAAATGATGATGATTATGAGAAAATTACAAATACATTTCCTGATTTCTAAAACCTAAAACGCCTTTAAAAGACATTAATGGTGAAGAGGTACTTGCAGTTCACTGTAAGGTAAACCAATCCTCAAAGAAAACAGATTTACAACTTTTATTTTACAATTAACTCAGACGACTTGTGCAGGTTTACTGGTAATTTTAGATAATAAATTAAATGGCTATATTTGAGTTGTAGGCATCCAGTACCTCTGGTTCCCTACAATAAACCACACCAAACCACTTTAAATGACTGTTTACATCACAATCACTGATTTAAAGAGAAATTTTGAAAAGTCAGTGGAATTCCCCTTTAACAAAAACATAGGGTCGCTGATGCAAAGCACTGCTTTAATGAAGCACGAAAGCTATTTGAGTACTACTAGCACCCCCTGGTGGAGAATCTTCAGACTGCTAAACATGAATCACCGAGTGAATGAGACAGTGAGGCAAGGCACGTTCTTCCTGCAACCTTCACATTATGTTTAGGTTCTTTGAACTTTAAAAAGGTTCCTCACACTCACACAACTCATTTACAAAACTGGTTCTCTAAAGAATCATCCATGGAAAGGGAAACAAGTGGTTCTTTTACAGCATTGCATACAGAAACATTTTTGGCACGTTTATTTTTAAAGTCATAATGTAACCGTTTTACACCAATTAAAGGTTTATCCAAAAACCAAACGTCCAAACCAAGAGCCACTTCTTTTTTTAAGAGCGTAGACCACAAATGGGCCAAAGACAATACTAATAAAACGTGACCTACCTCTGTTCTCCTTTGCTGTGAGTTCTGCCCTCCTGTCCCACTGCTGTCTGAACGCTCCGCTCCTTTGAGTCTTTGATGTGTTCAGTGGCTGATGCTGCAGCAGCATATGACTTTGGTCCACTATCTGCTGAGGACTGGTCAGAGGAATTCTGTGGATCTTCTCCTGACCTTCCTACTGTCTTGTTCTTATTACTCTTCTTCTCCTTTTCTGCATCACGATGGGGCACATTTTCCCCTGAGAGTGCACTCTCTCCTCTCTTCTCGTCAGGAGATCTAGACTCTTTCATGGAGCCTTTGGTACCTTTTCCTTCATTCTTCTCATTTTCTGCATTCCCTCTGTCCAGCTGTGTCGGTTCCCACTCCATAGTGTCCTCTGCTGGCTCAAGCTGTGTCGGCTGCCATGCTAAATCTGTTTGTGTGTGACGAGAATTTTGATTGACAGGCTCAGTTTGGGTCACTTCGTCTCTGACCTCTAGTCTGATTGTTTGAGTTTGAGCCTCTGCTTTGCCTGTCTCAGGCACGGCCCTGTTACAGCCCTGATCAGACTCCTGGTGTTCAGCCTGGTCTCTTGGCCTGGTTGAGGTGTCTTCAGGCTGCTTCTGGGCTGGATTCGACGTACTGCTACCAGTCTCTGATCTTTTGGTCTTCGTCTTCCGTCCACTTTCCTTGAGACTGTCATTGTTCCCACCTGCTTTGTCTGCTCCTTTCTTTCTCCCCTTGTTGTGCCTTTTCCTCTTCATCTTTATTTTTAAGTTCTTTTCAGTTTTATGCCCATTTAGGGACCAAATGTAACTAATAGTTACATTAAGAGTGAAACAAAACTGATCTTAATTGATATCAAAGTGAAATGGAATTTAAAATGCAAACACACTGTTTCAGTGCATTTGTTTTATCTTAGTAATGCAGCAATGCGCAGAGAACAGCATCTGTCAAGACAAAGCACAAGCTAAAATAAGTCAAATCTTTCAGTAAAATAATAATAATAATAAAATAAATAATAACAATAATAATAATAATAATAATAGCATTGGTCCATGTTGTATACAGTGCACACAAATGAAATAGGCCAAGCATAATTAAAAAAAAAAATACAAGTAAACAAATATATTACCACTCAAAAGTTTGGATATTATTATTTTATATATAATAATAACAAAATAACAGTTTGAAATATGAAGCATTCTAGCTATTATAAGACTCATACCCTACATTTTTCTCATATTGTATTTTTGAGGTCCAAGTATGATGGTTGTGTGGTTTTAAGTACCAAAATAGTCATAATTCATTTTTTACCTGACAATTTTCAAACCTCTTTTTATCCCTAAGAAATGAACAGGCTGTTCCATTAACACTGATATATGTAAATGGACTCTGTTCTGATTGCCCTGGATTTTGTCTCATTAAAAAAGCAGCCCAGGCTGAAACAGTCCTTATAATGTCACTGTAAGTGGGCGTGGCTAAACTGCTGTAGGCTGAATAGATACAAATATGTAAATGCGCTGGTTTTTGTGACATCACAAAATATTCACATACTTCATCAAGAAATGAAGAAATTTTGGTTTTCCATGATATGGGCCGTTTAGGATCTGATCTGGAATTATGGTCAAAAGTGATCAACCAAGTAGAGCTTTAAACCAAGTAAGTTCGACATTAGAAGAGACAGGCAACCAGTGTACAAGTCTGTATTTTGCACAAGGTGTAACGTCCGAAGTCCTTTCACATAATGCAGTAGTCCAGATGAGAGACGGCAACAACATGAACTTCTGAGTTCACTTCTGAGTTTCTGACTGCATTGCAGTCTGATTGTTAGATCTAAATTGAGATGTTTCTTGAGGTGGAAGAAGAATGCGTGACTACTGTGTGATTAAATAAAACATCTTCACTGAATTCTGGCCTTCAAGTCTTTCTCTTAACTTAAAGAGGAATTCCATAAATTTTTCAAAATTTTTCCTTAATTGAGTGGTTGGTCACTTAGAGTGGTTGGATGTGGAATAGCTCATTGTGAAGAAAGCAGATTCCTAACCATTTCATGTCATAGCTTTATGTGAGGGAGCTTTTAGAGACATTAAACACTTCAGACGTCTGGTTCCTATCACCACCACTGTGATCAGTTCTGACTCTGAGTTTCTATATAATGAAGCATTTCACATCAAACCACTCTGAATGACTGTTTACATCTCAACCATTTAATTATGCAGAAAATTCCCCTTTAAGTAGGCTGTGTAAACTTTCTCCAGGGAAATGTTTAGATGGAAAGGGAAAAAATATCCATAACCATAAACTGAGTTTAAGACATTGGGATTCATCTTTTATTTTTGTCAGTATAAATTTTACAGCTTAAAACAAATCCCTTCAGCATTCAGCTCGAGACGTTTTATGGGAGCGATTACTGTTTTATACAACCAGATATCCAAAATCACTTTAGTGCTCTTTCTCTTGATGACAATGTCATTGAACGCCCTGGTATACGAAATGCAAAATCACTTAGCCTTGGTTTTCTCAGTGCCTAAGAACCTGTTAAGAGAAAGAAGAACACAGAGACATGCATTTGTGTGGTCTGAGAAATCTGTTCTTCTAAACAGTGAGAATCTACGAAGCCCTGCTGGTGACATCCTGTATAAATAACAACAACGTGTGGCCACGACTTAGTGGACGCGAGAACGAGAGAATTAAGTTGGGGCCACGACTTAGTAAGGTGTAGGGATGAGACCCTTAATGTGTGGCTAAGACTTACTAAGGCGTGTGAACGAGATAACTAAGTCTGGGCCACAACTTAGTAAGCCTTGGGGACGAGACCCTTATGTGTGGCCAAGACTTAGTAAGGCAAGGAAACAAGACAATTAAGTCGGGGCCACAACTTAGTAAGATGTAGGGATGAAACCCTTAATGTGTGGCCAAGACTTAGTAAGGTGTGGGAACAAAATAACGAACTCTGGGCCACGACTTAGTAAGGCGTGGGGGCGAGACCCTAATGTGTGGCCAAGACTTAGTATGGCGTGAAAACGAGATAATTAAGTCGGGAGCCAAAAGCTTAATAACAATCCCATGCCTTACTAAGTCATGACCACATGTTAGGATCTCATTCCAACGCATTAATATGGCGTGGCCACACATATTTTTATTTATATGGGGCGTCAACAGCAGGGCTCCGTATTATGGAGCCCTGCTGATGACATCCTGTATAAATAAAAATAATGCCACGTTGTATTAACGAGTGGGAACGAGATCCTAATGCGTGGCCAAGGTATGGGAATGAGATAATTACGTTGTGCCCATGATTTAGTGAGACGAGGGAACAACATAATTCAGCTTAATAAGGCATGCTGTCCTTCCCACGCATTACTAAGTCTTGACCACGCATTAGGCTCTCGTTTCCCACGCGTTGATACGGCGTGGCCACGCATTATTTTTATTTATACAGGATGTCACCAGCAGAACTCCGTAAGTTTCTGATGGTTCCAGATGGTGTCCAGTAGCCTTTAATGGTACTTAGTGTTTTCCTGATGGGCTGGTCTCATTCTGATGTTTTAACAGTGATCACGCAACTGATCCCAGATGCATTTGATGATTTTCTAAAGTGATCTAAAGGTGTCCTACAGGTAACTAGTGGTCTCTAGTGGTAACCATTAAGCCAGTTCCCGTGAAAAAGCGCAACTTTCAGGTATCCTAATGGTGTTCTTCCTGCAGGCTCGCAGCGCAGACTCTGCTCCAGAGTTTCCTCTTAGGTTTCGTTTTCGCGTCACAGGCTGATGGGCTCGTTCTGCTGCTGTAAAATCACTCTGCTGTCTATCTGCGTGGGTTTAATCGATGAATTATCGTGAACTTCAAACAACTCAGACCGTCTATGCACCAGTTATTGTTAATATTACAGCGTGCTGAGGTCAAATAAGGTTCAAGTTGTCTCACAAGCCCAATGATCCGTTCCACCTTAAATGGTGCAGCAGTGACTGCGGACACTGTCAAAGTGGCACGTCTTCAAAGACTTGACCACACTTGAGTTCACCGTGGATTGATTTGATATGAAGCAGCATTTAGAAGCTGCTGACTGAGAAACTAAACTAACTACACTTCAAATCAATCAATCAATAACTGACAAGTCTTCGTCAGACTCACCACTTTGGCAACGCCAGCAGTTACTGCTGCACCATTTGTTGATGATGCCAGACTAATAACAAACTCTCAGGATTAATAACCGTCGTAATAAACCTCTCAGCCTACCTCGATCCCGGTCGCTGTGAGAAGCACTTCTGAACAAGAGGCTGCAGCTCTCGGCTCTCACTGCACACTTTCAGTTTCGTTTCATCGTCACGAGAAGACCTGGAAGCACAGCTTTCAGCGCAGTGAGTCCCAAGCCGGACTGGAAACGCCCGGACTTGGATTAAGACCAGTACTGGACTGTATTGCAGTACTAATGGTGCTTTAGCTCTGAACATCCGAGTCTAAATTAATGACTAGATTAACACAACCAGCGGTGAATGAGCCAGTTAACACACTGAAGAAGTGCCTGCTGTGGTTGGAAAGGCGTGCAAACATGTTCTGTTTTAGTTTCTTTAGTATCTTTTAGTATTTTATGTTATTTTATTTGTGTTTATATTCACTGTGAATTTTATATTGTAATGTGGTGTAAATGTTTAAATGTTGCACGACAGCTCCACCTAGCGACCAAAGAAAACAATCACCACAGACGTGCCACATCCTTCAGAACTCTTGGTAAACATGGACACATTAAGGCTATGTATAATGGTTTTGCTTCATGTTAGTTTCATGTCACCCAGGGCGTCACTGATTTCTCAAAACTGCAGTAGTAACTGAACAGAAGTCTTAGGGAAAATTAGAAAACTATATGTAAACCATTTCTGGGCAGTAAGCACTGATTTGTTGATGGATAGATAGATAGATAGATAGATAGATAGATAGATAGATAGATAGATAGATAGATAGATACACAGACAGACAGACAGATAGATTTGTATATAGACAGACAGACAGACAGGTAGATAGATAGATAGATGCACAGACAGACAGACAGATAGATGCACAGATAGACAGACAGATAGATTTGCATATAGACAGACAGACAGACAGACAGATAGATGCACAGATAGACAGACAGATAGATTTGCATATAGACAGACAGACAGGTAGATAGACAGATAGAAGCACAGACAGACAGACAGATAGGTAGATAGATAGATAGATGCACAGACAGACAGACAGATATGCATATAGACAGACAGACAGACAGACAGACAGACAGACAGAGAGACAGACAGACAGATAGATAGTACATTGTTGTTTTCTGTGCATGTTAACCATTCCAAAGCTCTCCACGAGAAAGTCCAGTTTTTATAGTTACTGTCCAATACCTAGTTTACAGTCATAAACACTGGTTTGATACATAAAAATCACTTTATAAGAAAAATAATGTACACAAAACAGGTTGGATATGGGTCGCACATGACGGAACGGATCAGTAGTGAAAGTAATCATGCTGAACTGCAAAATGCTCACACAAACTCATCTCCAGCAAGATGAATAAAAATGTTCCTAATTGTTGCTAACAACTGCTATAGCTAGGAAGTAATGCTAATAAAAGCTAATCAGTGAAACTTTAGTGAATCATTTTATGTCTTTATCATGACAATCTAACTAATGAATATTTCTGAGGCAGTATGCTAAAGTTTCAGGTTCAGGGCGGATTTCTTACCACAAAGGTCATACTTTACCCTTTCACTTCAAGAGAAAATGTCTTTTTTTCCCTCTCAAAACCAAATGTACCCATAACCACACGTTAAACAACTTAATATGTAGTACAACTTAATATAGAGGCATAGTTTGCTACTATCCTGTGAGGTATCGTATCTGATGACGCTGACAGGTTTAATGCTGACTGATGGAGAAGTTTAATGATGGTTTGCAATGCAAACAAAGTCATTCAGAATGGTTTGATGTAAAATGGTCCACTGTAGAGAAAATTACAGATTTCTTTACAGTGGTGGTGACAGGAACCAGGGGTCACCACGTCTATAACACACATATAGCCATTTTATTTGCTACCCAAAACCACCAGTGAACCTATACTTGTCTTTTATGTTAATAATTGCAAAAGAGTGGAAAATCTAAGAAAATACACTTTATTTGGGGACCATTTTCGTGTGCTAACGTTGTGAAGTAGACTTTAGAGGCATTAAACTCTTCAGACGTCTGGTTTCTATCATCACCACTGTGAACAATTCCAACTCATTAAGTTTCTCTAGAACTGAGCATTTCACATCAAACCACTCTGAATGACTTCGTTTACATCTTAACCATTTAATTATGTTGAAATTTGAAAAATTGGTGGAGTTTCCCTTTAACACTATAGAGGAGGGCTCACTATTTGGCAAGCAACAGGAGATCTAATTAATAACCATTAATAAACTAATGTAAAACCATTCATAAACGTTTTATAGCACGGTCTCACTGTAAAGTGGTACCTAAAGAGAAAACTACAAGGATTCTTTCTAACAGCGCAGCCAAGATAAAAGTCCCTTCAGGGTCCTCATCGTGGGTCTAGATACAGATATCGAGCTTTACTCCATAAAATATATCTGTGACTATGAGAACAGCATCGCAAAAAGCAACCCTCAGTCTTTCCATAATTAACACTGAATCATCGTCTACACTTGTGGGCTCTCTAGCTTCTTCACTTTTCTCAGCACCACTCTGCTTCTGCGTCTCGGTGTGGCCTCAGGCTCGCTTCCTCCTTCCGCTGGTGGAGGGCGTTGCTCTCTGGGGGCTGAGAGGCTCCTGCCTGCCCGAACGTCATCCACAAATGATTCCACTGACTCAAATTTGGAGCTGAGCTCGCCCAGGCGCTCCTTCAGCGCATTAAACTCCTTATACAGATCACTGAGGGCTTCGGACAGGGGCTGAATCCTACAAGAACATTACAATGTGAAGTCAAATATCAGATTTAATTTAAAGTTTGATGTTGATTGATTTGCTGTTTATATATATATATATATATGTGTTGTATATCCAAAAGTATTCAGAGCCTCCTTCTACTACTAATACTTCTAATTCAGCTACTTTAAAGTGCACGCATTACAGACACAGGTGTTCAGAGCTTGTATAACCTCTATAAAAAAAGCAGAGACTCAGTTCCCCCAGCATTGGGCTGTGGAGCAGTGGAACTGTGTTCTCCGAAGTGATGGAGCTCCATCTAATACCTTTGGAGTTGGAGTGGTGTTTGTGATCCAGAACTAATCATCCAGTATAGTAGCTATCATCATATCAGTAGCTGACCTCACTAATGCTCTTGTGGCTGCAATCAAATCCTTACAACATGTTCCAACCTCTAGTATAAAGTCTTCCCAGAAGAGTAGAGGCTGTTATTGCAGCAAAGGACTGAAACTTTCTATGAATACCCTTCGTTTCAGATATACATACACACGATATATACACACACACATACATACATACATATATATATATACACATATATATATATATATATATATATATACACATATATATATATATATATATATATATATATATATATACATACATACATATATATATATATATATATATATATGTATGTGTGTGTGTGTGTGTATAAACCAAAAACCAGCAAGTCAATAAGTCAATATTTTTGTTTAGTTTTAACTTAGAAAAAAGTTCTAAATACACACACAAAGAGCCACTGAGGAACACAGAACTAACCTTCCATAATCTGGCAGCACAGTGCTGTGGTCATTGAGGAGCAGGTCTTTCACCTGGGTCATAATGGCATACTTCCAGTTGTCCAGCACTAAGGTGAGGTTAGCACATCCTCTGGTGTTCACCTTCTCAGCTGCAATCAAAAACATTCAGCCTCTCTTTATGAGTAAACATGCAGAGTCTTAATTGTCTCTTAGGAACCAAAATCAGAAAACAAACAGACAAAAGAAATAATGACCCCATATATAAACACCCCCTATCCCACAGTTTTACCCTCAGCTCTGTAGTCCCACTCAGCGTTTTGTCTTCTGCTTTTCTGTGCAGCTCCCAGAGAGAACATAACCAGCAATGACAGAAGAATCTGCATTTTCTACATACATGCAAAGATAAATAAAAAGCATTAAGAAGCAGAATTATTAACTGTATTAAATCATACACTCATGTAGTGCTCTCTTATAAAAAAAAAAAACAGATTTAAAACAGATTAAAAACAGATTTAAAAGCAAATGCTGCAATGAGTCAGATGCCATTAAGGTTGTCATATTTCAGTATTGACAGGTAAATGCTTACCTGAAGTGGGTTTGCCAAAACTTGCCCTTAAATTTCAAGCTCATAAAACGCATTGACTGCCCAGAACACCTCTCCTGGTGTTTATATCCGTCTAACTCTAATCCCGCCCACTCTTTGGAGAAGCTCATGAGAGAGAAGTGGAGAGCTTCACATTGCCTTTTTTTTTCCACAGCAGATACTGAAGGACAAGTATGAACACTTTAATTCACATTTCATGCCCCTTTTTCCAGAGAGACCAGGTTAAACTAATGGTACAATCATGTGAAAAAGTAAATATACCCAATTAAATGTTTCTCTTTTTTGACATATATGAACAAATCAGTATTTGATCTTCAGTTAAACAGCATGTACAGATAAACATTATGTAACAGACCAATGAAAGTGGAAATTTGACTTTGCAATAGTTTATTAAGAAAAAACATAACTGAGATGTCATTTTTGTCTGTTGAAAAAGTAAGTACACCCCTGGCTTCACGAACTGGTACTGCTCCCTTTGACAGAAACAACTTTGTGTGGGTCTTTACTGTAAGCAAATGTAAATAAAAACAAAAGGCAATGATGTGCAAATCATTTAAACTTTATATTTAATTGTTTAAATTTAATTTCATTGATACTATTTAAAATAGTAAAAAGACAACATTCAAATGTTCAAACTGAGAAATTGTATTTGTTTTTTGAAAAATATGTGCCCATTTTGAATTTGATGCCAGCAACACATTTCAAATAAGTTGCAATGAGGAAACAAAAGACTGGTGAAGGGGTTCACCACTCTGTGAAAGACTCCATGGGCAAATAGTGCAACAATTCAAGAATGTTTGTCAACATAAAAATAATAAAGAACTTAGAGATTTCATCATCTACATTACATAATATCATTAGAAGATTATGAGAACATGGAGAAATCTCTAAATGCGAGGGACAAGGCCGTATTGTCTGGCCATGATCTTTGCATCTCTGCATTAAAGACAGATACGATTCTGTAGAGTAAATCACTGCATGGGCTCAGAAACACTTCTGAAAAACA